GAAGAAGAAGAAGAAGAAGAAGACACTGAGGCTCTTGCTGAAACCCAAGCCCAAGGTGGTGCTGATGATGTTACAACAGAAGTTGCAGCTTCAGCAGCTTCAGCAGCCCAAGTCGCTGCCTCTGCCGGTGCCACTGAGGCTGTCACTGAAGCTGCTTCTGCTGCTGCTTCTGCTGTTGAAGCAGACTCAACTGCTGCCGAGGTCCAAACCTTTGAAGGTAAGGCTTCTAGTATCGTTGGGGCCAGTATCGCTGCTTTGGTTGGTCTGTTGTTTATCTAAGCAATACCCCCATCTTCTCTTCCCTTTTTTTCATAAATAGGGAACGCAAGTTGCTGATGATAGCTCAACTCTACACACATCTACGTTGTGTATATTTTTTAACTCCACTCTAATTCCGTGGTAATTTGATAATGTTACTTTAGTCGTGTCTCAATATTGATCAATTGTACTCTCCCTCTTCAAAAGCGTACTGGTTACCTTAACTACCATATAAAAGTATCACCATTGTAGCCCAAACTTGTAGCATTTGCAGACATCGACGCACTCGAAGTTCAACGCGGCAAGATCATCTCGGTATGAGCCACAGCTAGACATCCGGACATTTCTCCGGTGGTGATGATCATCTGCTCGAAGCGTACACGGGCTTCCCTTCCCTTCCCTTCTCTTCCAGCACAAACAGACGGGGGACTGGATAACTACCGTCGTGTTGAAGAGACATGTTTAAGCGGACCATCCCATTGCTTCAAAGGGTGTCGAAGCCGTTTTATATAACCACGCCGATTTTCTATCCGAATGCGGCACCCCATCTGGGCCATTTGTATTCGATGCTTCTCTGTGATGTTCGTAATAGATGGGCAAAGCTATCAGGCAATGATAGTTTCTTCACCACTGGTACTGATGAGCATGGATTGAAGATTCAGCTGGCTGCTGAGGCAAAGAATGTGCCACCGAAACAGTTTGTCGATTCTTTGGCCTTGGTGTTCAAGGATTTGGCTGCCACGTGTAGCATAGACTACGATCGATTCATCAGAACAACAGATGAGGACCACGTCAAGGCTGTTGAGCAAGTATGGAACACTTTGCAAGAGAAGGGCTGGATATATGAGGGTGAACATGAAGGATGGTATGCAATCAGTGACGAGACGTTCTATCCAAGGACACAGATCAAGCAGGAAGAGGACGGGAAGTGGGTCTCGATTGAATCTGGAAGTGAGGTGAAATTGACCAAGGAGAAGAACTACTTCTTCAAGCTGAGTGAGTTCAGAGAGAAGTTGATACAACTTTTAGAGAGTAATCCACAATGGATCATACCAGGGCAGAAGTATAATGAACTATTGAACGAACTCAAGTCCCAGCCTTTAGCTGATTTGTCAGTATCGAGACCATCTGCTCGTCTCAAATGGGGCATTCAAGTGCCCGGTGATGATTCGCAGAGAATTTACGTCTGGATAGACGCACTGGTGAACTACCTGACCTCATGTAAATACCCAGAGCTCAACCAGTATTGGTCGAATGCTACGCATCTCATAGGTAAGGATATCATCCGTTTCCATTGTGTGTACTGGCCTGCGTTGTTAATGGCTGCTGAAATTCCATTGCCGAAACAGGTTGTTGTCCATGGACATTGGCTCTGTGAAGGAAGCAAGATGAGTAAATCCAAAGGAAACGTTGTTGATCCTCTGCAAATAATTAATGACTATGGAGTTGATCCTGTGAGATTCTTCTTGTGTGAAAATAGCGTCCTCAATGGTGATAACAACTTCAGTGTGGAGAGCCTACAAAGAAGCCGCGATCAGTTAGTTGATAAGTATTCCAACCTCGTGATGCGTTGTTGTGGTAAGAAGTTCAATGTTGAGAGAGCATTGAAAGAGTACGATACTTTGAACGAACACCAGTTCGAAGATCCAATCTTACAGCAGCAATTAACCAATTTGAAGCAATCTATCAACTCACTATACGACAAGATGAACACTGATATGGTTCAGTTGAACACTGCGGCTGCCATTCAAGAATTTTGGAGTGTCATATCTGATGCGAACCAATTTATCCAAGATAGCGAACCATGGAAGCGTGAGCAACTGGAGAAGGATCTCATCATTCTAATGGGTGTGGAAACAGCAAGAGTAGCAAGTATCCTCATCCAGCCAGTGATGCCTGAGCTATCTTTGAAAGTTCTTGACAGATTGAATGTTGTCAATAGAGATTTGTCGCATGCCAAGTTTGGGGCCGATAAGAGCTATGGCAAAGGTATTAACCGAGCAGGAGACTATCCAATGACTAAATGAACAACACACACTGTAAATATACCATCTATATCATGTATATAAATACACTATGAACTATCGAATTATGACGATATCGTAACAACATTGGCATCTAAGGTATCTGTGTCCAATACAACCAATTGACCAGACTTGTTAAAATCTGGAACGCAGATGATTCTTACCTGCCCTCTCTCTAAGGAGAGTAACTTTGTCTCAAACCGTGGTTGGTTACCTATGAAATAGACATGTGGAGTCTCTGTCATAGTAAATGGATCCCTTTCAAAAGGGTAACATGCCAATGTGTCCGGTGCAGTCGGCACGATGTTTTGCCAGTGGAGTGAAGCCTCCACAATTGGTAATCTGGAAACTTGTAGAGAGTCCGGTACAACGTACTTATAAACGTCATTGACGTTTTCTCCACTGGTGCCCAAAACTCTCAATTCGTTGAATTGGAACCATTGTGGATTTGTCAGAGTGTTGAAGTTATTTGATTTGAGATAACTCTGTGACTTGTGGAACAGTGCTCTGTGAAGAGGTTGCTGTGGAAGTGATATTTCTGCTGGATCAGATTCGCCTGGCATTAGATCAACTGGTATTGAAGGTAACAAAGCATGGATAAATGAATCCAGCTGGCTGATGGATTGTTGCGAAAAGTTGGACTTGTTCTTAGCTCCGTATTTATTCCTCTGCTGGACTTGATCTTGTTCTTGCACCCTAACAGAGTTACCGGCAATGATAAGACGTGTCAATTGTGAAGAGTCATGGCCGAGTTCACCAGTCAGGTAATCTTGCAATAGGGCGTGCTTAGCGTCCCAGATTCCAGTGAATTGTAAGCCTGAGCAGATAGCCACTTTCCCCTGTGAAGCTCTGGTGGGCTTCTGTGCGCTCATTAATGGATAAACAATATCAACAACGGTAAAGCATCCCGGCTTCGTCTCCATACCTAAGACCCCAACAACAACACCAGTGCAAAGCACAGTAGACTTAAAGATATCACCATCCAGGAGAATCCTACCACTTTCGTCCTCCAGGTATATCTCGTCAAGATCTTGATCCACATATGACTCTATCCCGGACACGTCAACGTTGACGTTATTCTTACTAACCTCCTCCAGGATGTTAGGCTTGTACTTCATCTCCATATACACCGTACCAATGACCCAGCTGGGCTCAGAGGGCTTCACGTCCAAGACCTTATCCCTCTTGACCACTTTGGTGCCGTTGATGGACTCATTGGCCCACTTCTTCGTAGCACTGTGGGACACCCTTGGCCTCAACACCTGTAGTCGGTTGAAGTACATGGGAGCAAACTGATTCGAGTAGGAACGCTCATTCAACACGTACAGATCATGAGATTTGAATCCGCTCTTAGAATCAATTTCACACCTCGTAACAACAGCATGCTCCGATTCTTGCTGGAACTCGTTTGGAATGGCCATGTTCCCTATTGAAGGCATTGCTTGCTCGTGACTTGAACCAATGGCTAGTCCCCTTTTGCTCTGTGCTGAGGGTCTAGCGCAGTTTGATGAGGAAAAATTTCAACGCGTCAGGATTTCTTGTTTGGGGTTTCGCGGTTGTCGCGTTTTCCTTTAAAGAGGTTGCGATGCGGTTGATGGGACAACGCTCAATAGGAGGGGACTAAGGTCTCGCTAGGGGACTGAGAGCTAAGTCCTCAAGGACTAGGCTTTCAAAGCTACGGGTCTACACGCGATGCTCGTGTTATAAACCATGGTTTAGGACTAGAAAGGGCATCTATGTAAAAGGTCTAGGAACTGACAGAGCCGTTCAGTCTTTAAACACCGCCATGAGGACAAACACGGAGTAGAACATGGCCAAAGGGTAAGCAATGAGTGGTCTGACGTTATCGAGCTTCAACATCGAGACAAAGAATCCTGAGGCAGAGTAGGCCGACCATAGAACGCTGATGGCGCTAATGACATACCCCAAGGAGTTGTTCAATGGCATCGCAATGCCCAAGAATGCCACGGGTACGAGAGGTAGCAAGCAATAACCCAGCACACTTGCGGTTCTGACGAAATCCACGCTTAGATCACTCATCAGCTTGAAGAACCAGTGTAGTGATACTGTGCCAACAAGTGCAACACCGTAGATGTATCCGAAATGGACTTTCCCTGCTAGGAGAAGACAAATGGCAAAGATCAGACAGAAAAGCACTGGGCCGGCCAAATCACCGTCGTTAGAGATTTCGCTCGTCATGTGCGATGATCTCGGGTTCAGCGTCAGCAGCGTCTTCTGTTTGATGTGTTGGAAGTTGATTCCCAGTTCCTCAAGTAGAGGTGGTTCGTGTGAGTAGCCACTTGTGCTGAAAGCCGAAAGGATCCCGGTAGAGAGAATCTCACCGTCTACAGTTCCCTGTGGGAATTGGTTCTGGAAATCCATCGTCCCCTGGACAGCGTTGAAATCCTGATAAAATGCCATGACTGAGAGTACTTATCCGTCTTCGTCTTCCCGGCCTTCTTCTTTGTTTCCTGATGAATTGTTGAATGAGCTTCTTGTTGCCATTTTGAACATCACGCAAAAAAAAAACACAACACACAACTACACGAGAAGGCCTCGGTTTGGTGTACGGATGTTCATGGGCTATACTGCGGGACTTGGTTTGCTATATATATACTCATATACTCTGGAATTTTGACTCCAATTGGGATAGACAGTGTTCCCAATTGTCCAGATCCTTACTCAGTGTCATCAGCTTGTCATCCATCTCGTCGACTGTGCTCACCGCAGTTGCTGTTTTGAAATGTAACTCATTGAGCGACTCCAGCCTATCGATCAAGAGAGGTAATTGGTGTTGAATATCCTTTGTAGCGATGACCAATTCGTACAATTCGTGTATCTTAACGTCCTCCTGGATTTCGATTTCCATCTCGACGTTTCTTCTCAGTGCTATGCTCTGCTCAAATCTCTTGTTGACTTGCTCCACGGTGCCCATGATCTGCTGTAGCATCGAATCGCTGGATACCAATTGCAAATGCCGTTGCAGTTGGTTGATCTGCTGTTGTAAGGAGCTCGAGTCGTCTGTTTTACCTATTAATCCCTCGAGCTGCGAAATTCTGTCTTCTAAACGTACAAGTGAACCACTGTCCACGGCTGCGTTCTTATGGCACTCGTTAACCTCAGGTTGAACAGCGTCCAACGAGCTTAAAACAATCTTGCCCCTCTGCTTCACCTTTGTCTGTGCCTCCTCGAACAGTCTGATCAGCTGATCCTTTTCACTTTGGGCCTTCTCGTCGTTGGTCTCGTCGATCTCTGATATCAGCTCGTCCAATTCCTGCTTCAGCAGATCAATCCTCACAGTTAACGGTTGTCTACCATAGGTCTTGAACCCCTTACCACCATGATCGATTCGATCGTCAAAATCACTACAACAGTTATGGACAGCGCCACTGCGCTCGAACTTGTCCCTAACAGCATCCAGATCAACGTGTAATTCCTCTATGGAATCTCGCGTTGTCAATTCGGGCTCATTTGCAAGTGCGTAATCATCATCAACAGAGGAAGTCTCGTAAACCTCCTACACCATCCGTGGTTAGTGAGCTGAATTGATACGTCTAGGATGAATACTAACGGTTTGATCCATAATTGTCCTCGGTGTCCCTGCTCCATTAGAACGGTCTTTGTTGTGCTGGTAGCGCGAGAGCGAGTGGCCAAAAAAAACACTATGGTACTCTCACTACTCTTCCCATCAACAACAGTAGCGCTAGAACAGGCCATAACTCTTACACGCACTAATTATTGTAAAATGGCTCTTGAAAAGGCCCGCTCATTAGCAAGGCTCAACATCTTCACGTCGTTGGCCAGTGAAATCTCGCAGTCTCTGACGCCAATTGCGATAAAGGACAACATTGCAACAAAGCTTCTCCCTACTACATGCTCTTCTTACGCTCTGAGCAACTACATTTCGCCGTTCCAGGCCACTGTGATAGATCTCTTGGAGGATGAGTTCACAGTTGTTGGGAAGACCAACATGGATGAATTCGGGATGGGTGCGTCAACAACGTTCAGCCATTACGGGCCTACTCTGAACCCAATGTACCCTAACGAGAGAAGAATCTGTGGAGGCTCCTCTGGAGGCTCTGCTGCTGCCGTTGCAGCTGGCATTGTCCCTGTAGCACTGGGTACCGACACAGGTGGCTCTGTTAGACAGCCGGCCAGTTATACCGGTATACTGGGGTTTAAGCCAACATATGGAAGGATTTCAAGATGGGGTGTTGTTGCGTATGCACAGTCTTTGGATACCGTGGGTATTCTTGGTAAGGACGTTGATATCATCGAAAAGGTGTTTACCAAGTTAGACAAGCATGATCCTAAGGACCCAACCTCTCTGGGCGTGGAGCTAAGATCTCGGTTCGACTCTAAGCATGGTAACAATAAGAAGCTTAGAATTGGTGTGCCAGAGGAGTACGTGCTGGGATTCGACCCCAAAGTTTCAAAGGCATGGCAACAATGCCTTGAAGCCCTATCACAGGACCATGAAATCGTGCCAGTGAGTGTACCACTCATTAAGAAGACACTGGCTATGTACTTCACACTGGCACCTGCCGAGGCCTCGTCCAACTTGGGTCGTTATGACGGTATTCGTTATGGTACAAGATCTGATAGCGATAAGGATTACTACGCAAAGACCAGATCTGAAGGATTTGGTGAGGAGGTGAAGAGAAGAATAATCTTGGGAAACTATAACCTGAGTTCAGATTCTTATAAGAACCATTTCTTGAAGGCCAAACTGCTACGTCGTGCTTTGAAACAACAGTTTGACGAGGTGTTCAACCAACCAAACTATGTTACAGGCTCAGACCCTAATGCCAATGGAGTTGATTTCTTACTGACTCCAACCACTGTAGGTCAGGCACCAACTATTGAAGACTATGATGCACAGTCATCAACTCATGGTTACACACAGGATGTACTCACGATCCCAGCTTCTTTAGCTGGTATCCCTGCAATATCATTCCCTTGGGAAGTTGAAGGTGCCAAAATTGGTCTACAGCTTATGGGTCAATGCGGTGATGATTACAACTTGTTGAGAATAACACAAGAAACCATGTCCTTGAACACATAATTCGCCCGTTTATTTTATTTTGCTTGTTTGCAACCTGTCGAGAAGATTATAGACATTCATTATACATAGATATCATTTGTTAAACTCTTCACCTATAACGTTTATCGCTTGCTCGATTGCGTCCAACATAGATGTGCGATCCCATTCACCACGACGTTCCCAGACGATATCCATCAGCTGGGCATTTATCTGTTCTAACAGTTCAACGGTACAGCCTTCTGTGATGGTGACCAATCTGGATTCTAAGCGTTTCAAGCGTGCGGTATCAATTACAAATGGAACATCGGGTTCGGTGATAGGCAATGCAACTGCCAGTGGAATTTCCTTTGACGGTTCAACAAGTTGGCTGATTAGAACACGATGTGGTTGTTGCTCTCTAGAAGTTGGCTCCGCAGAGCCAACAGGTTCAAGAGCAGGTTCAGGTGTCACAGGTTCATCAACCTTTTCAATTGAATCAAAATGGTCTTTGTCCGTCAAAGATACTCTAGCAGGCGATTCATTATTATCTCCCTTGGTCTCTAGGATCTCCTCACCTGGGCTGTTCTTATTTTGATCAACAACTTCCCCATGTTCCTCCTCTGATTTGGAAATATCGGTAAATTCAACATCTTTGTTAGTTTCAGAATCTTCAACAACTTCAGCAATCGGTACTAAGGCTCTCTCCGCCATGACCTTTTTCTCGTGCTCTTTGATACGTTTGAGCTCACGTTTTCTCAATGCCTTGCATTGCTCAACAAATTCTGGGAGTGAGATTTCCTCCACACCAACTTGCGCATTAGCATACATTTCACTCGCCTTGATGAGTCTCTCTCTATCGTTCAAAGTAACAGAATCCAGATAAATCATTTCAATGTCTTTCAAAAATTGTTTGGGCTCCGAATAGAAACCGTTCCATAATCTCTCTTCAATAATATCCAAGTCCATGTTAAAGAATTTACGACCCGTCGAAACTTCAACAATCATATCACCTTCTTTTGTATACAGAGGTGGAACTGAGGTAACAATTGCTGGTGCATCTTCAAACAAATGAATCAAGTGGAAATCATCAATCGGTGGTTTCTTAAACTTTCTATAACGATTCTTGAAAAGATCCATTAAACCGGAAAGTTTGATCTTCAAAGTGTTTTTTAACTTCATGTCGTGTTTCTCAAACGCCTTTAAGTTTTCCTCTTCAGCTTCAGGATCCTGGGCCAGCTCAATCTTCTCTAACACCTCTAATGGTTTCTTCTGACGTGAATCCAAAAACTCGTTAGGTTTCATTGCGATTGCACTGATAAACGTCTCGAAGAAGTTCAATCTCTGTGTCTCATCTGGTGAAGACAGTTTGACGAAATTTGCATCGCTCACACCAAATAAAACTTTGAGACCATTATCTAGCTCTTCATAAGGCGTATCTGAGACACCCAATAACAAAATTCTCTCGTTGGATGATACTGATCTCAAAAGCCCCGATAAAGTAGACTTTGCAGACTCAGGAACTGTGTGGTACCATATATCAATGTTTGGTATGAATATAATAGACGGCTTGTGACGCTTGGCTTCCACAAAGCTCTGGATAATTGCATTTTCTGTTGTGCGCGTGGAATCAATAAATAGTGATCCCAAGTCCAAAGATTGCACGTTGAAACCTTCCAGATGGTTCAGGACCGCTGCACCCAAATATTGTTGACCATTTCCAGCTTCACCAGTAATTAATAATCTCGGTCTATGGACACGACTTGCTTCAAGCCTTTTTACCAACTCCATTTTGGCAAACCCACCATCCTCATCGTTCTCTGTAGGGTCAACAAGTTGTGCCTCTTCTAGAGCTGTAAGTTTTTTCATGCGTGGAACCAGCTTATCCAACTTTGCAGTGATTCCCTCGAGGGACTCTTCCAATAGCGATGTCAAATGCTCAGGAAGAGGAGCGCTTCCCGATGCGGTGGAACGAGCTGATGATGGAATAATTTTATCCAAGGCTTTCATGAAATCCTTTGCTGCCACATGGATAGATGAAGGATCAATTTTGAGCTTATCATTACTCTGGTAAATTTGAGGATAGCGTCTTTGAATACTGTTCAATGCTGCTTCGGTACAAAGGGCCCTTAGATCTGCACCACCGTAACCCTTAGTCAGTTGTGCGACTTTTTCAACAAACTTTGTAGGTAAAGGAGGGTCCCATTTCTTTGTATGGATTTGCAATATCTCTTCACGAGCTTTGATATCGGGTAGAGGGAAGTAAAACTCGCGATCAAATCTACCAGGACGACGTAATGCTGGATCAACGGCATCAGGTCTATTTGTAGCACCGATAACAATGACTTGGCCTCTATTATCCATACCATCCATCAAGGCAAGCAATGTTGACACAATACTTGCATGGATTTGTTCTTGTTTCGATGATCTCACAGGTGCCAAACCATCAATCTCATCAAAAAAGATAATAGATGGTTGTTGTTTCTTTGCCTCTTCAAATAACAATCTCAATTGCCTTTCAGCTTCACCCACCCATTTGGATAGACAATCAGCACCTTTACGCATGAAGAACGTGATCTTTTTGCCCTGAGTAGAGCAGGACGCTGCAAGCGCACGAGCCATCAAAGTTTTACCTGTACCAGGAGGACCATGGAAAAGGACACCTCTTGGAGGTGTGATTCCAAATCTTTGATACACTTCAGGGTATAATAATGGCAGTGCCACCATCTCTTTCAATTGGTTGATGTAGTTATCCAACCCACCGATACTTGAAAAGTCCACATTCATGTCAACACCCAATGGATCTGTATCTGCAATGTCCTTTTTCTTTGTCTTTCCAATGGGGGTAGCAGTAACTACTGAGGGTCTATGGGCTCCATTGACGGGAACAATTTCATCGTCTGATGAATCAGAATCTGCACCACCAGCAAGCAGATTACCTGGAGTGTTACTCAACCCACCATAATTCTTACCAAATATCGATGTAACATCACCACCGCCGAAGGGCCCGCCAGTAGGAAACAATCTCCGGATTGACATGGCACCATTATTGCCTCTACGACGAGACGGAGATGGCTGCTGTACAATCTCTGGTAATCCTTCCAAGTTTTCAGTCAGTGGGGGAGGTATTTGATAGTTCACCTCTTTGGTACGTTGACGTAAAGATCTCGGTTGTGGTGTTAACTCAACATCAGAATCCTTCAGGTCCGCAATTTCTTGTTCCAATGTGTTATCCGCATTTTCGTGTCCCTCATCTCCGTTGAACGCTTCATCTTGTAAGTCATAGTCGCTGGACCTGGTCAAACGAGGTCTCCCTCTCTTGTTGCGTTTGACACTTCTTCCTCCTGAGCCTCTTGGCCTTCCACGCGGTCTTTTCGTCTTTCTATGTGATCTTCCAGGAACGTAGTCATTCTCTTCATCGTCATCTATTTCATCGTCATCATCTCTGGAGATGAACTGTCTCTCTTGTCTACGACGCTCCTCTTTAGCAAAATCGGAAGCGTACTCGTCAGATTCATCGTCAAGTTGTTCTTCGCTGTCCTCCTCCTCATCCTCGTTAAAGCTTTCATCGTCATCGTCATATTTCTTCTTGTGACTTTTACTTGACCGCTGTGAGGGAGCCTCTTCTGCTGACACTGGTTCCTGCGTTGGAATCAATGCATCGTCCTCATCCAGCGCAGTCTCCTCTGGCTCCTCCGCTGGCGCCGCTGACTCCTCTTGAAATTCCTGTTCATCGAGGTCATCATCCAAATCATCATAGTTGTTCTCCACCGCCGCGTAATTCACTTTCTGTCTCTTCCGCTTCGACCGAACAACAACGTCATCTTCATCGCTAAACGCTGAAGACCGACGACCCATATTTGAACCCTTGTCGTTTCCCTGGTTTTTCGTCCTCTCCTGTTTAGTGAAAGCTGTTTGGCTGGATCAACACAACCTTCCGGAATAACAGCAGCCTCTTGATACCAAATTCGTCTCGTTTCACAGCAATGTTTAATGAATTCAGTGCTGTTGATCGGAGCCCAAATTTGCTTATGTTTTGTTTTGTTTTGTGCTCTGTTTTTGCTTCTCCAACTCGTACCGGTTTCAAAATCGCTTGGACCGTGTCAAATTTACAAAAAGTTGATTTCCCGTTTAGTTCGTTTTCGCCGTTGTTGGTGCTTTTTGGCATTTCGCGAATTGGCGTAAACTTTGGGCGTAAACTGGCGTGAATCCTCCGTCTCATGTTTACTAGTGCCTCACCGCGTAACGTTCGCTCCAGTGTTTGTTCCCTTTTTAGGACAATAGCACGCCAATTTACGCAAAACCAAGGAAAAAGACACACAAGAGCCTTAGTTGCTACAACAACGGTTTCAACATGGATACTATTAGCCTCTAACTCATTAAAGTATTAACTGCCCACTCAACACTCAGTGTACGCAGATCCGTGTAGGTTTGACCCACACCAACGAACAGGATCGGGATACCTGTTGCTGCAACCATGTTGACCATCGTGCCGATTAGATCACCAACGGTGTCACATTTCGAGATGATGAAGAAGTCCAGGTTCCGGCCTGCACCGAACGCAGAGTTGAAGTTCTTTGCCTGTTGAACAGAATCCGTACCAACGAGAGCCTCACCAACCATGATGATCTTATTAGGATTTGCAGCTTTGGCAAATGATGCCAATGGTGCCATTAATTGTGCATCGTTATGTCTTCTTCCAGCAGTGTCCATCAACACAATGTCGAATTGGTGCTTCTTCGCATAGTCAATGGCATTCTTGGCGATCTTTGCCACGAGATCAGAGCCTCCATATCCACCTTCAAAAAGTTCAACACGGTCTTTCTTATCACTTGCGGTTTTCAAGTTGTTAACGTGGACCCTAAGTTGTTCCACTGCACCTGATCTAAAGGTGTCACAAGCTGTGATTAACACTTTGAAGTCGTTTTGTAAGAGCCAAAATGCTAGCTTGGATAAATTTGTAGATTTACCAACACCGTTAACACCAACAACAGAGATAACATATGGCTTCGGATTCTTCTTGATATCTTCCAGCAAGTTTATAGAGGTTCCAGGTGTCAAGATCTTTGTAAGTTCTTTCGTCAAGGCAGCCTTTGCAGTTGAAGTAACAGTGGTCCAGTTCTTAGTCTTGGAACCAACAAGCGCTTTTTCAACGTTTGAGGTTAATTGTTGAGCAATCTCTGGAGCAACGTTCTTCTTCACAAGATGCTTTTGTAATTCCTCAGTTGTAGATTTGATATCCTCTGCAGTAATGGTCTTACCACCTGTGATTTTTTTCAAGAATGCAAACGGTTCTTTAACCTGGGCACTTTCCTTCGACTTTGCCAGTAGTTCATCAATCTCCTCATTCAAATCCTTAACAACAAACCTTCCAGTCGCATCCCTATCACCAAATGACTCAGAGTTGATTTCAGTGACCGTGGTGCGTGAATTCGACTCCGCATCCTGCTGGGAATAGTCCAGATCCTCAGCATCTCCAGATTCATCAACTTGACCATCGGCACCCCACTTACGCAGCTTCTTCTTGATCTCTTTCTTCTTCTTATTCTTTTGCAGCGATTTGGATGAGTCCAGTAAAGGTAGTGATGTCTGAGACGATGCACCGGGATCTTGGTTACTCTCTTGCTGTAGCTCATCCAGCTTCACCGTATAGTACTGTTCAAATTTCTCGAGTTGTTTGTCCATTCCATCCAACACGCCCACTTGTCTCTCCAGGTTCTGCAAGATGTCATCGCCCAACAGTTGTTTGAACAAGGTGAGAGAAATTTGGACAAGCGATCCAGCGTATGGCGCTGGAACGTTCTTGTTATAGAAACAAACCGCTATCAGATCAGGGTTATGTGTCTGGTCGAATCTGGCCACGTACTTATCAACAACATTACAACTCTGGACACCGTCAACAGTCGATATCGATGCAGTGCTACTGACGAACACCTCATCGATAAAGGTATTGACCACAGATTCGGCAAGCCTATGCGGAGAGTGCTTGAACAGCACTTCACCTTTCAAGTTGAAGATGAGAAACTCGTCGATCATTGTGCCGCTTATCTTAGATTTCCCTCTTACAATCAACAGAGGACTGAAACTGGAAGTCCTGAACTCAAAGCGTTGTCCTCCGATGCTCGAAGGCCCTCCACCCCCCAGCCAAAAACACCAAATTCCGAGGCGACTGTCGGGAATCGGAAAAAAATCGGAAAAAACTAAAATGAAAGCCATTATGTTGCGCATACCAGAAGGCGGTGTTAACACTACAGCGTGAGACTAGGCTTTTGTCTGGAGTGTGATGATGAAGCGTTCCTTTACTAGATAAAAATAGCATTTCTCTTTGTTCTGACTCCCTGGTTGATATCAATTGGTTGAGTTTAAAAGTGTGTGATTCTATAGCGAACTTCTACACATTGCATCATTGAGCTTTTAAGGGTGTTTCTTAGTATCTTGCTGATTATTGAGACTATACACCGTCGTTTTCTGCCATTCTCTGCCTAATAGTCCCATACTCTTCCCCTAGTCGTTGTTGAAGGTGCCCATACAGTTGGGCTAGCAAAGTAGGTCCAGGTGTCCCCAGCGTTGGTGTAAAAACACAAGATGGGACTCAGGAGACACACGCTGAGACCACGGAAGCAATTGGAGATCCGTGTCAATATTGTTGCTGCAAAGGACTTGGTTGATATGGCGAATGCCTCGGGCTGTATCATGGTGGCCCAATGTGCGTTCAACAGACAGAGAAGACGGACAAGGAAAGTGAAGAGAACAGTGGGCCCTGTTTGGAACTCCACTGTGAAGCTCTCGCTTTCTCCGAACGATAACAGCGATGTCATACACCTTGCTGTTTTCGATAGACATAGAAAGTACTCTCTATATCTAGGTGAGATACGGTTCTCCGTGATTGAACTCTTCAAGGATTCACCAAGAGTTGAGGCTGTCTGGTACAGATTGCACTCGTCCAAGTCTCAGAATAAGTTCGTGACAGGCTCTATAAAGGTTGGCTTTGAGCTAGTCTCGAAGGGAGATGTTAAAGAGGCGTTTCACTCGTGGGGGTTGCTGGCTCAACACCATAAGATCAAGCTGGATGAGCAGTGGTATTACCCTGATACTGAGACCGATGTGGATTCCTTAGCATCGGACGAGGAAGATGAGGAACTGCTCAAAGCTGATAGTCATGGTTTAGCGAAGAAGTTTTCTTCAATGACTAATCTGACTGTGCCAACGTATCTCCACTCAGTAGACAACACCGACGGTTCTGAAATGTCAGAACTCTCGGACCATATACCAGATACTGAAAGCAGAAAAGTGGTACATCCAAATACGGTGATTGGTGTCATTACGCTGAATATCGAGGAAGCTGAGGGGCTTCCTCCTTTCAAAGGATTCATGAATAAAAGCTTCGATATGGATCCCTTCGTCGTTATATCGTTTGGCAAAAAGACCTTTAGAACATCATGGAGAAAGCATACTCTAAACCCGGTGTTCAACCAGAAATTGGTGTTTGAAGTGATTTCTAATGAAACAAATTTCGATATCGTCTTCACCGTGATGGATAAAGACCATATATCATTCCACGACAAAGTCGCCATGGGATCCATACCGGTTGGCGAGTTCATAGATGGTAAGAAGAAAGAGTTCAACCTGGAACTTACAATGCATAGGAAAATGGATGGTTACAGGCCTCATTTGAAGCTCACCCTTGAGTTCAAGCCATACTCGCAGTTGAAACGTGAAATGTGGAATGTTGTGCTAGATAAATATGGCCCTAATTTAGATCTCCTCAGCTTGGAACAGTTCCTTGTGGTTTCTGGGATTGATGAGGACTCTTCGCAGTTCTTTTACCTAAACAACAAGAACATCGATAATACACTCTCAGTACCAGAAATAGTCAAGGTTCTCAAGGGGAAGAACATGTGTCTAAAACGTTGTCCTATATGTCTCAAATCCAGTGCATTTGACTTTGTTACACATATTGCAATTTGCTCACAGAGTGATAAATTGAAGTCGTTCGCTACAACGGGTTTGGCAACCAAGAGATGGTACTCCAAGATGCTCATTAAGGTGGCTTATGGCAGATATGCCCTGGGTAAAAACAATGCCAATATCCTGGTTCAGGATCGTGTAACTGGATTCATCTTGGAGGAGAAAATGGCATTGTATATCCGACTTGGTATCAGACTGTTCTACAAAGGCACAGGTGCTGATACAAAGCGAATCAAAAACGTTTTGAGAAACAAATCTTTCAAGCAAGGTGCAAAGTTCGATGCACCAGCATCTGTAAAGTACATTGAACCCTTTAAGAAGTTTTACAAACTTGATATATCTGAGTGTTTAGATGCAGATTATAAGACGTTCAATGAATTCTTTTACAGGAAGTTGAAATCTGATGCACGTCCTTTGGAGTCCACTGACTCCAGAGTGGCTGTTTCACCAGCAGACTGTCGTGCAACAACATTTCAAGACTTGGAATCCGCACAAAGACTGTGGATAAAGGGGAAATGCTTCTCAATAAGGAAGCTATTGGGAAATGCATATACCGACAAATTTGAGCAGTGTTCAATTGGCATATTCAGGCTAGCACCCCAGGATTACCACAGATTCCATTGTCCTGTAGATGGTGTAATTATGGAACCAACTTACATCGATGGTGAATACTACACGGTGAATCCTATGGCTGTTAGATCCCATCTGGATGTATATGGAGAGAATATTCGTGTCGTTGTACCTATAGAAACTGACAGCTTTGGACTAGTGATGTTCATAGCAGTAGGTGCTATGATGGTTGGATCCACGGTTCTCACAGTTAAACCAGGGAACCATGTGGAAAGAGGTGAAGAACTAGGTTACTTCAAATTTGGTGGTTCAACATGTCTGGTACTATTTCAGAAGGGTACGATCAAATTTGATTCTGATTTACTTCAAAACTCTACAGAAACCATTGAAACGCTGGTTAGAGTCGGCATGTCCATTGGCCACACGCCAAATACCAATGAGGTTAAGAGACAAAAGAAGAAATTCCAAGACGAACCTGAAGAGGAACAGCTCAAGATTATAAGAACTATAACCGGTGGTGGCGATGCTAAACATTCGTGGGAGTTTTACAACTTGGAGACTGAATCAGATGCTGAGATTGACTACATTGAAGATGAAGACGAAGATTATGAACTATAATATCACACTACATATCACTTGCTAAGACGGGGCTTTTATTTACTATAAAATCAATAGAGCATCAGTACTCTTGTAAATTACCAAGGAGTTTCTTTTCCTTCGCAGTCCAGGAATTTACCCGAGTCGGTGACCAAAGATGACCTTGCGGATAGCTGTAGCAAATTATTCTTGTGAGATTGTTGGGAAGTCTGCAGCATCTTCTGCAGAGATTGATTTCAAAACTCTGTATGTTCTAACCACTCATGGTTTGATATACAATACAATGACATTATCCTTTTTGCTACTCATAGCTGAGCTCTACAGCAGTTTAGCTCAAAGCTGCCTTTGATTGACCGTTTGCAGCTGAAGAATAACCGTTATATCCACCAATTTATCCTAAAATGCTAGGGTTGAACACAATGTGCCTTGTCGTTCTCTTAAACAGATTACAATACGTTTGCCTCAGTGCCTCAGTTGGGCCAATTACGTTCACCTTATGATTTCTTAGCCATTTCTCTCGCTTTGTCTTTAACGCAGATACATAATCCTAATGAATACCGTTATTGAAGACAATGGTGTCAATACCTTCTGGTGAAACTTCTTCCAATTGAGGATTTGGCTTTTCAATAAAGCTCTGATTACTTGTGTCGATGGTAACGATCTTGATATTTGAATGCTCACTTATCAGCTCTATGTACGTTTTAGGCCTCCTTTCATCTCTAATGGGAGCTATTGAGGCTGTAGGCTTGGTCTCCGAATACTGTTTGGTGAACTCAAAACCATTATCACGTGAATAACCGACAAGAAAGATGATTTTGGAGAGTATTTGCACAATTTGGTGTTAACAGCTTGTTTCATGACTGCTTGATACTAACAATACTTATTCCTTGTCCTCATAAACAGCGATTTATATCACAAATCATGTAAAGTGTGCTTTCCTTTGACTGCAGCCTCGGCTGGTCGGCCTCTGAAATGTGCTACAAAGTCCTTAGTGTTACTCACGAGTAATTACACTATGTGACAATGACAAATCACACTGAAGGAATCTTCAACAGCGGTTGGTCTTCTTGTCACAATACATCACTATCATTTGCTAATCGATCATTGTCCATGATAATATGGTGAAGTGCATCAACAGTGCTGTGAGTGAGCACCCGGAAATAGGCTCCTGCGCTATTTGCAGTGGATTCATCCTGCCATTCATCCAAGTCCCTTTATTAACAATGGGCTAGCTGGTTAGAAGAAAACAACACAAAGTGTACTTATTATGAATACCTTCGTTATATCGAGAACAGTTAATTGATAACAGTACAACGGAGGACCAACATCAAAGCTTAACACCGGGGTGCTACGCTAAGTCCGAGGGGCTGTCAGTGCCCATAATTCCGTTTGAACTGGGTGAAGAGACGATTCGACTCCTATGTAAGTGAGCGATCGAGTGCTAGTACCCGGTCAAGAGAAGAACATCCTGTTGATATAGCATATCATCAGTGTGTTTCGGGAAATGGCCTACTTGTGCTATGGTTTTGAGATGGCATTACCGTCTCACACGGTCTCCACGCGTCTAAAGCACTGGTACTTTTGCTCAGAAATGTGTCACAACACCGAGTTACATTGAATGGTAGAGCCCGAGCCAGCACTCGCTTAAAAGTTGCCACCAATAAACTGTAAGAGAATTAGTTTGAGTGATTTTGATATCATCGGATCTCACTACGATTGTCCTTCATCGGTTCCCCCATTGTACTACAAAATTGGTTGAAGAATTGGTGGTACGATTTTGGAGCACTGGGAATTCACTTCCTGATTAGGAAACTTGATCCACCGAACCCCATCTTCCATACAAGAATGTGTCAATATTCACAAGCTGAGTTATCAAGATATACTGGCAAGTCTTGTGGTCAGTCTCAGGTACTAGAGGTCCAATTTCTGGATGATGGATCGTACGATTCCATTTGGGCTTCATACCGTTGTCAAAGTGACCAATGTTGGGATTATTTAAGGGTAACGGTGTTCCTCATCGAGCCCTAACCATACCTTCCTGAGCACACAACAGATCTCAAAGAGGAGCAGAACATAAGCAATATCACAATGGCAGAACTCATTAGTCAAGTATCAAGCTTGTCCAGCAAAATCCAATCAGAAACCAAGTTCTTGGGTGAGCCAGAACAAACAAGTGAAGGTCGTCGTGCCTCCAGTAGATGGAGCTATGCCACTCCAAAGTTTAGCAAGTCAAAGGAGGAAATGTTGAAGGACTTACCAACTGCATACCCAGCTGTTGTCAACTGTGCAAACTTCTCTAAGCTTGCTTACAAGCCATTGAGTCAAGGCAAATCCTACGATTTGATTGATGGTGATTCAAACGCAAAGATGTTTAAGGATGTGTTTGGCTCAAAAGTTGATGATGAATTGACCGTATTAGAGTCTTTCACTGATAAATCTGTCAGTGGATACTTGGGTAAAGTCGATTCCTCGAAGTCTATTGTTGTCGCCTTTAAAGCTGGTCTTGAGTTATTGACATCATCCACTTCCGATTACAAGCCATTGACAAAGGCAAATCCACACTTGTCAGGTTTGAAAGTCATGTCCACATTACAAGACTCATTGAGTGCCTTGGAATCAAAATTTGCAATTGTTGAGACTCTTAAGAGCACCATGGACAAGTACTCAGGGTACAAGCTGTACATTGTGGGACACTCCGTTGGTGGCTCAATTGCAGCACTCTTTGGTTTTGAAGCACAAAACTTGGGTTATAAGCCAACCATTGTGACCTTTGGTGCGCCAAAAGTTGGAACAGACACCACCCCATCAAACTATCTGAAGAAGATTGTCAAGCTATTTGAGATTCTGAGTGATGTCATCGACAAAGCCGACATGTTTGAGCACATTACTAGTTCTAAATTTGCAGTCTTCATCAACGTTGAAACTGTTGGTGATGTTGTTCCAACACTACCACTGTCGTTCCAAAAGCTGGGTGGTGTTCCATTCTTCCTAAAAGATGTTGCCCCAGACTACCCACAGTTCTTGTACACACAGGATGTCGACTACAGATTGAACTCTAGAAGTGCTATTAGACAAGGCTCAAGATACAACAAAGGTCTCGTCGATTCAGGTGCTTCATTGGAGAGTAAACTCAAAGAGTTGTTTGAATCTGTTGAAGATTATTCCCTAGAAGAGGTTGCAAAGTCGTCAAAGAAAGCTGATTACTTGGTGAGCTTTGAAACCACTCTCAAGAGCAAGTTGTAAGTTACATACGCCCATATTACAAACAAACAAGTACAATTTGCGTCAACATGTAGCGCTCGGTATACATTCTTTTCCCCCAGCGCTTAAGTCCCACTTTCGGAAAAACTGTTGCGGGAAGCGGGAAAAGTACGGGGCTTCACTTAGTTGCCACAGTTGAAAAGAATTGGTTTAAAAGAATTGATTGAACCCATTTTAAACATTGACTGTTTGGATAACCCATACACTCAGAAGGAAACATGGGATTTGATCTTTCAGAAATTTCCACTGAGGCCCTTGGGCTGATGAGTTTGACGTGGAGGCCAGCTCCTATCGATAAGCCCACTGCATTTGAGGCAATGTTGGAAGCCATAAAGATTAACCTGCCTTCAAAGACGTTCTTCAACGGAGGTGAGTTTTACGGTGGCGATAACATCAATCTGGAATACATCAGGGATTTCTTTGTCAAGTACCCGGAACAAAGAGCGAATGTCATAATTTCAATTAAGGGTGCCTTAGATGTGGCCACCTTGACCCCCGAGCCAACTGCTGAGGGGATTAACAAATCACTGGATAACGTCTTGAAGTACATTCCAGACTTGGATATCTTTGAGCCTGCTCGATTATCCCCAGGTGTTGCTTTGAGTGAGACTGCAAAGGCCCTTGACGATGCCATTGACTCTGGTAAAATCAAAGGCTACACTTTGAGTGAGGTTAACGGTACCACTTTGAAAGAGTTCAGCTCAATTGCAAAGTATAAGCCAGTCGGTGTTGAGGTTGAATTTTCCATCTTTACAAGGGACGTTTTGGAGAATGGAATTGCAAAGACTGCTGGTGAACTGGACATCCCAATCATTGCATATTCTCCCCTCTCTAGAGGTTTATTAACCGGTGAAATCAGAGCCAAATCAGACGTACCAGAGGGTGATGTTCGTCATCATTTGGAGAGATTTAGCGAAGACAACATAAAGAAGAACGTTGCCATTGTTGATGAGCTCGTATCATTGGCCAAGAGAAAAGGTGTCACACCTGCTCAGTTGGCATTGGCGTGGTTGAGGTATCACTCTGGTAAGACCATCGACGGTATAAAATACCCAACGATTGTTCCAATCCCATCCTCATCTAGTGCACAGAGAGTTGACGAGAACTTCCAAAAAGTTTCGCTCACAGATGACGAGTTTGGTGAGATTGCCAACGTCATCACTGGTAAAGAGGTCCATGGCCACAGGTACAACGAAAAAGTAGCAAAGTACCTGTCATTGTGATCTGTCCCATTAAACGTTAGAAATCATGAGCCATGCCGTCATTGTAGAGATCACGTACGTCAATTCCCCTACGCCCTCGTACACACTGTCTACGGAACCATGAGATGTTTCCACCTAAAGCCACAGTTCACAAGACTTGCATTCTAGGCTATTAATCGTAAATGCACACTGACGGACTTTTGCCCAAAACTTTAAGCGGAGAAACCAAAAGCTTAAAACGCCGTGATGGAAAAAAGAAATTCCGAACGGCGCATGGAAAAACTTCATCGTGGCACATAAGAAAAAATACATCGTGCATGCAAGCTTTACTTTACATTTGGTAGAGTTTATAGAGTTGTACATGTAGACCGTTGTTGTTGGAGAACGAACGGCAACCTGTATTCTTTCTGGATTCACGTGAATGATAAGAATATATGTAACACAGTTTGTATATAAGCAGGAAACTGTGGCGTCTTTTTTAGAGACTTTTCCCTCCAGTGTGCGTATGTACCACCTACAACATCCGCTCTTTTGTTGTATAAAAAGCTTGAGATGATCCATAGAATGTCTGAAAGTATGGTGTTCGTGCTATGTGTCAATAATTATGCCACCGTTTGATATAGATGAGGACATAGAGAAGCAAGTTGTTGTTAATGGGCTTGTAAAGAAAGAGACAGAGACGTCAAGCACCACAACGGAAGATGTCAACTCACATACCAAAGGAGCAACCGTTGAAGAAACGGTCCATTCCTTGAACCGTTCTCTAACACCAAGACAAATATCTATGATCTCCATCGCTGGTATCATAGGTACCGGGTTATACTTGGGAACTGGCCGTGCTTTAGCTAAAGGTGGACCTGCTTCGTTGTTCATCAACTATACAATCATTGGTGGGCTGGTCTACCTCGTCATGCTTTCTCTCGGTGAAATGTCTGCACATATGCCAATTGCCGGATCCTTTTGTTCATTTGCTCGTAAATTTGGAAGTGAAAGCATGGGGTTCGCCATCTTGATCAACTATTGGTTTAACGATGCAGTATCAGTGGCTAGTGATCTTACAGCATTACAACTTGTCATGGAGTACTGGACCGATTTCCACTATTGGATTATATCGTTGATCTTTTGGATCTTTTTGTTATCTTTAAATCTAGTGCACGTGAAATTTTACGGTGAAACCGAGTACTGGTTAGCACTGTTGAAAGTGCTGGCTATCTTGGCATTCTTTATCGTCAGCATCGTCGTTAACGTTGGTCACAACAGCCAACATGAGTACATTGGTTTCAAATATTGGACCATTGGTGAAGCTCCATTTGTTGATGGGTTCAAGGGGTTTGCTTCCCTATTTGTCACTTCGGCATTCTCATATGGTGGTACTGAGAGTATCACAATTACTGCTGGTTCAGCAAAGAACCCTGTGATGTCGACAAAGATTGTCACAACGACTGTTTTCTACAGAATCATCATCTTTTACATCTTGACAGTCTTCTTCATTGCAATGAACGTTCCCTATAACTATCCTGGATTGGCTACTAAATCTGTTATGACCTCTCCTTTCACCATCGTGTTCCAAGAAGCCGGTTCAAAGATTGCTGGCTCATTTATGAACGCCGTTATTTTGACATCGATTATCAGTGCGGGCAACCATGCCCTGTACGCTGGCTCTATGTTGGCCTACACTCTGGGAACCGACGGTTATCTACCAAAGATCTTGACCTGGAAGAATAGGTACCAAACACCGTACGTTGCAGTTCTGGTCACATGGATTGCTGGTGGTTTATGCTTTGGTTCCTCCTTCGTAGGTGCAGGTGAGCTATGGACATGGTTGCAGAATATTGTCGGTGTTTCAAACCAACTGGCATGGTTATGTATTGGAATCACCTCTATTAGATTCAGACAGGGTTTGAAGGCACAGGGACGTGAACATGAGCTTGAATTCAAGAATTGGACTTATCCCTTCGGGCCATATTTCGTTGTTATCTTCACAACGTTTATCATATTTGTTCAAGGCTGGGGAGCCTTTGCACCATGGAGTGTCAAGGATTTCTTCCAAGTTTACCTGGAACTGATCGTGTTCCCTGTAACGTTCATTCTATGGTGGGTTTTACACCCTCGTGACCGGTTCATCAGAGCGAAAGACATGGATTTTGACACTGATCACTACATAGAAGGCGAAGAGGAACGTAACGACCGTTTAAGATATGAAAACCTCAAGGGATTTGCTAAGCTACGTGCAGTTCTGAAGAACTTTTTCGTTTAGATAGATGTTTTATGAAGCTAATGGCCTAATGAATGTGGATGTAATGAAAGCGTTTCTCTGCGTAAATGACTGCCGGCTCCATAAAGAGCCCTGCCTAGCGATCCCCAACGTCCCATGGTCTCCGCCCGCCTGGCGAGCCTGGGTTTTTATCGCGGGAGGGATATTTCAACAACAGAACTTTTCTGCTCATAACCGTCAAGCAGCATACAAAGCATCGGCATCACACAAGGAACTACCACTGAATGTTGGGCTCAAAACTCCAATCTGGTGCCTTCGTACGGCCCCTGATAAGTGGGAAAACAGATCTGGAACAAGCTGTGGTGGAAGAGCATAACGCTGAGGTTCAGAACCAGCAGCTTGCTAATCAACAAGTGCATCGGGAGCCACAACAGACATCAACGTTTCTACGGCACAAGAGGACTATCGACGAAGTTGAAAAGGACCAGGACACAGAGCTGGAGATCCTCAAGAGCAAAGTCTCCCTGTATGACATAGTTTCCAAGCAAAGAATACGAAACTGTGTGAAGAGCACAAGGTGTTCTCATATCGAACCGTTTGATTTTGAGACTTTTTGTTGTGTAAACAAAGTCACAACGTCTTTCTTCTCCAAACCCAATATGACTGAGACAGACAACAGATGGCAACTCAGGAGTCTACCCAATGAGAATGGGAAGGTGAGGTTCCAACTATCGCTGAAACGAGGGAAATCTCTCTCGAATATGAACCATCTGAAATTGACGAGGAAGTATAAAAATGTGCTGAATTTTAGGTGTCCAGTGTGTAATGTTTCCTTCAACTCTATGGAGTTGATCCATGACGATTTCATGGACCTGGTGTTGAGGAATGTTCCTCCAGATATCAAAACTGTGGAGTTGGATGATTCGTTCGTGTGCACCCTCTTACCAGAGACGACGGAGATTAAAAGTGATTCCCAAGTGATATCGCTAGATGATGGTGATGACATTGCCGGCGATGGTCTTTCCACTGAAATTACCCCTGACCTTGTTAATGGGATTGTCAGTGATGACGATTCCCCGCTAAAACTTTTATCTAGGAAATCTAAAAGGATAAGAGTCAAACTGTTCAGCGATAACGATGAGTACGATTTCTGGGATTCTGATGATGGAGAAGACCTTATAGGAGGTACCGAAGACGACCCTGTGGTTATTGATTAGATGAGACATGTGCATGTCCATATATCGTTACTATTGATATTACTATATTAGTCAGATAATAGATATGGTCTTTACTTAAACGTTTCATGCTGTTGGTGCTTGTTCTATCGCCTCAGTCTTGGGCTTCTTTACTATTATCTCAACATAGTTTCCTGGGATATAGCCTGTTTGGCCACTTCTAGACCGTACTCTCCACCATTGCGATTCTCTACCAGAGGGATCCAGCTTTGACAGTATGGCGACTAAATCGCCAGTCTTGAGTGGTAGTTCCACCTGGGGATTCTCCGGGACAAAGTCGTAGAGGGCCCTTCCAAAATCAATGGATGAAACATCTATAGGTTCTTGTTGCTGTTGTTGACCAGGAAACTGTCCTGGAAGAGGCAGATTTCTCTTCTTTGCCAGGTGTAGCACAAGCTTATTCAAAAGATACGGCGTTCCAATAGCCATTGCAAGGAATATTAGTAGAGGCTTTAACGATATCCTCTTTGCCGTCGAGTTTCTTGTGGCCTCTTGCTTGGCTTCGAATTTGGCAAACTCCTTCGCATCGATAACCTTTGATGTATCCTTTATTAGCCTACCCCCGGTGATCTTTGCCAATAGCCTTTTACAGTACTTTATAAGTGCATAGATACCGAGAAAGGAGCCAAGAGCGTTCTTCAGGTTCCCAAACTGCTCAGCAACTGAAACCATGGTGAAGAAAGAGCTATGAGTGGCCATATACGTTGCCTCCAGCATCTGTGCAAATCCTGCAAATGCACCAATGACGCTCTCTATCAGCTGAAACGTTGCCTGTGTGCTCTCTGCGAATCCACCGCCTTCACCGTTCTGTGGGCCATACATTCCATTCATACCATAGCCTCCCATTCCATATCCTCCCATTCCGTATCCTCCCATCCCATAACCTCCAAGTCCACTCCCATACATAGATCCATAACCTCCCAGTCGACTATATCCTCCATACCCACCATATCCTCCTAATCCGGATCCATAGCTCGATCCAAACGTTGATCCATACCCACCCATCGAATCATAGGAGTACGGCGTTGACGAAGATACTCCAGACTGCAACGACGTGGGTCTCTCAGGGACCGTTGGTTGTGACAATGACGACGACCCACTTCCGATAGCGCTCTGCGGTGGTTCAGGCGATAAAACATGTGGTACAGCTTCTGCTTGGCCCGACGCAGCTATTCCTCCCCATTGTTAGTTCACCTCATGATGGAATCGTACAAAAGAGACAGAGCCGAATATGTCCTTCAAGTCTCCGATCACAAAGCACACAAAGAAGCCATACTCACCTGCTGACGACTGTCCAGACGATACCTCCCATGGCTTAGGACGTGGCGCTGACATAACCTCTGTGATGATAAAGCACTTTCCTCCAATGCTTTCTAAATGGTTAAAAGTGGGCAAAATGAGAGAGAATTTTGTTAACAGTTTTTCGGTCAAACTTGCCTTTTTGTGCCTTTGTAGGAGGCCCTGCGGAGATAGTGAGGAGGGGCAATTCCGAGGAACTCTATCACATGATGCGTTTTCTCTCGAGGGTGTGGGCATACCACTCGAATCTACTCAGCGCCACAGTTCTGGTGTGACATACCGGGAAGCGATCTCCGTCTTGGATATATAAGTGCTTTAAGTACTCTGGATAAAGTGGTTAGTTACTTCTTTCTGGATATGTCAACGGCAGGTACCATCACAGTGTGTAAACCAACATGAAAGTGCTTGTTCTCGGCGCAACTGGCTTCATAGGCACAAGTGTTGTTGATTCTTTAGTCAAAGGAGGGCATCAGGTCCTTGGACAGTCAAGAAGCGAATCATCGCAGCTGGAGCTTGCCAGGCGTGAGATTGAGCTCGTTGTGAGTGATCCATTCAACGATGATAAATGGACAGAGCAGCTGGATACCATCGATGTTGTCATCGATTGTATCGGTGGGAATGCGCCAATTGATACTGGTTGTATCAAACTCATCAAGAAGGCTGAAGGCTTTAAAAGACATGCAACGGCTGCTAAGCTGGTTTACATATGGACATCCGGTGTTTGGCTACACGGTGAGGATCGCTGGAACTTCGTCACTGATGGTACTAAAGCAGACCACCCTCCAGAAAAAGTTGCCTGGAGACCAGAGGTTGAACACTACCTGATAAATAGTACAGCATTGGACGGCATAGTTATTCGTCCAGGGTTGGTCTATGGAAGAAGTGGAAGCGTACCGGCAATGCTCTTTGCACAAGGTGCGAACTCCGACAAGATTGTATGGCCTGGAACTCCTGGTGGCCGGTATGCTACTGTCCACGTTGATGATTTGGGAGAGCTGTACAGATTAGCTGTGGAGAAGTACCCGTTGGTTAGAGGGTTGAAGATTGAAGGAAGTAACCCGTCTACTGAAAGTGTTGACTTGATACTCCAAAGAACCGTGGAAATCTCAGGTGCGAAATCGTATATTTATAAGACTCCTGAGTCCCCATTTGAAGTTGCTCTTGCTGCAACTAGCGTCGTTAGAGGTACAATTGCAAAATCGATACTGGGCTGGACCCCGGTCAAGCCATCATTGGTTGATGGATTGGCAATCTACTACCACGCTGCAATTGCTTCTACTCAAAAGTGATTTGCATTAGATTGGTCAGTGTGTATAATTCGTAACAATAAAAACAACAAGAAAGTTCATTAGTACTATATAAGAGTGTCAACGTGTGAGACAATGGTCAAACCCTTCCGTATCTTAACCTTGTGGTTCTTTGCATTGGCCAACGCCTTGAGGAGACGTTTATCCTTTTCGCTGCTCTTGCATAGCCATATGTTCTCCTGCTGTAGTAGATCTCTATCCTGTCTCAGAGATCTTATCGTATGCAACAGATCCTGGACCAGATCTTCGTTCATCGTCATTTGCATCTGATTCTTCAAATCTTTCTTGCCCGACTGGAACGATGAGGTAAACTGCTCTGTACACACCGTCGGTGGTGTCTTTATAACATTTTCCGACGAGGATAATGGTGATGCCATTGGCGACGTGTCCCTGGTTGTAGAAACTTGTGAATTCATTAGCGTATCGAGCTCCTTCTCCAAGGTCTGTACATCCTCTCTCAAACTCTCAATCACTTTATCCTTCTTATCCTGTGAAGTCTTTGAGACGAGTTTCAACTTTGTAACATTTTCGCTCAAATGTGCCACCTGGGCTTCAAGCTCTGCCTTGTTCTGAGAAAGCTTTCTCAGCTCAGCATCTTGTAGTTCCACTTGTTCTCTAAGTTGCTTCAATTCTTCGGATTCATCTTTTCTCATTGAAGAATTCTGTTGCTTTTGCGATTGGGATTGCTCTTGAATATGTCCCAACAACAAATTGTTATCCTCTCTAAGCTGTATATTCATCTCCCGTAGCTGTGCATTTTCCTCTTCTAATACAAGTAGTCTCTCAATGTGTTCTCTAAGGGCACTGTTCTCGTCAACCCAACTGCCGGGGCTCATCCTAGTGGATTGGGTGCCATAGTTGTATCCGGTATTATCAGTGACAAAGGACCCCTTCGACGACCTTGGTTCAATTAACCAATCTCCCTGTTGTAATAGTGGGCCGTTCGGAGACATTGACTGCGGGATTGGAGGCTGTGGGGGTAAGAAATGGTCCGAGGACCTGTTCGAGACAAACGACTGTGCACGATAAGGTGAAGATTGTATCGACTGTGTTCTCGGCGGAGCCATCATCTCGTGCGAAGAGAACCCTTCTTGTAGTTGGTAAAACCCTTGTTGTTCTGCTGCAGCAGCAGCAGCAGCGTTTCTTCTACTCTGCTGGCTGAACTGTTGAAATGTCTTTTGCATCTTTGTTTTGTGCTGTTTCCGTTGATCAAGAACAGACAATGGAGTCTTTTTCAATCCATGCTCACGACTATTGTCCACATTCGTGCTAAACATCCTTGTATGATACCTCTTTGTTGACTTAGTTGTTCCACCTGATTATGAGAAGGGAGAAGAAGAAGTTAATAAAGCCACCAAAGGAAAAAAAAACCTCAACACACGTACTTCGTGTAGAAAATTTCTAGCTTATGGGATTAATGCACCTTGTACATATTTTGCATCTTTTGAGGCCTGCCTTGCTGAACCTTTCGAGCAAAAGAGGCCCAAAGGAGAAATCGTGAAAAAGCCAAATCCATCGCGATGTTGCCGAAAAGGGTAAATTAATTACAAATTTGGCTTGCGGGAACTTTGGGACCACTCCAAAAAAAGAAACAGTTGACGCGTAAGGCTGTTGTTGGCATAACTTCTAAGGCCAGGGAAATGGTTGTCTCTCTTCCCTTCCCCCTTACAGTTGTGTGGGACCAGGACGCGGTCACAGTCTCCAGGATGAGACGCGTACATTTAATACTAGGGGGCGCCCCTACTGAAACAACCAGGTAGATCGTTTCCAAGGCAAAGGGACGCGTCTGGTTTTAGTTTCTTCGTGGAAAGCCCCCTCCTGTAATGACTTCCAGCTGCGCCTCTACGTATCACGAACACGTTTTGATCTAGTCAGAAAGTCTAATCATTAGTTGATACCTATAGGTTGTGATTATATGGTTGGGCTTGAGTGCCGTAGTCTTCTCCTCGTTGACTTTACAGATGCCAATTGCTCGAGGTTCTTCTTTTGTATTCTATGACTTGCCCTGAATTTGATGCTCTTCTTCTTCAAATCCATAGCGTTGGCCCGTTCTTCCTCTCCAAGACCGAGACTTATCGTATCATCTCTCTCCCCCGCTGATACGTCGCTGTCGTCTTCTTCCTCTTCGTCCTCCTCACTTTCCTCAAAATCCTCGTCTTTAGAAGATTGATCGCTGACAAAATCCGAATCATCAGGAAGCACTGTCTTGATATCAATAAATCCATCATCTTCTTCGGATTTGGCACCATTTCTTATCTTTCGGTTCCGTTTGGAAGCATCTCGTTTCCCAGGGTAGCAATGCCTATAGCCTTGTAACACCTCTACCTTACCATTGGAAAGGTTATGCTCGTTGATCTCATTAAGTATCTGTTCTTCTGCTGTGCGTGGATCATTCAAATCATCGTGCAAGAAATTTGCCAGGATTGCAATACTATCTCTCATAGGGTCAGGCTTAACAATGTCACTGACCATCTTTGTAGATTTGACACTCGTCTCCAAATTAGAAGGCCCAAGACCAACTTGGTTAATACCACCAGATGGACCAAAGATGAGTGGCTTCCACAAAAGAGCTGAAGGCTCCAAAGTCACATAGTTTTTATTTTCCCAAGTCTGAGTAATTTCATCCAATACGGATAAATCAATGCTTATAGCATATTTGCTCAACTCTGCATTGTATAAAAGTGCATCACACTGCTCCAATCCAACAACCACATCAGAAGTGGTCAAGCCTGTAAGACTAGACAACTGACTCAATGAAACGTTGAAGTTGGACCTGTTCTTTGAAAGCCTCTTCAAGGTGTAAGCAATAGTGACTTTCCAGTAATTCCTATAACTCACAAGACCCAGATCACTCAATGGCTTTTCAGGTGTGCCTTGTTTGAACTCACGGCGACTTAGCAGATAAGAAAAATCAATCAACAAATTACCATAGCCTTTTCTTTGGTATATAGGCAACGTGATAATACAACTGAGGTTGTAGTTTGTCGAATTCAGCTTCTCCTTCGAGAAATAACCAACAAAATGGTGATGGTTTGTTATTGGATCGTGTTCAGTCAAGACGTAGAACATAAAGGGCTCAACGTCATAGTATAAAGTCTTTGAGTTCAAAAACAGTTTGGCCAATAGACACAAATTTTGACAATATATGACATTCTTTCTGCCATCAATCTCGAAAATCGAGTTGTTGCCGTGTCTGTAAATCTCTGTTCCTGGAGGGTGAAACATATCACATTTCAACTTATGACGATGCAGTATGTACTTCGAAGACATGTACTTGAGACAATGCTCACATATATAGAGCATTTGATTCTTGCTGTATTCCTCAGGGTAAGGCGCGGTGTACCAAGTCTGAATCTCATAGTCCTTGAATTGAATGAATTTGATCTTTGAGCTCTGTGCAAAGGGATCATCTCTAACAGATTGGTTCAACATGACCGTATTGTTTCTTAGTCTATCTGGTTCGGATTTCTTCAAAAGTTTCTTAAATAGTATCCTATCCCTTTTCGATGGCATTGTCTTGTCATTTTTGGCCTGTTCTTTCGACAGTGCCCCTCTATAGAGAACTTCATCATCATCTGAGTGCAATTCGTTGTCATCTTCATCTTCGTTGACATTGAAATCGTCGTTTTCATTGTCCTTTATGTCCAACTTTTCATCATCCCGAAGTGGTGAAGGCTCTCTGAACTGGTAGAACTGAGAGCTTTGATATTTAATCTTCATGACAAACTTATGAGCAGTGTGTTGTGTTACGAGACAATTCTTGTTCGAGCTAAACCAGGCCTTGTGAGAATTTCTCGATATTGTACCACTCGATGATGTAGCTCGCGGCCTCGTCTCACAGTATACGGGCGACTCGTCCCTATGCCGTAGTGAGCGCGTTGACTTTTCAGATTCCGCATCCTCAAATGCCTTTTGATGAACCGCATCGTATTCCAAGTTATCTGGGATCACCAGAGATCTCAGCAGACTTAGCTTCCTCTGTACAACTCTGTCATGCGGTGACGTTGATCTCTTCGTCCCAGTGCCCTTTGTAGCGTCGGGAGCAGCAGTCATGGTGTACCTCTGTTCACCCTTTATCACCACAGCAGTGTGCTAGACAATGTCACTCGAAGCCAGCTTCAATAGGGGCACAGTTGTTGGTCAGTTCTGCCGTCAAAAACGCTACAATTGGTCTTTGTTTACACAGAGGTACAAACAGGGAAAAAACCGATCAACTTTTCCCGCTCACCAGTTTGTGGAATTGTATGGAGACGACACCCAGACACCAATAAGAGCAGGTGCAGCCGCTGACTAAGCAGTGGAATCAAGGCATCATCATCCCATGGATAGGCGATGACAGGGTCTTTGGTTACAGCTTGAATTACTACAACAATGGGCTAAACGCTAGACGTATATATAATATAAAATTCATTGTAGTAAAGTCACACTGGCATGCAAAGTTTATCAGAAGTTTCGAGCAACAAAACCAACGGCATTTCAAGCACCCGGTACATTCTCCCGACCAAAGTACAACAGCGTCCATGCCATCTGTTGAGTAATCTTTAGCCTCTTTCATCTTTGTTCTTTCCTCTTCGTTATTCATTTCTCAGTACGTATAAAAGGACATCAGTCATGTTAAAATGTTGTGTGTATATGTGTTCTTTTTTTCGTTTTTATTGTGTGTGTGTATCCGCATGTTTTCTGGTCTTGACATTTCTTGTGATGATTAAAGAAAAGCATAGAAGTGTTCATTCATGAATAACGTTGATATCGTAATAGTCAAAAGAAGAGAAGGCGTCAACATAAGAGCAAGAGAAAACAAAACAAAACAGAAAAAAACATGGAATATAAGCGTTATTCTCTTCCTCAAGCAGTCGGTTGCATAGATCTTGGTCCCCAGATATTGGAGCCTGTGTCCAAATTCAAATTGAGTGCATTGAGCCCATCGTTCAGCTCGTTTTCAACATTGGAAGCTGCTCCGTTATAATGATCCTCCCATTGGTTGGATTGCAAGTTGAAACGAGACATGCCTTCTAACCCCGGTGTTGTTGGTTGAGACTGCGTGGCTGAGGGTGGACCCTGTTGTGGGAACTGTTGACCCTGCTGATGTTGGCCAAGAGACTGATGCTGCTGCTGTTGCTGCTGTTGTTGTTGTTGTTGCTGTTGCTGTTGTTGGTAGAACAACACATTAGAAGATCCAGGGTTGTTGTACAGTGATGGCATAACCCTGGTTGGAGTAGGGTTATTTCTCAGTAACGCTGCAGTGGACAAAGCGTTATTAGTTTGGGATACTCCAAGGTTGAAGTTTGGTGGAATACGACTTGCTCCTTGTTGTGGCATCGCCGTCTGTCTAAATCTTTGGTTCTGTTGGGCAGCAGCAGCGGCAGCAGCTTGTTGTTGAGATAGAAGAGGAATTGCAGAATGGGATTGGGATCTTAATAGAGGCGAAGGATCATGAATTGTTCCACGTCTCTTGATCAAAATGAAGTTGTTTTCGTAAGATTCAACCAATCCCAAGAACTGTACCAATATGGTTACAATTCTCTTGTGGTTCGGAGAAAGCGTCGCAGGGTATGCAATTTCATTGTATTGTCTTTCACCATCTTTAAAGAACAACAGCTGTGAATAAAACTCCAAAGTTTCAGGGTCGTTAAAGTCCACTTGGGATGGAGGCAATGGCAAGTTGTTGACAAATGGGATTGGCGCATAGTACCTTTCAGAACCGGTATGCTGCTCTTGCAAAGGCTGTTGAGTGAGTTGTTGTGGATAGGTTTGCTGTTGCTGCTGTCCTTGGGATGCGACACCAACCTGCTGAGAAGCTTGTTGAGGCAAGATATCCTTCTGCTGGCCTGCTGGAGCAGATGAGATACTGATCATCGAAGCCAAAGAGGCACTTGAATTGGAGCGGTGTTGCTCCTCCAACTGCCCACGTTTCTCACGCTTCTCCCTTTCAATTCTTTCACGTTCTGCCAGTGGAAGCATCTTCTTATACTCCACCCTCAACTTACGGCCACCAATTTCACGACCGTTCAACTGAGTCACAACTGTTGTCGTCTCATCAGTGGATGTGAAATTTGCAAAAGCCAATCCTCTGAATACCCCATTATCGAAATGGTAGTTGAAGGCATAAGGCAATGGCAAGTTCAACTTTGTCATAACTTCCAACAGCTGTTCCTTCTTTATGGCAAATGGGATGTTTTTGATCACAATTGCCGTAGGGATTAGTTCATCGTCATCATCGGTGTTGTTGTTTGCATTTGCATCATTATCATTAGATTCGTTATTGATTTCGTTCTTTCCAGATTCCGAGTCTGCTTTGTTGTTGGTTTGGTTCAATCCAGTCACGCTGTGTGGAACAACGCTTGAAACACTTGGCGATGGACGCTGCGACTGAGGATCGAACGACGCCTGTACGGACTGTGAGTGTCCACCACTAAGCTGCGGTTGTTGGTACTGGCCGATGTAACCAGGGCCATTCAGGTTGGATCCGTACGAGTTGACAAAGTTCTGGTTCTCAATAGAGCTCGTGGTTGAGGATTGAGAAACCTGTTGTTGTTGTTCAATCCAGGGGGTAACGTTTAGAGAACCTCCCTGTTGATACCAGGCCTGTTGATGAGCATGGACTTGTCCCTGTGCTTGTCCTTGTCCCTGGGTCTGGGTCTGGCCAAAATAGCGGCTTTGTCCGCCAAATCCTCTTCCTGGGGTCGGTTGGTTACCTGCAAAGGAGTACCCAGACTGCGCAGAGGACATGGACGAAGTTGATGGACGTCTCTCCCGTTCAAAGTTGTTCGGAGTCGTGGTGAACTGTCTGAGATCCATTACGTAGCAAGTAGATCAGTCAGTCAGATGTGTGGTATGAAGAATCCGTTCGTTATGGTATACTCCTTGTGATTGACTCTGTTGTGTTGTCCGTGTATAAGCTAAACGTCCAGGACAAAAAAATATGTATGACGGGACAGACAGACAGAAAGAGAGACTTGATCGGGAATACTCTGGTGTGTGCTTTTTCTTTTCCTACTCAGAATTCGAAGACACTTAAAGACAAAACCGGGTCAGATAAGAAGGGGTCTTTCCTATGTTTCAATATCAACACGTTAAAACGGTTTGTTGTAATCCTCTTCTTGGTTAAATTCCCTATTCAGCGGACACTTTTTTCCACTTGTCTTGAAAAAAAGAAAGAAGAAAACAGACAAGCTTCCACTTAAACTTCGGTTTTTTTTAATCGTGGGTTTTTTGTCCAGTGTGGAAAAAGAAGCTCTTCCTGTTTGTCCCAAAAGTCCTCCCCCAAGCGTCGACTGTGAGAGGCGAGAAGAAAAAAGACTACAAAAACAAAACAATTTGGTACACCCGCCCACCTCGCAATTGTCTGTTTTGCGTGGCTTTACCGGCTACTTACTGCCAATGAGCGCGTCGGCAAAAATCAGCTACTTGTTACAGGTGGGCGATTCCAACCATGACGGGGACATTTGGAAGTGGCTGGACGAGACACCCGGCAGTGTACGGGTTTTGGATGTAGTATCCGGTAGGGACACGGTGGAACCCGCTCTTGACCAAATGCTTTCTCATTGGTGCTTTCAAAGGAATCATGGATTGTGGAAGAAGAGCGGTATCCAGAGATGCTTAGAACGTTCTGTAAGCCTCCAAAGCTGCCCATTGATAATGTATCAACAAACACGCTCTTACAGAATCTCGGTTACATCAATCAGCCAAGCGCAGGTACCATCCATTGGTTGCCCTTAGGCTTGAAAGTGTTGAAGAATGTTGAAACCATCATCCGTGATGAGATGGACCGTGTTGGTGGTGAAGAGTTCAGTTTGAGCTCTTTGAGTAGTAGAGACCTATGGCAGCAGACTGGGAGATGGAAGAACACCGAACTGTTCAAGATGAAGATAAATGACGGTGAGAATGACGACTTCTGCCTGGCCCCAACGCACGAGGAGGAGATTACAAACCTAATCAAATTGGCAAACGTCAACTACAAGGCATTGCCACTGTTAACTTACCAGATCACTCGTAAGTACAGATTTGAGAAACGTCCGCGCGGTGGATTGTTGAGAGGCCGTGAATTTGTCATGAAGGACGCATACTCATTCGATAAGGACCATAACGGTGCCATCGAAACCTTCGACAAAGTTAACGAGGCGTATTACAAGATCTTCTCAAGGCTGAAAGTGCCCTTTGAAAGAGCAGTGGCCGACTCAGGAGACATAGGTGGTAACCTCAGTCAAGAGTGGCACTTCGTCAATCCAGTAGGTGAGGATCTGCTATATAAATGCACGCATTGCTCAACGGTTTCAAACGTTGAAAAGACGGTAGCATTACCACTTGACGACTCACCTCCTGCCAAAGTGGCAAAAGTACAATACGCATTGACCCAAGATAATGAAACTCTTGTTGCTGCTTATTACCCCGATGATCGGGTGTTCCTCCCAAATTTGCTCAAAGATCAAGTTGAAGACATTGATATGTCATCTCTTTTGTTATCCCCAGAAGAAGTGGTCGAAAGGTTCCAAGGTGAAGGAGATGAGGAGCTGATTCTAAAAAAGTTCATCCGTATAATGGATGCAAGACTGAACGATTCCACGGATTTACCTGATTTCCCAATTTCAACTTTCCAGAAGAACAACTTTACTCTGATAACTGATGTACCACTGGTTGAAGCCCGTGAGGGTGAAATCTGCGGCGAGTGTGAAGAAGGTACTTTGACTGGAATGAATGCAATTGAAGTTGGACACACTTTTTACCTCGGCACGAGATACTCAAAGCCTATGAATGCAAGATATGCAACTGCTCAGAACACTTCAGAACTGTTAGAGATGGGATGTTACGGTATAGGGGTCTCAAGAATTGTTGGTGCCATCGCACAGATGAACAGGGATCAACAAGGACTTGTATGGCCTTCTACAATTGCTCCATACCAGGTTGCATTGGTTGTTGCACCAAGAGTCGATTCTCAAACCGTTGACGATGCGTTGAGACTGTTATCTCCATGGAAAGTGATGCAAGATCAAAACGAAAAGACTGGCTTTGGTGCAAAGATCATCAACGCAAAGATGCACGGTATCCCAATCGTTGCAGTTGTCGGTAAAAACTGGCCAATTGTTGAATTGGAAGTGCGTGGTAAGAGATGGAAACCTGATAACGATGAAACACCTTACGACTACGAAATAGCATTACAACAAAAGACAGAAGAGTGGGGATGGACCTGTGAAGTTAACAATGGTGTTGAAAAGCACTTTGTCCAAAAGGATCGCATCCAGGACGTTATCTCTCTGTTGCTAAAGGACTTGTGAATATGACTCTACGCGTGTGAATAATCCCGGATTTTAATATACATAGAAAATTATCTCTTTTGTTTATTCAACCACCACTTCAACTCCTTTTCTCTCTCTTTCTCTCTCTTTCTCTTCTTTTCTCTCTCTGTGTGTGGGGCTATACCATTGATTAGTTCAAGAGCTTACCAGTAAGTTTGGCGACAATGTGAAGAGCAATGACGGAAAAGATGAAACCAACAGCAAGGAACATGACGATCAATGGGTCAACTCTCAATCCCTGTGCCTCGTCGGTGTACAGCTTGAGAAGAGAAGCGGAGGATCCCCCAAACCCAGCAGATCTCGTGGAAGTTGGGGTTTGTGATTGCGCTTGAGCCTTGGCCTTAGCATTGTTACGACGCTTGATGTCGGTTCTTTGTCCACCTGGGGCTGCTGACTGTTAAACACGTTAGCTGGGCCGTTCCCTTGGCTTGGAGTGAGCAAAACATAGGTACTAACCATCTTTATAGAAGTTGAATATGGGTGTGTGTTAAAGTGGCCACAAGTCAGAAAGCCGGTAGTGCGCTTGTGAGCTTTTTCATCCTTCAAAAGTCGACACGTTAACAGTTTTGGCGAAAACCCGAAGAAAACATAATCATCCAAACACCACATTTTTCAAGGGTAGGGTAATCTACGTCTCTGCGGAAGAGGCCTTTTATTTAGAGCTCTATAATTGTTTATTCCTGAAACTAGTCATTGTTGATATCTTGTTATAGGCTGTGAAGTTGCTCTCTAACCCTTGAAGTTATAGCACCCTTCGAAGAAGTTGATTTCCAACTGTACAGTTTCAGCGAATATGGCGTTGCATCTCGCCCACTGCTCTGGAGAGCACTCTGTAGATGCCCTCTCAATCTCATTCGCTAGGAACTCGACCCAAGTTTCGAACTCTTCACCACTGTGAAGGTCAATCCATTCTTGGTGTTTGTATGCCAGTTTTATCTGCTGTGACTTAAGCTTCTCACTGTTGTACTGAGCCCATCCCAAATACACCTTTTCCATAACATAGATATAGGTGATGATCTCAGCATAGCAGGTGACGTTATCGATCAGCTTTTCCATGAATTGGATATACGACTTGACTTGAAGCAGTCTCACTGGTGAGTCTGTCAATAACAGAGGGATATTCTCCTGGAGCTCTTTCAACGACGTCTCCTTTAAGATGCCCATCGTGATGTCAAAATAGTCATTCTCTCTGCCAGCTAGAAGTGCAACTTGCTTGCCCAAGACCACCAACGAATCGCCATTGGTACACAACGAGAGTGCCTTCCCCATGATTCTCAGTGCAATGTGGAAATATTGCAAATCTTGGACCAGAAAGGTGTACAACTTGTAATCCGGAAGAGTTCCATCGCATAACTCATTCGTCAGAGGATGAGTAATTGACTCTTGGAATTTGGCCTTGTTCTTCTCTAGCAATTGCTCTACTTTGCTCATCCCGTGTACTTTGACAGTGATTCATGGTGTTATGTAGAAGGAATACTTCGCATTGTATCCAATTCAACGTAAATCCAGCTTTCCGATGGTATATGCGCTTACAGCCTTCGCCCATTTTTATTAGTATGCATCTTACAACGACTACATAAATGCAACAATGAATGTCTATACGGAAAGTCGCAATGACGTTATTATAAAGTGGATATGAAATGATAATGATGTGAAGTATGTACAGAGGCTGATATCAAGCTTCATAGAACAAAGGCGTACTTTGACTTTGCTCTAAGACGCTTTCCATACTTATAGAACAAGAATGGAACCGGCACAAGAGCAAAACCCACACATGAAAGAAGCAAACCTGCCCAGTTAGTACCCATGGCATGGAACATCTGCACCGCAAACAATGGGAACGCACATGCAAACCCGGATCTGAAGAAGGTGTTACCTGCAAGAGCCGAAGCTGCAAACACCAGGTATGAATCAATGATGTAGTTGATAGAACCGTTGAAGATGGTAATCAATCCAAATCCGATAAAGACACCAGCAGCGGTCGGAGCCATCCAATGGACTTTATCTGGATAGTTACCTGTCCATGTAAACCAGAAAAGACCCACTGGAAACAAAACCGAACCATAGAACACCGAAATCAGACGAGCCTCAGGAACGATCTTACCACCGTTACTGTCCATGGCTTTCAAATAGGCACCTTCAGCCCACAGACAAACAGCACCACCAAACATCATACCAACGACAAGACCCAAATATGGCAATTCACTGGTACCACCTGTCATACGATAACCCTCGGCAAAGACGATAGGGTAAGCAGAAAGTAGGAGATAAAGAATACCATAAATGAAAGCGTTGTAAAATGAGATAAGGAACAGAATTGGTTCCGTGGCAACCATGATCAATGGACGGGTGATGTTCTTTTCAACAATGTCCTTGACTGTGAGTTCGAATTCGTCATGTGGTGCATGAATCAACCAGTTACCAGTACGTTTTTTAATCTCCTTAGCCTTGTTGACTAGAATGATTGGATGGTGAGTTTCTTCAAAGAAGACTGCAACTAGTGCAAGTGAGAATGAGCCAAAGATTCCAATAAGATATTGGGTCCATCTCCATCCCAAGTAAGATGAAACGACAAAGGCACCGATGACAGGTGCAAGCAATGGCATACAAAACACCATCATGGAGAAGATTGCAATGGCCTTACCACGAGTTCTGTTTCCGAAAAGGTCTGCAAAGGCAGCGGGTACAACCACCAATGGCGCAGCACCTATAATACCTGCAAACGCTCTACAAAGCATCACAGTCTGGATATCTTTAGCAGTTGCAACTGCAAATGTGAAACAGACGAACCCAAGTCCAGAGATCAACAAAACTGGTCTTCTACCGTACAATTCTGATAATGGAGCCCAAACAACCGGACCAGTTGCAAACCCCAAGACGTATAACGATATACCCAAAGTAGCTGTGACGTGACCAATGTGGAATTCCTCAGAAACCTCCAAGATACCTGGTGAGTACATAGAGGAGCCCATGGCCACCGCGGCGGTCATGGCACCAATAATTGCACATATCCAAACCTTTCTCTTCATATTCCAGTTGTGTGGGTGCAATGGATCATCCGGCCCGTTGAAAGAAACGGTATAAGGTTCGGGGTCTGGGAAGTCCGTTGGAATCTCCTTGTTGAGACCCATTGGTGGCATTGGGGTCTTTGCATGTTCGTTCTCCTCTTCTGTTGTGTACGCAGCAGTCAAGACTCTGGAGAGTTCTCTTGAGACAGCATCGCTTGCCTCAACGTGATCTAATTCTTCATCCAAAGTCTTGACCCTCTTGGCTTGGTTTTCAACATCGCCCACAGCATCGGGAAGGGACTGGGGGTCCTGTGCAAACTCACTGTCTGCAGAGGACGAGTTATGCGATGACGATGAGGTGGGGCTCAGAGAGTTGTCGTCCCCTGCATGTTCAACTTTCGGAGTTGTTGAGATATTACTGTTGGCCATGGTACTGGAGTGGTCGGATGAAGACGTCATCGAAGTCTTAGTACGTGTCAATGGCAGAAAGTACTCGTGTGCCTAACGTAGAATCTCCAGCGGTATTATAAAGTTGCAGTTGGAAGCTTGGAGCAAGCTCGGAGAAATCAAGTGCTGAGAAATTTCAAGTGCTGCTCGGTACAACATGATACATAAGACAGAGGAGATGGGGGATATTTATATAAGGCTCACGTCCCCATCTGCCAAAGTTTTAGCCCTATGTGTTTATTTTCTTTTTCCTTCTGGATATAAAAACTTTTTCCCTCATGTCGCTCAGACGCATGTCTATGCACAAGCGTCGGAGCTTTTGCTGAGATGGGAAACAACCGTTCGGAGACAACAGAAACACAACAGCCAAGCATGTGTTGTGGTGAATGACAAGTGAGGAGAGGGCACCAATTGAGGTTTGATGACACAATCTGGGTGAAGCATTCTTGATACTGTGAGGGAACATGATGGTGTGTTTGATGAAAGGGTGTTGTAGATTTGTAACTGGCGACGAATGGATTGGTTCCCATGAACGCTTTGCTGGCGTTGTAGTGGGATGTAAACTGAAACTGCCGGGCGATGTTTATTCATCCCGTTGAAAGTTCCACGAGGTGATGCGAACGACGGTGGGACGGGGTATTCGAAATAAACACCCAATATTTCCACATTTGTCGCTGTTCCATGGTGCAATAACTGTTTTGGAACCTGTGCAATTAGTCGGGACGTGATAAGGACCTCCCGTGGACCCATTTTGTGTCTTTGTAGTGCACATTGTATGCTTTAAATCTGTCCTCCTTGGCTGGTCAATGGTCGGGGACCCTTGAACGGAATCTACAGCGTAGCCCTTACTGCTATATCCCTCTTACAGTTTAGCATGCCGGACCAAGAACACTCGGTGCAAATCCAGTTCTATTTAGTTGAACATTCTTAACAGCTCAAATGGTGCTCCAAACGTAGCCTCGTGTTTACTGTAGTCGTCTGTAGAGTAGATGCGCCGTCATTGCCGTGCATACGACCACCACATTTCTGAGCGACGATTAACCGTAGCGTCTGCTCTTCGGCTCTACGCTGTATCCGATCCAAACTCTTTATTAACCCCGTTTCTCTTCGAGCAGCGTCCACGATTCAGTGATACGAAGATCTTCGGGCTGAACATATCTTACAGAACCTCACCCATGTATCAACGGAACTATAACTACATACAATATAAATCGCCCCTGAAAAGACTGGTGCTCGGTTGATCTTCTCAATTACTAAGCGGGACCCGAAAGTGAACCAACACATCCGAACAATCAGCCCCTCTTATTACTAACATGGCCAAAAAACCCAACCAAAAGAACAAAAAGAAACCAAGAATCAGTCATGTCATATTAGCTACAGCCCTTTACCTCCGTTTTTGGGAACTGCGCGGCCGAGAAACACTCGGCTTAGGTGATGAATAATCACTTATGTAATGCGTTTTCTGAAACAGGAATTCTTCCCTTTTGGGTTGTTTCAATAATTTCCCAGAACTGAAAAAGAAAGCCGCCCAAACAACAATGCCACACAGAGGGAAAAGCTGGGAAAACTTTCAGACACTCAAGGGTTTTTTTTGAGTTTGTCGACCATTTTTCCAGCGCTTAAAAAAATTGAAAAATGAAACAGGTAACAAAACAAAGAACTTTATCAAACGACATCAAAAGGAGCTCACAGTCCAGCTAATTTCAAGGACATTTTTGTAACATACTCTGTCATTTAAAAAAGGAAGGGAAAGAACTTTCACGGACACAACGTTATCAAAACTGTTCATTAACCCATCCTCTTGAGAAACACGATAATTGATATCTTAGAACCCTTTCAACCCGCTTTATTTGTTGTGCTGTTCTGAATTCCTCATCCTCTGGCAAAGAATCCACACAGCAGCACCAACGGGACATTTTCAAAGGGACAAGCGGTTACACTGACAGATACCCGCACACAAACACGCTCTCATACACGGTCATAGTCTGACTGGGGTTTGCACAGCATAACAAAATCATACACAGATGGCTTCGAGTACATCACTATCGTCGATGTCTTCTTCATCGTCACACTCTTCAACGAGCTCAAATGCGTCTCTCAAAAGGATAAGGAAACCTTCACCCTATAAGCAAGTCTATAACTTTGTCAGGGCATTCTTCACAACGCTGTACCTTTTACTCATCGTACTAACGGTCCCTATTGCTTTCCAAGTTGGTGGTGTGTATTGTGGACTGACCTTCACCGTGACGTTATTCTGTATCTACTCGAGTTTAACAGTGATACGGCTCGTCCTGTATAGGAATTGGGTGGTGAATGTACTCTACTACTCACAGCACTTGCTGATACCGAGTATACTGACATTTTCATTGTCTGTCTTCAACAACAACGATATGGAACAGTTGAAATTGGACCATATTGTGTACTATAAGTTCTTTATAAAACCATGGATGTACGTGATTCAAAAGTCTACCCCTTGGTTTACACTCCTAGAAGGTTTATGCACAGTGCTGGCAATCCAGAGCATTGGACAAACCTTCACATGGTTGAAATTGAACAAGTCTGAAAGTTGGGTCATCGTTAGCCTGCTAAGCTCTGGTGGTATCATTACTACTTCGATGTATTTTCTCTACAGAATCTATTCTTCCTCTGTGGAAATCAGCTCCGCATCTGCATCTCTGATTGGCGCCATCCTAACTTTCTGTTGTGGTGTTGGACTCTACGGTATCATCTCTAAACGTGGCTCCACGGTGGAGAGCTCGTTGTTGTTTGCATACGTTGTGAGATGTATCTATGAGACGTTTCCAGAACTTTCTCTACTGGCATCAAACGAAATGGGCATCCTCATCTCCAGTGCTACAAACCAAATAAGGTTGGATGTTCAATTCTTGCCACTGTTACTCACAGATTCTGTAACGCATCTCGTATCCTCTCTCACGTGGAACGTTCCTGTGTCGTTTCAAGCTGTGTTGGATTTCTTCATTGCCGCTGCAAAGACAGTAACACCAACGGTACTTGTGAACCTTGCATACCGTGTATCTGTCTTCTACTCTGCAACGAGGATAATCCCAGCTTTGAAAAATCCACAACCTTCAACGAGGTCTATGAGGGTCATATACGCATTTTCGCCGTGCATTATCATTGCCGTTTATACGCACTTGATGATGCAGTATTCCAACGAGCTGGATTCCGAATTGTGTATCTGGGGATGGTGGTTGCCGCTCGACAAAAGAGAAGGTCAAGAAATTGTTGTTGATCCATGGTTATTCTGGAATTGGATCAACATGTTCAGCACGCTAGGGCTGTATGCTTTGGAGTTGTTTACGGACCCACAGGAATGGAAAGGGTAAGGTTTTGTTACGCTAACTCGGGATACATATATAATATAGTGTATGGGAAACATACATTTCTCTTTCTAAACACCATGCGGTTTGCCCTGTAGTTCGGTAGGCTATTCACACCGAGCTTCACCTCAATTCAACACTTGCACCAAAAAGTGTGGCACCCAAAATATGTATGCACTGTAGAATGCACTTCATCACTGCTCGGTGAGACTGTGGAATTGTGCGATGAGCAAGGGTGTCTGGGTGTTACTCATCTGCATGTGCCCAATTTCGAGGCCCAAGGCGAACAAAGCCGTCAAAAAAGCTGTTTCAACCGGTACCCGGCTTTTGGATTACAACCATTTGCGTGCTTGGGGGTTTTAAAAGGCGTCATTTCATGCCGTATCTAACATTCAGGCTTGGTATTGTCTCGCATTGTAAGCGAGAAATTCCTGGATTTTGCCAAACACTACTAGCATGACGTTTAGACGACAAACCCGTCTATATGTTTGAATGAACTATCTATAAATTCAAATGACAAACAAACGTAATAAGCTTTGTGATAGGTCCAACACAATAGTACATCACGTCCGCCGGTTCTTTGTTGTATTTCCCTGTGACGTATGTGACACAGTTGCTTAAAGCTTAACGAAAGCAAGCACCCAACCCCACTGGTAAAACACACCATGGTTGGTGGCAAATTACAAAGATAGGGGTTTTTACAACTTTAGTGGGGCACGAGTCCAATCCAACTATCCCGTGTAAAAAAAAATGTGGTGGTCCTCTCCTCACGGGATACCATTCCTTCCCGCGGTATGACAGGTGCCTACATATAATTCTTCCAGTTTGTGGTACTACGCGATTGGCACTGTTTAATGCCACACTAATAGTAACTCCATAAACGCACTAACCTACCCCTACGAACTGTCCAGCTAATCACGTAACACCTACCGTGTGTTGTACCCTATGACATGTTTTCCTGCCGTGTTGTTGCCATTAGTCCACTTTGCACCGGTACTAACTGTATATCGCGTGTCCCGTTTAAATTTTCTTATCCCGCCAGTTAAAATCCGTAGACACAGCCCACGTACTACATGATACAGTGTGTCATGTACGCTATCTCCTATCGCAGCTTCGCGGGGCGTTCCGACAGAGTTCGTCTGGAAGAAGTGTCCGTCCTTACACGCTACAAGCTACGATTGAAGGTTACGTTTACACCATCTGAAGCGTGACACGTTCACTGCTCGAATAGGTTCATAATTAACCAAGACAAAGGGAGAAAAGACAGACGTCGAAAGTTGGAACCGATGCGAAAAAAAAGAGCTCATCGCGAAATTTGTGACCGTAAAGGGTAATCTTGTGGCGCAAAAACCGATTGATTCTATAGCGAGGAGAAGGCGATGGACCGTTAATTCTCGTTCGAAGACGCAACGCCGGAAGAAAAAAAAAAGTCAACGGGTCATCGACGTTTCATTTTAACGCATCGCACACGGTTTCGAATTTTTGGTGGTGAATTGTTGCAAATTGCTCAATATATTTCTCTCTCTCTTCCACTTCTCAAACAAACAAGGAACAAAAGAAAAAGAGTCGAAATCTTTAATATTCTGCGACAAACCACTCTCAATATTCAGCAAGGGACATCTCACAGCTTTTTGTCCACAGTCTCTGTTTTTTTCATTTCGGCTTCTGTCTCGATCGTCCACAAAAGAGACCCACAGTTTCCCACCCCATCACACGATTGTAACCCATCTCTCATTGTCGACAACACCAACGACATTATTTTTGGAACAATAGGAGGGGAGTCTAAAAACTTTGGCCCAAAGAGGAATCCGTTATAACTACTTTTACACGTTAATTCACGACTTGTCACCATGGAGGATAAACTCACAAGGGTGTTTTCTCGCACGCCTTCTTCTTGGGACCCACAGGATGACCTCTTGCTACGACATTTAAAAGAACAGCAGAAGTTGGGCTGGAAGGAGATCGCCTCGCACTTCGCACACAGAACGCCAAACGCGTGTCAGTTCCGCTGGCGTCGACTACGTTCTGGTTCATTGAAAGGTGCTAACGGTGGCTCGTCCTCTGCTCCCTCGTCGAATCAGTCCACTCCGCCAACGGTTTTGGCGAAAGATGGAACCTCATCGCCGTCAACATCTCCGCCCTCGCAATCCCCGTTGTCATCATCTGCTGCGCTCACGCTCGGGAACGCGCACACACCACAAACAAAGCCCCATGCCAATGGGAAGGGTGCTGCTGGCGCTGGTACTAGCAAGGTGTCAAAGTTATCACGTTCGTATTCATCCTCACAATCAAGACCTATGCAGATACCAGAGATGTCGTATACGTTCAAACAGGCAAAGGGGAAAAAGAACATCACCGCGGAAGACGATGGTGCTGACCCGCTTTCCTCTTCGATAAACTCGAGCTCATCCGATGAATGGACTCCAGAGGAGGATGGTTTACTCCTTGCTCGTCGCAGAAGAGCTTTGAGCTTTGCAGAGCTATCAATACTCTTGCCGCAACGGTCAGAGGCGGAGATCCATAAACGTATAAGCACTTTGGAACCAAAGACTTTAAAGGAAACCCTCAAGGATACCACGAAACACGTCTATCTAACTGCAACCCCTAGACGTAAGCGTCATTCTCACTCTGTTACACCGATCCATTCCGGCGGTGTTCTCCGTGAACGCTCCTTTTCAAGCTCATCGCAAAACTCTGTGGGATTCCTCAGCGGTGATGCGCTAAGGTCTAAGTCTTTTAGTTACACGGTGCCGCCTTTGTTCAACAACATGACTCCAGTGGGTGACAGATACACATTACGTAAGGGCTCGATCTCTAACGTCAGAAGGAATTCTGTCTTGAGGGAAAGTGCCGTGAGTGATGACGAGGATGAGAAACACACACCACCACCGATCTCCAGAACCACCAGTGTAGCTTCAACTGCCACGAATACTACAACAAATTCCACTACAACAAAGCTGCCATCTTTGGGTGTGCTGTTCCACGACTATTTTACCAAGTGAGTTTTGATATTATTTAAAAGGAATGATGTTTAACGAGGAATGATTTTTGCAACGACACCACGGGATTGGATGTTTTCAGTTCAATAACAAAATCAGGGGAATATAAAATGTACTTTTCTTTATACCTTTGAGTGTAGCAATTATTGTCGTTGTTCACACAGAACTTACCAAGAGCAATGACGTTATTACCGAAATAGCAAAAAAAAAGCACGAACATAGCAAGGGATACATGAAAACAATTGAACCCAATGAGCAATGAATTGGACGTCATATGCTTGTAGAAAGTTTAAGTGTTTTGCGCGTAGCAATAAAGCAATTAACTATAGATCTTGATTTATGCCTTTGCTCTCTGTGTATATAAGCCAGGTACCATGCCCTCCTCTCTCTAGTAGATCTGATCTTTTAATCAAGAATCAAATCAAAATTGCAATCACACAAAATGTTTAGACTCTTGAGAAGAACTACAATTACAAGATCCATTGCCTACACCGGCAGACCAACCATGGGTTACCGTCCTTACTCAATCATTGACAGTGCAAAAAAAATAGCCGACGACATCAACAAGGCAGTTGGTAAGGCCGCAGCCAACACCATTGAATCTGCAGAGGACACCGCTGATGCTGTCAAGGGTAAAGCCGAGGAAGTCACCGAGAACATTAAGGATAAAGCTCAAGAATTGAAGGATAATACACAGGAAAAGGCCGAGGAATTTGCTGAAAGTGCAAAGCAAAAGACTAATGAAGTGGCTGCAGATGCTAAGGACAAGGCCCAGGATCTCAAATCTGATTTGAAAGATGAGGCTAAGGACAAAGATCTTGACGAAAAGGCTGACCAAGTTAAGGACAGCGTGAAAGAAGGTGTTGATAAGGCCGCTGATAAAGTCAAAGATGCTGTCAATTAAGCTATATTTCCTCCTCATATTAAACAACTATATATTGACATTAAATTTTAAGCTCTATTTCTATTGATCGATAACCTCAACTTGACGAGATTTGTAATTGTCTGGTTTACTTTAGCCTCCAATCCATTGTTGTGTGCAAGCTTCACAACATATCCATTGATGTAGTCCACTTCTGTCTCCCTCAAGTTTAAAACGTCCTGTCTCATAGAGCTTGAATTTTGTGCATTTACAACAGTACCAACTTCAATGACATTGGCAATCAATTTCTCTTTGTCTAAGACTTTATCGACATTCGGATTGTCCTTCAACTCAGGAATACACTTCTTGAAGATTCCAATTGACTCCTCGATGATATCGTGAAACAGTTGGGGTGCCTTGTCACCTTTGCCCAATTCACCATTGATACAATCAATGATTGAAGTGATAGAATTAATACAAGCGTTAACGGTAAATTTCTTCAACTGAATCAGCAACAAATCGGAGTATGGCATGTAGTGAGTCACAAGTCCCTTTGCATCCACCAATTGTTGGATAAACAGTGGTAAGGAAGACGTGTCATCAGAAGAAACCTGAGCAATGTTTAAATCTGCAAAACCAGCATGTGCGACAATGTATTCGTTGTCATCTGGGACAATGAACGCACCGTGGTTGATGACACCTTGGTACAAAGTTGGGCGATTGGACTCATCTGGCCAAACATCACGGATTAGCTCATCTGAAACACCAAGTCCATTTTGAATCAAGAGGATATTCGTTGATTTGTCGATGAGGTGTAAATAAGGTCTCAAAGCACTCTGAGTTTGGTAAGTCTTTGTAGTGACTATGAGATTAGATATAGGCCCGTTCAAAGTACTTGCAATTGCTGAATCAAATGTTCCACTAACAGATTCAACTGGGGTCTTGAACAGTCTTCTTATGGTTACTTTGGAGAGGTAACGGTCTCTGAAATCAGCCAATCTTGACGAGTTACGCCATAAGAGGACCGTCTTCGGTGGAGATGCCAAGGTGGATAGTTCATATGCAACAAGTCCACCAATAGAACCAGCTCCAAGTATGTGCACAGTACCACTACTCTTAGTCATTATCGATTGATTGTTTTTACTGCAAAAACAGTATACAGGGAGATTTAAAATGACTGCCTCTCTAGATATATATATTTCACGGCTCATGATGACGAGATCGTTCGGCGCTTTTTTTGATATGCAACAATGCTATGGGTGGAGGTGATGCGTTTATCACCTCCACCGGGAATTTTCAGTTACATAATTGGCTGTTTAAAAGATAAGGAACTGTTTAGAGGGACAAAGATTTATAGATCATGATCTGGCTTTCATGTGAGATGATCGGTAATTGGATTATTCTAAATATTTTTCTGTATCAAATTATCATAAATTAGTACCATTTTCTCATTAAAATTCTTAATGTGCCACCACTGATTTCTATATAATATTTAAAAATTATCTAAAGGGATATATTTATTGACCTTATTTAATATTAACACAAGGATGCATTAAATAGATATCTAAGCACCAAAGTGAACGGAAGAGTTATTTCATATGTTATCAATTTCCATTTATCAATCATTGTATTAACTGATAACCAGGCATGTCACGGTTGTCTACTAAACTCCGACATTGTTGGTGTTCGGATGTTAAATCATAGTTGATCATACTTTGTTAATTTTCCATCATGTAACTGATGGCACATGGCGAGAATTGACAATTATGTCTGCTGATTGAGCAACTTGGGACTAATCAAGGGTCATTTGCTTGCAACTCTTAAAACCAAACACAAGTCCATTTCCCCTAGAGCCATATTAATAATCGGTTTGGACACCTTCATGTGTTTCCCATACCATAGTGGTACATGCACTCTTTCTCTAAGGTGATGGGAAAAAAGTTTCACAAGAGATGAGCTTCGTTTCATACTGGAACGATTAAATACGAATTGACTAAAGATGGGTGCCAGTAATGCCCGTAAAGACAGAAGAAATCACTCTTCTAATGACTCAGATGTTCCTAGGAAGAAAGTCAAACTCAATAGAGGAAGATCTGAGTATAGAACTGTGACAAGGAACGCTCGAAAACCTCTTCGTAGAGAAGAAGAAGAAGAGGAAGAAGTAGAGAATGAGGAGATGCAGGACAGAAACAAGGGTCCATATGCCACCGATGAGTCCAGTGATGATGAAAAAGATGCTGTGGATGATAAAGGAAAAGCTTATGATGCTTTGCTGAACTTGTTGACAGCTGAGCAGGAGCTTGAAGAAGAGGACGAACAAGATGACAATGCGGAAGACATAAATAATGGACACAGTGAAAAAGACGAAAGGGATGAGGAGGAAGAACAAGAAGAACAAGAAGAAGAAGAGGAAGAAGAAGATCATATTGCTGGTATTGTTCAGGAAGAGTCTGATAACGATGAAGAAGAATTTGCTGATGAATCAGATGATGAAAAGGACAACGAAGATCCATTTGAAGTTCATTTTGCTACTGCTCCAGAGGATTATCTAAAAGAGTGTACTGATAAGTTCCAGAAGGGAACTAACAGATGGATCAACCAAAAGTTCCAGACCAAGACGCATAGTTGTATTGCATCTCTCCCACCAGTGGAAGGGTCCTCGAACTTCAGATCTATCCCGAAAGATCATTCGTTAGATTCATACAGCATTAAGAACCGTGTTTTGGAAAAATTTATTGAAAACTATGGTCCAACACTTGACGATGATATCTCCAAACAGATATTCGACCCTATGATGTCTTACAGGGATATTATATTCCCATATGTTTCTCACACAAACGTCTCGAATTATAGAAAATTGTACGCATTGCATGCACTGAACCATGTATACAAGACCAGAGATCATATTCTAAAGGATAACCAAAAGATCGCCAATCAAAACGAGAAGCTAGAGCAAGGTCTAATCAAACCAGAGGACGAGAAGGAGTTTAGAGATCAAGGTTTCACCAGACCTAAAGTCCTTATTCTTCTACCTACAAGACACCAATGTTATCAAGTAGTTGAAGAAATGATTAAGCTATGTGGAGCAGATCAGATTGAAAATCAGAAGAAGTTTAAAGGTCAGTTCTACAGCGATTCTGGAGTCCCAGACTCGAAACCTGAAGATTTCAGAGATTTATTTGAAGGGAACACCAACGATTTCTTTTGTCTCGGAGTGAAGTTCACCAGAAAAACCTTGAAGCTGTATTCGTCATTTTACCAGTCTGACATTATCTTTGCGTCCCCAATTGGACTTCAATTGGTGTTGGAGAATCCTGATAAGAAGAAACGCCAGTCCGATTTCCTTAGTTCCATTGAGATGTTTATCGTGGATCAAGCACATGCCATTGAATTACAGAATTGGGATCACATCTTGACGATCTTGAAATACCTGAACAAGATCCCGGAAGAGATGCACGACACCGACTTTTCGCGTGTTAGAATGTGGTCAATTGATGACCAAGCCAAATACTTTACCCAGAGCTTGATCTTTACCGAGTACAACACCCCGAACGTCAACAATCTGTTGTCTAGATCGATGAACATCTTTGGTAAGTACAGGTTTAGAACACTTGTGTCGAACAAGGAGAGTGCCATGGCGAAAGTCGGGCTGAAGATAAGGCAAATCTTCTCAAGATTCGCCTCTTCCTCTCCTATGGAGGAACCTGATGAGAGGTTCAATCATTTCAAGTCTGTCATCGTCCCATCTCTGAGCAAGCAAACCGGGTACGAGGACGGCTTATTGCTCTACATTCCACAGTACACAGATTTCCTAAGAATCAAAAACTACTTGAAGAATAAGACTTCATTGATGTTCTGTGATGTGAATGAGTATTCGGAGCAGAAGGACTTGTCACGCTCAAGAGCCTTGTTCCAACAAGGCCGCCGCAAGATCCTGCTGTATACCGAGAGATTACACCACTACAGAAGATTTGATCTCAAAGGTGTGAAGAACATCTTGATGTACGGTGTTCCAAACAACCCGCTGTTCTACACAGAGGTTGTCTCGTCCATCGGGAGATCCGTGTACGACGAGATTGCCGACTTCAACATCTCCACGGTCAGGGTGCTGTATTCGAAATGGGACGCGTTGGCACTGGAGCGGGTGGTTGGCAGTGAAAGGGCACCTGTTCTCACACATGGCCAGAACGAATTCTACGAGTTTAGATAGTTTGATAGCTTATATTTTATTGCCGCCCTGTAGTGCACCGAGACGTATCGATGAAGTAGCGAAAGCGTCCACCCGGGCCACCCACCCGTGTGTGAACAGCAACAACAGCAAACCTGGGCCCCCCGATGAGCTTCCCCAGATTTGCTGTTCCCCAAAAGTGCCGGGCTCAAAACGGCCGCCGTGTCAAGGAGGAAAACACCAAGAGAAACAAACGAAGGCGTTACGCGAAACACACAAAAACAAGAAAACAAGGGAATCCGAGCGTCCTGTTATCACAGGTGCAGTGCTTTTGTGGTTTTTTCTCTCTCTCTTGCCTTCTGCTAAATCTGTGCACTGGGACGGCGAGAGTTCTTTCTCTGCGTCGGGCCCGATACGCTTTTTCCCAGACTCTGCTAATATGCGCGACAGAGGTGGATGGCACCGAGTCCTGTAATGGCAGATATCAGCGGTGTGATTGGTTATTCCTTGAAGCGTTTAGAGGTGTCCTTTCCCGCTCGTTTTTGGCACCACCGTCGAGCTGTGGACAGTGCTGTAGCCTGGTGGGTGTAGAATATGGGCCTGTTGGCCCGGTGCTGGCCAAGGCACCTGGGCCACCACCTCTGGAAGAGTCCCCGTGATTTCTGCGCTTCCTCTAATGCGCTTATTGCTTCCACTTTGGGCGGCCTGAGCGTGGAGGGATCTTAGCTACGTTTCCGTGCGGAGTGGGAGCCTTAGAGAACTAGAGAGATCTGTCAAACAACGGTGCCATACAAGGAGGCAGAAACCGTGGGAGCAAAGGCCATGGATTTCATCCTGGTATTACAAGTGCCAGAAGGACGCTTGGGGGGAAAACAGGCACAACGAAACATGGGGTTCGAGATGGCGTTAACCAAACCATCATACTGGCGAAACTCTTCCTGTAGAAATAGACTAATAGAACTAGCCAAGGGTAGCGAACTCATATTCTCAATTGACGATACTCCGTTGGTCTCTCCAGCGTGGCCCTCTCAGTGGGTGTTTTCCCTCTCTTTTCGAAGGCTTCTCTTCGAACCAGCGCTACAGGGCCGTAGACCCGGAAGCATTTATCCACTCGCAGAGGTATCCCGATGTCGCAGGTGTCAAGGTCCCCCTGTTTGCCGCAATTTTATAAAACCAGCGAGTTGTCTTTGAAACAGAAAATCTTTGGAGAAAGCACCATCGTATTCATCATTGAAGGGAGAAACAAACACGTACACAACGAACACATCGTTTTGGATCGCCCATACACCCCTTCTTTCTCGAGAATCTAACTAGTTTTCACAATGCTTAGTGCCTTCCGTGGAAATCTAACACGTTCGAGAATCAACGCTTTGAAGGGCGCTGCCCTCAAGAGCTCAACCGCCATTGCCCGTTACTACTCCACCACCTATGATTCGTTTTTGAGCACGTCTAACGCCAACTACGTCGATGAGATGTACGATGCCTGGAAGAAGGACCCTTCCTCCGTCCACGCCTCTTGGAATGCCTACTTCAAGAACCTCGACGGTAACGTTCCGGCTTCCCAGGCTTTCATCCCACCACCAACCTTGGTTCCAAACCCTTCTGACGGTGTTGTCTCGGTTGTTCCAACAGGCTCTGTGGGGAACGACGACGTCTTGCTCCATTTGAAGGTTCAATTGCTCGTTAGAGCCTACCAAGTCAGAGGACACCAAAGAGCTCACATTGATCCACTTGAGATCTCCTTTGGTGACGACAAGAAGGTGCCGCCACCAAAGGAGTTGACTTTGGAACACTATGGATTCACAGAGGCTGACTTGTCGAAGAAGATCCACTTGGGTCCAGGTATCTTGCCTAGATTTGCCCAAGAGGGTAAAGATGAGATGACCTTGGGGGAGATTATTGACACATGTAAGAAACTCTACAGTTCAACAATCGGTTTCGAATACATCCACATCCCTTCAAGAGAGAAGTGTGATTGGCTCAGAGAGAGAATCGAGATCCCATCCCCTTACTCTTACACAGTTGATCAAAAGAGACAAATCTTGGATCGTCTTGTTTGGGCAACCTCCTTTGAGACGTTCTTGTCCACAAAGTTCCCTAACGATAAGAGATTTGGTTTGGAAGGTGCCGAGTCTGTCATTCCAGGTGTCAAGTCCCTCATTGACCGTGCTGTTGAGCTTGGTGTCGAGAACATTACCTTTGGTATGCCTCACAGAGGTAGATTGAACATGTTGTCCAACGTTGTCAGAAAGCCAAATGAGTCCATCTTTTCCGAATTCACCGGTTCTAAGGAGATCGATGAAGGTTCAGGTGATGTCAAATACCACTTGGGTATGAACTTCCAAAGACCAACCACCTCTGGTAAGCACGTGAACTTGTCTCTTGTTGCTAACCCATCCCATTTGGAGGCTGAAGATCCAGTTGTCTTGGGTAGAACAAGAGCAGTTCAACAATTCAACAACGATATTGGCACTTTCGACAAGGCCATTGGTGTCTTGTTCCACGGTGATGCTGCTTTCGCTGGTCAAGGTGTTGTGTACGAGACTATGGGTTTCGCTAACTTGCCAGCTTATTCAACTGGTGGTACCATTCATGTTATTGTCAACAACCAAATTGGTTTCACCACTGATCCAAGATTCTCAAGATCTACTTTGTACCCATCCGATATTGCAAAGGCTATCAACGCCCCAATCTTCCACGTGAATGCTGATGATGTTGAAGCTATTACCTTTATCTTCACTTTGGCTGCTGAATGGAGAGCTACTTTCCACTCCGATGTTATTATCGATGTTGTTGGTTACAGAAAGTATGGTCATAATGAAACTGATCAGCCAGCTTTCACCCAACCATTGATGTACCAAAGAATTGCACAAAAGAAATCCGTCATTGACCTCTACTCTGAACAATTGGTCAAGGAAGGCTCATTCACACAAGAAGATATCAACGAACACAAGGCTTGGGTTTGGGATATCTTGGAGCAATCCTTCCAAAAGTCAAAGGAATACGTTCCAACTACTAGAGAATGGTTGACCACCCCATGGGAAGGCTTCAAATCACCAAAGGAGTTGGCCACTGAGATCCTTCCACACTTGCCAACTGCTGTTGAACAGGACAAGCTTAAACACATTGGTGAGGTCATTTCAAGCTGGCCAGAAAACTTTGAGGTGCACAGAAACTTGAAGAGAATTTTGAACCAACGTAAGAAGTCTGTTGAGACTGGTGAAGGTATTGACTGGGCCACTGCTGAGGCTTTGGCTTACGGTTCTTTGGTTGAAGAAGGTTACCATGTCAGAGTTTCTGGTCAAGATGTTGAGAGAGGTACTTTCTCTCAACGTCACGCCGTCTTGCACGATCAAAAATCCGAGAACACATACATTCCATTGAAGCATGTCTCTGAGACACAAGCTGACTTTGTTATCTCTAACTCTTCTCTTTCTGAGTATGGTGTTATGGGTTTCGAGTACGGTTACTCCTTGACTTCTCCGGATGCATTTGTGCAATGGGAGGCCCAGTTCGGTGATTTTGCCAACACCGCTCAAGTCATTGTTGATCAATTCATTGCTGCTGCTGAATCCAAATGGAAACAGAGATCTGGTCTTGTTTTGACATTGCCTCACGGTTACGATGGACAAGGTCCAGAGCACTCTTCTGGTAGATTGGAACGTTATTTGCAATTGGCCAATGAGGATCCAAGACAGTTCCCATCTGAAGAGAAATTGAGCCGTCAACACCAAGACTGTAACTTCCAAATTGCATACGCAACAACCCCATCCAACTTATTCCACTTGTACAGAAGACAGATGCACCGTCAATTCAGAAAGCCACTTGCTTTGTTTGTGTCGAAGCAATTGTTGCGTCACCCATTGGCCAGATCAAACTTGTCTGAGTTCACCGATGACGCTCATTTCCAATGGATTATCGAGGATGTTGAACTTGGTAAGAGTATTGGTACAAAGGATGAGATCAAGCGTGTTGTCTTGCTCTCTGGTCAAGTTTACACTGCTTTGCACAAGAGACGTGCTGAAATTGAGGATAAGACCACTGCTTTCATCAAGGTTGAACAACTTCACCCATTCCCATGGGCTCAGTTGCGTGATTCTTTGAACTCATTCCCTAACGCCACCGATTTGGTTTGGTGTCAGGAGGAGCCATTGAACATGGGTGCTTGGTCCTTTGTGCAACCAAGACTCAGCACCGTGTTAAAGGAGACCATCCACAGTGATAAGGCATTCCGTTACGCTGGTAGAGACCCAAGTGCCTCTGTTGCTGCGGGTTCCAAGGGTATGCATCTTGCTGAGGAGAAGGCCTTCATCGATGAAGTGTTTGGTGCCTAAGTAATTTATCTGTTTATTAACTTGTTTATTATTTCGAATTCCGCATTTATTATTTGGAATAGATATGTCTATATATTCGTAACTGCTATGTCTCTTTGTAAGAAATCCTTGTATAGAGGTCCTTTGACCATTTATTCACTATTGAATATGTGAGATGAGATGAGATGAGATGAGGTTACCCTACGCGAACGCCTTACTAAGCACGCAATTTAGGTGTCACTTCAAGGTTACATAGGCACACCTCAAAATGGGACTTTACATAGCAGTGATGAACAGACTGGAAACAATAAGCACAATTCTAACATGGAATGTTGTAGAACAGTTTGAATCAGATACAAAAGATCGATAACATTCTATCAGTTGATTTTTTTCCCCTTCCAATTGGTTCGTTCTTGCTGTTATAAAAGCTTTGGGCTGGGGGAAAAAGCTCATGGAATTTTCTAGATAAAAATTAACGAAAAAAAAGTTCCAAAGACGTCCACCGTGGGCGCGGGTATAAAAGGCAAAGCTGTATCGCCCAATTTCTTTCTTCGTTGCCGCTGGGAGCTCTTCATCAGATTCATAGAATCGAGAACACATTCATAAACAAAGATGGCAACAGAATCATATGAATTTCAAGCTGAGATCACTCAGTTGATGAGTTTGATCATCAACACTGTCTACTCTAACAAGGAGATTTTCCTTAGAGAGTTGATCTCCAACGCGTCCGATGCGCTTGACAAGATCAGATACGAGTCCCTTAGCGACAAGTCCAAGTTGGACACCGAGCCAAACCTCTTCATCAGAATCACACCAAAGCCAGAGGAGAAGGTCCTTGAGATCAGAGATTCCGGTATTGGTATGACCAAGGCTGATTTGGTGAACAACTTGGGTACCATTGCCAAGTCTGGTACCAAATCCTTTATGGAGGCCCTTTCTGCTGGTGCCGATGTTTCCATGATTGGTCAATTCGGTGTTGGTTTCTACTCTCTTTTCTTGGTTGCCGACAAGGTGCAAGTTATCTCCAAGAACAACGACGATGAGCAATACATCTGGGAATCTAACGCTGGTGGTAAGTTCACCGTCACTTTGGATGAGACCAACGAGAGAATCTCCCGTGGTACTATCTTGAGATTGTTCTTGAAGGATGACCAATTGGAGTACTTGGATGAGAAGAGAATCAAGGAGGTTGTTAAGCGTCACTCTGAGTTCGTCTCTTACCCAATCGAGCTTCTTGTTACCAAGGAGGTTGAAAAGGAGGTTCCAGAAACCGAAGAGGAGGCCAAGGAGGAGGATGACAAGAAGCCAAAGCTCGAGGAAGTTGATGAGGACGAGGAGAAGAAGGATGAGAAGAAGACCAAGACTGTTAAGGAAACCGTTCAAGAACTTGAGGTTTTGAACAAGACCAAGCCATTGTGGACAAGAAACCCATCTGAAGTCACACAAGAGGAGTACAATGCCTTCTACAAGTCCATCTCTAACGACTGGGAAGATCCATTGGCTGTCAAGCACTTCTCTGTTGAAGGTCAATTGGAGTTCAAGGCTATCTTGTTCATTCCAAAGAGAGCTCCATTCGACTTGTTCGAATCCAAGAAGAAGAAGAACAACATCAAGTTGTACGTTCGTCGTGTCTTCATTACCGATGAGGCCGAAGAGTTGATTCCAGAATGGTTGTCCTTCGTTAAGGGTGTTGTTGACTCTGAGGACTTGCCATTGAACTTGTCCAGAGAAACCTTGCAACAAAACAAGATCTTGAAGGTTATCAGAAAGAACATCGTCAAGAAATTGATCGAGACTTTCAACGAGATTGCCGAGGATGCTGAACAATTCGAGAAGTTCTACTCCGCTTTCTCCAAGAACATCAAACTCGGTATTCACGAGGACACTCAAAACAGAAACGCCTTGGCCAAGTTGTTGAGATACAACTCTACAAAGTCTGGTGAAGATGTTACATCCTTGCAAGATTACGTCACAAGAATGAAGGAGGGTCAAAAGAACATCTACTTCATCACTGGTGAATCCTTGAAGGCTGTTGAGAAGTCTCCATTCTTGGATGCTTTGAAGGCTAAGGACTTTGAAGTTTTGTTCTTGGTTGATCCAATTGATGAGTACGCTTTCTCTCAATTGAAGGAGTTTGACGACAAGAAGTTGGTTGATATTACCAAGGACTTCGAGCTCGAAGAGACCGATGAAGAGAAGGCTGCTAGAGAAAAGGAAGAGGCTGAGTACGAGAACTTGGCCAAGGCCTTGAAGGAGATCTTGGGTGACAACGTTGAGAAGGTTGTTGTCTCTCACAAGTTGGGTGACGCTCCAGCTGCCATCAGAACTGCCCAGTTCGGTTGGTCCGCTAACATGGAGAGAATCATGAAGGCCCAAGCTTTACGTGACAGCTCCATGTCTTCTTACATGTCTTCCAAGAAGATCTTTGAAATCTCTCCAAAGTCCCCAATCATCAAGGAGTTGAAGCACAAGGTTGAGGCTGATGGTGCTCAAGACAGAACTGTCAAGGACTTGACCACTTTGTTGTACGAGACTGCCTTGTTGACCTCTGGTTTCACCTTGGATGAGCCAAGCAAGTTCGCCACCAGAATCAACAGATTGATCTCTCTTGGTTTGAACATCGACGAGGAGGAGGCTTCTGAGAAGCCAGAGGAAATTAAGGAAACTCCAACTGAGGAACAAGTTGCTGAGACCGAGATGGAAGAGGTTGATTAAACTGGGACGCGGGAGGTTCCTGGCTGTGTAAAAAACAATGGAGAGATTAGGTGCTTTTATTATAATTGCTGAGTGTGTATATGATGTTTACATGTAAAGAAATTTAATGATCTTATTGAAATAGAGCTTTTCACTTGTAGCGTATATTACATTGTGTCCTGTACCAGTTTCGGTGATGATTTTTTTTGTTCATTTTCGAATTCGAATTTGTAAACAAAAACATCAACAAGAGCACACAAACAAAGAAAAGAAAGGCCAAACAAGCGAATTTTTACTGAATATTGACGTTTTCATCTGGAGGAACATGAGCTTGCATTGGACAACTGAACCATTCAACAGGCTCTACGCTTCGATCCAAGGTGGACAAGTTGATTCGGCATTGCTTGAGACGTTGAAGCCAGATCTCATCAATTTGGCCAAAACGCCGCCAAAGTCTGCTCAGAGTCGCCAGGTTCTTGAGAAAGGCGTGGTTAAGTTTGGCGGTGTCGAGTATGAGATCAATGATGTGTTCAAGATCGACAGCGCCACTCTAAGTGACGATTTGGGTATTGATGAGCTCATCGCTGCGGAGTTGATACATAACTCACACGGTACGGGCAAAGGTTTGCTCGACAGCGCTAAGGCGTTGTATTATTTGAGAAAGCAGTCAATTTTGAACATTGTGAGTTATGCCTTCAACACTGACGATAGGGTGATCAGTGATACGATTTGGTCTCCAGGATTTGTCGATGCTATTCTTGAAAGTTTCAAGTTTGTTCATAAGGAGCTCGAGGCTTTACATCAACTCGTCAATAGAGAAAAGTTGATAGGGTCGATCCAAGGAACTGCATTCCAACTCAAGTTGACATTCAGAAGAGACTTCCTGAATAAGGAGCATGAGCTTCTTGGTGAAATCGTCCATGGAATCTTTTCTCAAAATAGAGCATCCAGAAGTGATTTCACAAAGTTGTTTGAATTTGTGGGCACTTTTGATGTTGATGATTTCTACATCACACATTTATTACCCGGACTATTAATCTACTGCACAAATCTTGATGATATACCGGATAATGATGTTATCCAAATCCACAGCACCTTGTTGAAAGGCTTGAAAGATCCAGAGGTTTACAAAATACCAGAAAAGCTACTTATTACGTTAGTATTCTTGACACACTTCATCAGCTGGTGTAAAAAGTCACCACAGCGTATTAGCAAGTTCGATTTTGAAATTGCGCTTGAAACACCAATGTCAACTGCCGTGCAATTGGGCGCAGTAGAACAACTGTTGATCATATGTGCTGATACGTCGACCAACACGTTTGATCTTTTTTATGACATGCGTGCTTTGCTTGAGCAACATCTCCCTAGACTGGTTCCTAAACTGATTTTGGATGTTAACGAAGAAGAGACCAAAAAGGTGAGGGCACAAGATCCGCAAGCTGCACCTGTCTATTTTGCTACCAAAGACCATAAACTTTCTGAAAATCTATCGATTATGTTGAGAGGTGTTCTCCATGAGTTTGTTCAGGCGTTTATTTCTGATGCGGCGTTCTTGTTAGTGAAAATGAAAGATTCAGAGGAGGATTCGTTGTTGTCCGGAGAGGACTTCTTTCTTGATGATGTTTCAAAAAGAGCTGATCTCGAGAGATTTTATCTTGCCGTGTTCTATCTATACTCTGAGCAGCCATCTCTCATATCGAATTTCTGGGATGATAGAGAATCAAATGCATATGGGTTCATTGAGTGGGCTTCAAAGGGCGAAGACTTACTCATGAGGTCTACGTTCTTGGTTATGTTGAGTGGATTGACAACAGGCGTTGATAATGCTAGTCATGTTTATCATTTCATGGCCAATTCAGACAAAATATCATGGTCCTCTATACTCATTGCTTTGAGCGCTCACATGGATGCCATTAAGAAGTTTGAGAAAAATGGTGATGACCAGAACTTGAACGAGGAGACAATTCTTTCGATTGCGTCATACTTTGGATTGATTTACAACGTTGCCATCCATAATGAAGATATCAAAGACCTGTTTGATTCATCAATTATCGAAATCTTGTTTGAGTTTGTAAAGTTAGATACGCCGTTGGTCGGTGCAGCTTTACATGTGATCCGTTCTCTAGTATCTAATTCGTCCGAGAGAAGAGAGGAAATTTGGAGAAGTTTAGACAGCTGGTTATTCCAACAAGATGCTTCAATAGAGGACTGTTTTCAAACAAGACTTCTTTCTTTTGCAGATATTGTTGGATATCTTGACCTTTTTGAAGCTTTAATTAAACCTAGAAGCTCCCATGGAAAGCTCACACTGGCGTACCCACACAACCTTGGTCTTCCATACAGAAAAGCGGGTGTGACACCATATTTGGAATTTATTCTGTCTAATGTCTTCTTCCATTCACAGTCGTTATACTTCTCGGAGAAAATTGCGTTGCAAGAACCTATTTTGAGAATTGTCGATCATTGCTTATCTTCATTTGATCCAAAGTTGATATTGAACTCATTCCCAGCAAACGTTGACCTGAATACAATAGTTTCTACAAATGAGTTCACAACATATGTTCAAGCCAACCCAACGCCAATTGTGTTGAACTTCCTTTTCCAAGAGAAGATTTACAAGACGTTGATTGATGTTGCTTCTACGGGTTTTGATAATATCAGTGATAAGTCTTTCAACTCAAGCCAGGTACAGGTTGTGTATTTATCACTAGGGATCATTGATAAAATTTTGGAACTTGAGTTTGCCTATATTGATGAGCTTCTACCGATTTTGAAGAAAAACAACAACTTCTACATGCCTTCAAGAATTGGAACACATGGGTTGAGCTCTTTTTATGACGCTATTATGTTCAATTTACCAGTTGTGGCTCACATAGCCCTTTACGTTGGATCTCCAGACATTCCAATAGCATATAGATCCATCAAGCTTTTGTCAAAGTTCTCAAACTCGTTACAGTTCGGTAGCAATGGAAAGGCTGGAGCGTCCAAGACTAAATTGTTGACCATCTTTGACAGCATCAACGAGTCCCTGAGAATAAAGTATCATTTCATCAATCAGTTAGAATCAGAGATAACGTCACCAGAGGGTCTCGAAGTTAAGATTTTGATTCTGAATTTTTTGAATGACAACCTATCGGTTTCATCTAAAACAATTACCGTGTCACATTTCCTTCTAGGATTTGAATGGAAGAATGAGCTTTCCTTGGGTTCAGAGGATATTCCAACAAGTGTCGCTTCTGGAAAGTCTTTGTTCAAATCATTAATCTACATTTTAGAGTCTGCCTTGCTTTCAATAAGCTCCGTTGAGATTGATTATCCATTAATTCGATTGGCTTCCTTGTCCCTTGAAATTATTCTGAAGTTGTCCAAGAACCCTAGAAGCTCTTTGATTGTTTTAGAACACTTGTGTGGGTATGACCTGCTGCACAAACTCTTGAATACCCCTAGGGTTGATGTCATGACCCACTGGTCTGGTGAAAACTTTTCTCCAAGAGTCGACACTATAACAGCATTCAATTCAGGTCCTGGAATCGGCGCCTTTTTGGAGCTTTTGAGTTTCAGAAGCTCTGTACTCCAGTATTTGAGTTTGGAGCTTCATAGAACTTCATCCAACGGCTCAATATCCAAAACGAACACTTATATTGATGCACTTATTAATGGATACGGTGCCTTTACAGGACCGCCAAAGGTATTGTCATTTTTAGATGATTTGGAGTTTTCTTTAGCTGACGAAACCACAATCCCGGAGGTAGACTTGGTGATTTTCCAAAATGTTGATATGAAACTTGATTTGACCAAGATTCCTCTCAATATTGATTCCAATGGACCAGTATTCAACTTGGAAGATGTGGACGCTGTGCTGGATTTACATCTTAGAGCTCTAGCTGTACAAGGTCGTTATCATACTGATGATGAGGAGAAGGAGAAAGATAAGCAGGTCGAAACTCTAAGAGACCAACTCAAAAGAGCAGATTCCAGAACCTCAACAAGTTTGATTCTGCTACCAAATACGATCAAAAGCAACGAGCAAGATGCATTAATTGAAAGAGCCCTTCTCAAAGCAAAGTTCAACAACCTGTTGTGCTTCCGTAAGTTTAAGAGCTCTCAGTTGGCCTCCCTTCATGCTTGGGTTCAGCTTATTCAAGTGATCGTAACAGATGGTCAAATGGATCCTAGTTGCAGATCCAACTTTGTGCTGGAAGTATTCCAAAGCATCATTCCTCGCATCAATGATTATGTCGAGCACGATATTTTGTACGCAGAGGAGTTGGTGTCTCTTTGTGTTTTCCTATACGACATTTATCACCAGGATAGAAAATCCGCCGATGATACACTCACCAGCACAGTTGATGGCTATGAAAGACTGTATCCTCTATTCAAATCAACAATTCACGGAATTCTCAGTCCAGCATCATCCCTGGCTTTGCGTTCAGATCTCTATGTGCTTAGTTACAAATTCTTATTCTGGGTCTTGAAGCACAGAGATATATCGAGAGAAGTTCTTCAGACGATCAAACTGTCGAATGAAAGATTGATCACTGTCATTTGTAACGATGCAATCAGTGGTGAAGGACCAACAAGAATCACGAGCTTACTACTTTTGGAATCTTTGTTCCGATTGTCAAGCATCAATGATCTCAATTTCGTTTTGAATACCCTGGTGAAAAACAATTTGCTCTTGCTTCTTGTGAAGTCAATCAAGAGAACTGATGAGACTTTGTCGTTATCGCACAACTTTAAAATCACATTGGACTCTCTCTTGTATGAGCTTACAGCTTTCAAAGCCATAATGTGCTTCCTTCTAAGAGTTGCACAGACTAGACATGGGGCTCAACAATTGCTGCAGAGTGAGATCTTCCAAACCATCAAGTCTTGTCGGTTCTTGTTAATTGACCCAGATCTTGGAATTGAGTTGGTCTATGATGAGTCTACGCTTCAATCATCTTCATTTGTGCGTGTAAATTTGAATCTTGACGCGCCTTTGTCACTTGACAGTTCATCAAGGGCAGTATCATTATTTGAGCTACTTGTGCCAACCTTCCAACTTGTTGCTGCTATATTGTTGAGTACAAGCTCGGAAAACAAGACTTCTATCTTGCAAGTAAGAGACCTCTTGATTCATTTCAAAGGACTTATTGTTTGTGTACTGAAGAAGTCCCTTTTAGATGAGTCCAAGAACGATGTTGTGCTACAAAAGCAAGATAGTGATTCAGGCAGCGTCAACGAGCTAGCCAACTTGTTTGTGTTGTTGAGCACATTGACAGACTTCGACCCTGGAAATTAGTATACAATACAACTTCATAAGGATGTTCCATTAATAACCATGTTATTTGATCTTACAAATCTAAACCTTTGAACCGATCAAGTTCACTTTTCAAATCATCAGAGTTTTTCTCAATCCATTTGAGAGAGTCCAAATGGGTATTTAAGAGTTTCACGATTTGATTCAGAGAGTTCTCATTCTCTTCTGTAGTATCATCTTTACCCAAACCATTAGCCTTGTTAAAAGAATCGCTGACTTCGTTAATCTCTGTTATCAAAGAGGATAGGTTCAATCCCAAAGAATTCAAGTTCTCATCCAATAATTCTGCAGTACGATATGCTTGAGCTCTCTTTTGATCGTTTGTGATGACGGATGAATCTCTTTGCTGGTTAGTTGAAGACAACACTTCAGAGAGGAGGTTTTCAGCTTTGACTTCGTAGTTATCCAAAAATGTTTCCAATTCTGTTTGCTGTCTTTCAATGTATAACAGTTGTTGCTCAACTTTAGCCTGTGCTTGTTCCGCAGTGACAACATCTGTGTACAATTGATTAATTTTTTCACCACCTTGGACCAAGACGGAGTCCCATTCTTTTGTCTTTTCAGCGTACGATTGGAAGGAACTTGATGCCTTTGTAAGTTGGTTTGTCCATTTGGTTATGAGATCCTCTAAAGTTTTATTATTAAGAGTAATTGGTTGCGGTTCCAATGTTTTAGAGAGCTCTTTCTTAGTATCTGTTGCAGCAGTGGATGCAGTGAATGAAACTGTTTTCTTTTCCTTATCAGTCTCTGCTGGTTTAGAGCCAAGTGAGAAACCAGATGTAGCAGGGGCAGTCTCTGAAGCAGTAGCAGTTGCAGGTTTAGCACCAAGTGAGAAGCCAGATGTAGTTGCCGATGCCTTTGCAGCATCATCTTTCTTTTCTTCAGGTTTTGCTAAAGCAAACATTGGTGCAGCAGGTTTTTCGTCAGTCTTCTTACCAAGACTGAATGCTGGAGCAGCATTAGCGGTTGGTTTGTCATCAGTCTTTTGACCAAAACTTAGTGATGGAGCAGCAGCTGGTTTAGTGTCAGTCTTTTGGCCAAGGCTGAAAGCTGGAGCAGCAGCAGGCTTATCATCAGTCTTTTGACCAAGGCTGAAAGCTGGAGCAGCAGTTGTAGCGGCCTTATCACCAGTCTTTTGACCAAAGCTGAAGGCAGGGGTAGCGGCCGGTTTGGCATCAGTGTTTTGACCAAAACTCAAGGATGGAGCAGCAGCTGGTTTTTCATCAGTCTTATTACCAAAGCTGAATGCTGGTACAGCACTAGTGGCAGGTTTGTCATCAGTCTTTTGGCCAAAACTGAAAGATGGAGCAGCAGTTGTAGCGGTCTGATCATCAGTCTTTTGGCCAAAGCTGAAGGCAGGGGTAGCCGCAGGTTTGGCATCAGTGTTTTGACCAAAACTCAAGGATGGAGCAGCAGCTGGCTTGTCATCAGTCTTTTGGCCAAAGCCGAAAGCAGGGGTAGCGGCTGGTTTGGCATCAGTCTTTTGACCAAAACTTAGTGATGGAGCAGCAGCTGGTTTATCGTCAGTCTTGTTACCAAAGCTGAATGCTGGAGCAGCAGCAGGCTTATCATCAGTCTTTTGGCCAAAACTGAAAGATGGCGCAGCAGTAGCAGCAGGCTTATCATCGGTCTTTTGACCGAAACTGAACGCTGGCGTAGCGGCTGGTTTGGCATCAGTCTTGTTCATAGAGAAGTTAAAAGCTGGAGCAGCAGTACCAGTACTTGTGGAAGTATTAGAAGAAGCACCAAATGCAGAACCAGAGGAGGCACCAAAAGCAGAGCCAGAGGAGGCACCAAAAGCAGAGCCAGAGGAAGCGCCAAACACGGATCCAGAGGAAGCACCAAGCTTGAATCCACCAGTATTACTTCCTTCTTTACTTGGAGTAGAACCAAACGGTTGAGATCCAATGTTACCAAACAAACCTATAACTTGTGTTAGTTAACCACGCGATATGATCCATTTTTAAGAAGCAATGAACTTACTCTGCGTAGGAGCACTCATTATCAATGTCAACTTATGAACAAGAGATGCAGAATTCTCTTCGATCTAAGTATACAAGATGTTCTTGATCCTTGTTTACTTTGCTGTTGTGTGTTTTGTGTTTATGTTTTTTTTTACCTTCTCCGTTTCAACGGCTAGGAAATATTTGGTGTCCGGATGTGATATCCGATTACGTAAACAGACATGCCTGTTACCCGACCTTGATAGTGGTGTCCAGGTGTTAACCATTGCTGCGCATACCATTACGCTGTTCATAGCACTTTTTTTTTCCGCATTCGCAGCCAGAGGTGACGGCGCTTTTCAAGTGGAACATCGTTCAAACTTTTGAACAGCTCATTTACTATAGGCTTTTTTTTTCACTCATTCATAATACAGAGTTCAGCTATTAGAACTAGTCAAAGTGTCTAATCTAGTGTTAAAACAGTTCCGATTGACCACACCAAAGCTCAATACTTCAACTAGGAGCTATACACAAAGGCGTTGGATCAATACACAGAACAAGAGACTTATTACCAAACCAACTAAGATGTCCGGTCAAGCTGCTGAGTTCTCTAGAGAGAACCTTGAGAATGTTTTGAAGCGTCGTTTCTTCTTTGCACCATCCTTTGAAATCTATGGTGGTGTCTCTGGTCTGTACGACTACGGTCCACCAGGTTGTGCCTTCCAGGCCAACATTGTGGACACCTGGAGAAAGCATTTCATCTTGGAAGAAGACATGCTAGAAGTTGACACCACCATGTTGACGCCATACGAGGTGTTGAAGACATCTGGTCACGTTGACAAGTTCTCCGACTGGATGTGTAGAGACTTGAAAACCGGTGAGATCTTTAGAGCTGATCATTTGGTTGAAGAGGTTTTGGAATCGAGATTGAAAGGTGACAAAGAGGCCAGAGGATTGGTCAAGGATGCCAATGCCGATGCTGCTGATGACGCAGAGAAGAAGAAGCGTAAGAAGAAAGTTAAGGAGATTAAGGCTATCAAGTTGGACGATGAGGTTGTCACTGAATACGAAACAGTCTTGGCCAAGATTGATGGTTATTCCGGTGAAGAGTTGGGCGAATTGATGAAGAAGTACAACATCAACAACCCATCCACTGATGGTCCATTGGAACCACCAATTGCCTTCAATTTGATGTTTGAAACTGCTATTGGTCCTTCTGGCCAGTTGAGAGGTTTCCTCAGACCAGAGACTGCTCAAGGTCAATTCTTGAACTTCAGCAAGTTGCTCGATTTTAACAACTTGAAGATGCCATTCGCTTCTGCTGCAATTGGTAAGTCTTTCAGAAACGAAATTTCCCCAAGATCTGGTCTCTTAAGAGTCCGTGAGTTCTTGATGGCTGAGATCGAACACTACGTTGATCCAGAGAACAAGTCTCACGAGAGATTCCACGAAGTTAAGGATGTTGTCCTCAAGTTCCTTCCAAAGGACGTCCAACAGGCTGGTTCAACTGAACCAATTCAGAAGACTATCGGCGAGGCCGTTGCATCTGGTATGGTTGATAACGAAACCTTGGGTTACTTCATTGCTAGAATTTACCAATTCTTGATCAAGATTGGTGTTGATGAGAACCGTTTGAGATTCCGTCAACACATGGCTAACGAAATGGCCCACTACGCTGCTGACTGTTGGGATGCTGAGTTGCACACATCCTATGGTTGGATTGAGTGTGTTGGTTGTGCTGACAGATCTGCTTATGATTTGACTGTGCACTCCAACAGAACGAAGGAAAAACTTGTTGTCAGACAAAAACTTGATGAACCAATCACTGTTACTCAATACGAGATTGACTTGGAAAAGAAGAAGTTTGGTCCAAAGTTCAGAAAGGATGCACCACTCGTTGAGAAGTTCTTGACTAGCCAATCCCAAGAAGATCTTATCAAGATGAAGGATGAGTTGAAGAACAACGGTAAGGTTGTCTTCAAGGTTTCTGGTATCGCCGGTGAGATTGAATTGGATAACACCTTTATCAACATTGAACAAAGAACTCACACCGAACACATTCGTGAATTCACTCCAAACGTCATTGAACCATCTTTCGGTATTGGTCGTATCATTTACTCCATCTTTGAGCACAGATTCTGGAGTAGAGCCGAGGCTACTGAGAGATGTGTCTTGTCATTCCCACCAGCCGTTGCCCCAACAAAGGTTCTGCTCGTTCCATTGTCCAACCACGAAGATTTGACTCCAATTGTCAAGAACATCTCCAAGGTTTTGAGAAAGCAACAAATTCCATTCAAGGTTGACGACTCTGGTGCTTCAATCGGAAAGAGATATGCCCGCAATGATGAGTTGGGTACTCCGTTCGGTATCACCATCGACTTTGACTCTGTTAAGGACCACTCCATCACCTTGAGAGAGAGAGACTCCACAAAGCAAGTCAGAGGTTCCATCGAGGATATCATCAAGGCCATTAAGGAGATCACCTACGAAGGCTCAACGTGGGAAGAGAGCACAAAGGCCTTGACCCCATTCGAGACCCAGGCTGCTGATGACGAGTAAAGAAAGAGAAACTACTCAACATTGGCAATGTACATGTATCGATAGACTTCATGAAAGAAGCATATCTACACTATGTTAAGCATATTGATCTGTTAATGATATGATCCAAACACGTGTAGCACGTTATCATAGTAGACAGTGTGGGGAAACATGTAGTTGACCACGAAGATCAAAGAGTCAAGACATACCAAGTGTACAGTGAGGCCATATGGCCCAACACTTGGTACGCCATAGAAGCGAGGGGAGGGAAGCATAAACCCAAAGGATTCACCAATCTTTAACCCCTCAATATGAAAGTATTGCACATGTCGATTTGCTACCATTACTGATCTATCGTTAGTATGTGATCACCAACTACATCTGTTCATGCTTCACAGTTGTTTAAAGACAGGTTTGAATGGAGTATCAAGGAGAGAAGGGGAAGATCAACTGTCCAATCGTTCGTTAATGTTTTTGACACCATTATGCACTTGCAGCGTGGATCCTGCGCAGACCTCCCTGATATACAGAATTGCCATACAAATTTGTCCAACAAAGGAGCCAATCACAATGGTGACATAGTTTCTGGAATGGAATACTCCAAAACAGTTGTGTAAGCCCCACTTTTGAGCTATTTTGGACTGCATCATTCTACTCTATTGTTAATTGATATTTGAGCTAGATGCCTCCACGAATGTCAATAACCAGTCCATCTACATCATATAACGGTTAAACGCATAATAATTTATAGAGATAAGCACTTCTCTTATGTATATTCCATAAACTCCGGATGGAGAGGCTAGTAAGCTCCTTCATAGTTTCTGAGTAGATTGATCCTTTGAACGTGGAGAGAGTTGCAATACCTCAGCCTTGATATCGTCACTCAGCTGCTGATCAACTTTAGCAAAGGCCTCGAAAACACGGTCTTGAATCACTGGCAACGCATTGGCAACATGGACAGAAATGTTGTGTGCCAGATGCTTTTGCTGGTCTGGTTGTTTAGACAAGACATCACGGTATAGAGCTCTAGCCTGAACGTAATCGATATCACCTTCAACTTTCCAATGGAAAGGCAACGCTGGACCTTGCCATTTCTCCTGATTGGATTGGTAGTTGAAATTGGACTGGGTCTTGTACTCCACCGGATTCTCAATGGTAGAGATGTAGTTTGGAGCAGCACCGTAGTTGCCGTTAACAGTCATGGCACCATCACGAAGAATCGGGTTGAAAGTCTTTGCGTATGGACAGTTAACAGGGATTTGAGCATAGTTTGTACCTAGTCTGTATCTTTGAGTATCTGGGTACGAGAATAGACGAGATTGCAACACTGGATCAGCAGATGGCTCTTGGTATGGAACTGTGTGCGATGGAGAGAATGCAACTTGCTCAATCTCTGCAAAGTAGTTCTGTGGGTTCTCGTTCAAAGTCAGTTTACCAAAGCGACGCAATGGGAAGTCCTTATGGGACCACACTTTAGTCAAGTCAAAAACAGAGAATGGCAATTCCTTAGCTTGAGCTTCGGTCATGACTTGAAAATACACTGTCCAAGATGGGTATTCCTTGTTAGCAATGGCGTTGAACAGGTCCTCAGTGGCATGGTCAGGGTTCTCACCAGCAATTTTACCAGCTTCTTCGTTGGTGAAGTTTTTGATGCCCTGATCAGTGAGCAGGTGGACTTGAACGTAGAACCACTCACCCTGCTTGTTAGACCATTTGTAAGTGTGGCCAGAGAAACCGTGCATGTGTCTGAAAGTTGCTGGCGTACCACGGTCAGAGAACAAAATCATGAATTGATGGATGGCCTCCTGGTTTTGGGTCATATAATCCCAAAACATGTTCGGGTCCTTCAAGTGTGTTTGAGGGTTTCTCTTCTGGGTATGGATAAAGTGAGGGAACTTGATTGGGTCTCTCAAGAAGAAGATCGGCGTGTTGTTGTAGACCCAGTCCAGGTTACCTTCTTCTGTGTAGAACTTGATAGCAAACCCTCTTGGATCTCTTGCCGCATCTGGAGAACCAGATTCACCACCAACAGTGGAGAACCTCACCAGTGCTCTGGTCTTCTTACCAATAGTGTCAAAGATTGCAGAGCCACAGATATCTGTAATATCATCTGTAACCTCGAATTCACCAAATGCACCGGCACCTTTAGCATGGACAACTCTCTCTGGGATTCTCTCTCTGTCGAAATGGGCCAAAGAGTCAATCAAATTGAAATCCTGTAGCAGCAATGGCCCATGCTCACCAACCCTTTGTGTCTCAAAAGGTGAAGGAATCGGATACCCTTGAGAGGTTGTCACTGTTGGGTTCTCGTTATCGTTATTGGAGGACATTGTGTCTTGCAAGTTGTACTGCTTAGCGATATTCTCTACAATTATAACGGGAAAATAGGAGGGAACTAAACGTACTTATATACTTGTTATAATTTATTCATAATCGTCTATCTGGCTTACAAGTATTGCTCCATAGCAACCCAAATATTCACGTCATCCCGCTGTAGACGCCAATCACATCGTACAAATTTGTCATCCACATGTGGCAGGCCAAGGTGTATTTTAACCCTCCTTATCCACAACCATGGAGGGGAGTCAGACGAGGTCACAAAGGGCCATCATAACTAATCACAAGGCACTCTGGACCGTCTGAAAGCAGTACCAGCGTGGTGGATACTGTAGAGACAGCAAGAGCGACTCAAGTAGAAGCTTCGGGCAGGTTGGTAGCAACTATACATAGTCGTTTTGGCAAGGGCCACGCATATATCACGTAAGCCAACCTAAATTGGAATACTATGGCAACGTGAGGCTTGAGCGATGGCGAGGCAAGAATCATCACCGTGGCCACACTCCACCCACACAACAGAATCCAGAACCAGGTGACCTGACTAAACAAGGGAGAACCAGGCACGAAGAAAGGGGTAAAAGAGGGCCACTTGGTAAAAGCGGAGTAGATCGAAAGGAGACGTTTAAACAGTGGGACTAGAACGTTTTTCAATTGGTGAAACCTTGTCTGTTTACCGTTAACTACCACAGCTACCACTGTTCAAGACTTGATCAGGGAACTGTTATTAGAAGATACTACAGAAACAAGCTCCATAACCACTAACGGGAGAAAAGAGAGTGTAATGCCAGATCTCAGTACTCGTCAAAAGGTTGCTGTTGTCACGGGTGCATCCTCTGGTATTGGGTTCCAAGTCTCCAAACAGTTGGCGCAGTTAGGTTGGAAAGTGTACGGATGTGCTCGTCGTGTTGAGCTGATCAAGCCTCTGGAGCAGTTGGGAGTTGTGCCTATCCAACTCGACATTACGTCAACTGAGGAGGTTAAAAAGTTCAAGGAGTTGTTACAGTCACAACTTCCAGATGGTAAATTGGATGTGTTGTATAATAACGCTGGTCAGAGTTGTACACTTCCAGCCTTTGACGTTACGGACGCACAAGTGGAGCAGTGCTTTGCAGTTAACGTGTTTGCACCGATCAGACTAACACGTGAGTTGCAAGAGTTTTTGATCAATGCAAAGGGTACAATCTTATTCACGGGTTCTCTTGCTGGGTTAGCACCGTTCCCATTCTCATCGGTCTACTGTTCTACTAAAGCTGCTATTCACCAGTTTGCCCGTGCGTTACACCTTGAATTAAAAGGATTCGGTATCCGTGTGATCAACGTCATTACTGGTGGTGTTGCTACGGACATTGCCGACAAGAGACCCGTACCAAGTGGATCGAAGTTCGATTTCCCTGTGGCATTGCAGTCATTTGAAAACCGTAAGAAGATGGCGGAAAAGAACAAACCACTGAGCGCCGAAAGATATGCGAAGAAAGTAATTGGTGATATTCTAAGTTCGAGAGATCCAATCGATGTCTACAGGGGTACGTACTCGACGATTCTGAGCACTGTGGTCCAGTACTTCCCAGGCTGGTTTGTGGAATTTGTCTTAACTGTGAAGTTCAAACTTGGGCCAATCTTTAACTATCAGAGAAAGAAATACGGCGACGATGTTGACTTGCACCTCGAATGAAGCATTATATGGACCGCACGATCCATAATGCGTAAATGATGTATGCTATACTAATGATCCATGTGCTATGCAGGTGATTTAGAATTGAATAGTTGATAATATATAAGTAAGTGGTGTGCGGCTCGAGCCTATCCAACATAAGGTTTGTAGTATGTACGTAATTAAACATCCGCTGTGTCAAATATTTAATCCATTAATGTTCTCGGCTGTGGAGTATCCATGTGATGAATTAATATATCGCACCAGATTTAAATGCCGTGGTAGAATAACCAATCTTTAGAACTGTACCTAGCCATGTGGTACCTTGATCCACGACAGTACTGCGCTGAACACCGATGAGACACTGTTGCAGCTCCAAAGCCAAGTTTACTGTCTCAAGCTTGCAATCATGATGTAACAAACTTGAGAGACCAGTTCCCGGTTCTGTAAACTCTGAAGGATCCTGACTCTAGATTTGTGTGTCATACATGACTGTGATCTAGCCAAAACTGTAAACGCTGTACATTAACTGTACAAGTTTCTCAACTTAAGAAAATGTATCAACATGGACATACCGCCATGCCACTTCTAGACCATTAAAAGTGTAAATATCCATGCCGGTCGAAGCTCTCAAGTGGTTAAGCGAACTGCACTAACTCATGCTCAAGTGGATCATAACCATGTTAATAAAAAGAAGGTTTCGACTTTCAACCGTTTTCGATCTACTGATCATTTTAGGGTTTACCATACTGATAATTCTGATCCAACCTTATTATCGGCAAGCCGGCGATTCACCAACAGAGAACGCTGTTTTGACTCCCTATCAGGGAGATTTACCGTATTGGGACGTTTTGTCATTAACAGCGATGCGTCCGTAGGACCAGGCGAATACAGCCACAGCAGCCAGTTCGTAGGGAAACCGTGGGCTCCAAAATCCAAAACAGGTAATTCGACTGCCGTTTTTTGCATTTCAAATGCATGTACCGCAATGCAAAGAGGCGTATTACATGGGCCACATGAGCTTTCTTGCCCAATTTTTTAAATGAGTTAATGTTCTTCAAGAGTTGTAGAATGGAATCTAAACCAGAAAAAATTCCTTCCTTTTAGCAAACCACTTTTCCAATTATATAAACACAAGATTGAACCCCATAAAAGGTTAACTTGACCTTTCAAAGTTTCCGTACTTGTGATTTTACGCTTCTCAGAGATTTCCAACTGTTTACATTCCTTTGACTTTTCTATCTTTTTCTGTGGGGAGTTTACGAGATCACGTTCAATAAAATCCATTAAAGGACACACAGATATACTAGACTCTGAAACCAGTACACTATCTATCCAATTCGATTACAATACTAAGTGAGTATATTTTCTGTTCATTATTTTAACATGAGTGTTGAGGGAGGGCCGTCGTGAGGTTGGTGAGTTCGTCTTTTTTGTTGTTGCTTGACGGAAATTCGAGGGCGCGAGGGCTGGCTCAAACGAGGATCTAAACAAGGCTTTGATTTTTTAGTGCCAGCATTGGATCACGGTGGGATCAACGCCTTGATACTATCGATGTGGGCACCGGGTTCTGAGTGGCTACTGATAATATAGAGGATATTCAACAACAGCACCGATGGGTCTTAAGGGGGGCCTCTGAGTGATGATACAACAGACAAACAAAACAAGATGAAACAACAACTTACGACACCAAAATACCAAGACCAAGTCAGGAAAGGTTAACAAAAAAAAAACAAAACACAACATACCGGTCGATTTTGAAATTAGGGGGGAGGGTTGGCGTGGTACACATTCGGGAAGGAGCTGTAAAAGGGAATGTCGCTCCATCTTTGACAAAGAAAAATTCGTGGATTGCGCGAATTTGCCGTAACATTTCACTCTTTTTTTCCAATGTTACGCTGGCCAATTTCCGTAAAGAGGAAGCAATTTGCGGAAAAAAATACCAAAGGATATTTTTTCGCAAGACGCGCAATAGGGTGCGTGAATCCTGTGGTATGCAGTATGAGTTTTTGCGGCGCCTACCGCGTCTTGTGATCCTTTGGGCGTTTCATTTTCTTCGCAAATTGGCGCCCGATGAAAAAGACAGGTACATTGTGTACATTAGGACCAGGACCTATCTACAATCACCGCCTCATTGCAATGGACTATGGGTATTAATATATGCCTTTGTCTTGATTGTTCACCACCCCCCTTATTTTGGAGTCTTTCATGGTGTACAATTATTGTTCCTTCCTCTGTCCTCCACGACGGTTGTTGTTCTCGTCACATCCATTCCTTTGATTTGCGATCGGAGCTGTATGTTGTCGTCTAAGCCATGCATGAGTGTTTCCAAGCCTTTAGAAAGGCCCCAATACTTCAAGCCCTTTGGGATTTGTATTGATTCAAGACAAACCAAAGATTCGTTGATTTTCTCTTTCTCCTCCAACACTCACAGACTTACCTTCTGTTCTGAATGGATTTACTAACCAGATCATAATAGATTATGAAGTTCTCTCCAGTTGCAATTGCAGCAATTACTGCAATGTTGACCAATGCAGTATTTGCAGATGAAGATTGTTCTACTACTCGAGTCCACGCCCACCATCAACACAAGCGTGCCGTTGCCGTTGAGTATGTGTACTCTACTATTATCGTTGATGCCCAAGGTAACACCATTCAGCCACAGTCATCCTCAACGTTGGCTACACAACTTGTTTCGACAAGCGCCCAGCAGAAACAACAACAAACTGGTGCTACAACCGTTTTAGTCGGTACTACCAGCTCATCAGCCGTCGGTACTACCAGCTCACCAGTCGCCGGTACCACTAGTTCATCAACTGTCGGAACAACAAGTACAAGTACCAAAGCCACTGCAACTGCTACTTCAACTGCAAGTGGTTCCATCTATGGTGATTTGCAAGATTTCCAAGGTCCATATGAGACCTTCACCGATGGTGTCATTGATTGTGATGACTTTGCCAGTATCATTGGCCAAGGTGTCATCCCATTGTGGCACTTAGGATTTGGTGGTTACTCTGGGTTGTACCATCCTTCCGACACTTCTACTGGTGGTTCATGTGTCGATGGTACTTACTGTTCTTATGCCTGTCAACCAGGTATGTCTAAGACACAGTGGCCATCAGACCAACCTTCAAATGGTGTCTCTGTTGGTGGATTGTACTGCAGCAGTGGTAAGCTCTACAGATCGAACACAGATACCAACTATCTTTGTGAATGGGGTGTTGATATGGCTGACGTTGTATCTGAGATTGACCAAGCCGTTGCCATTTGTCGTACCGATTATCCAGGTACTGAAAACATGGTTATTCCAACATACTTGCAACCTTCTGGTACTTTACCTTTGACTGTTGTTGACCAGGATACCTACTACACATGGAACGGTAAGGCAACCTCAGCTCAGTACTACGTCAACAACGCTGGTTTGACTTGGGAAGAAGGCTGTGTTTGGGGTACCTCTGGTACAACATATGGTAACTGGGCTCCATTAAACTTCGGTGCTGGCTACACCAACGGTATTGCCTACCTATCCTTGATTCCAAATCCAAACAACTTGGAATCAGCCAATTATAAGGTGAAGATTGTTGCATCGGATAGTAGTTCCGTTGTGAATGGTGACTGTTACTACGCAGACGGAACTTATAACGGTGATGGTACCGACGGTTGTACTGTTGCAGTGACATCTGGAAAGGCAAACTTTGTGTTTTACAGCTAAAAGTGCCTTCTAGCACTGACAGAAATTTCCCTTATCCCAACCTTTTCACTATGAACTCTTTCTATGTCCTTTTGATCTGTCTTTTCTCTTTTTATTTATGTGTATTTGATGTTTACTCGTTGCCTGAAGACCGCAATTTACAACTCATGGTGTCCTATGAGGAAGTGTTCGATGTTCGTGTACAAATGTGCTTTAGATTATTTGTCTTGTCTCTCTTTTTAACGTGATTTGATCTTATATTGAGGTGTACTAGCTAATTCATAACCCATAAATAGGTTGCCACAACTCTGTCACGAATATAACGTTTACTTTGTGATATAAGAATGCTCCTGTATATATAATATCGACGTTAATACACCTGATAATTAACGTATTTCCCAAACCATGTCTAAAACCCTTTATAGTACAACAGTAATATAACCATATTCCCAGAACAAAACCAATGATGAGCCATAAACCTTCAGACGAACCGACAAGTGTACTGCAAATAGCATACCTCCATAGATGTGAATGATTCAGAAAGTAATGAACGCCTGAATAATCCTGTATGTTACTTTGGCGGATCTTTTGGTGTACTAATTAAGAAGTTCACGTCATTTCTATGTCCTGCAGATTTATCCTGTTTCCATTGTTGCTGTGGTTGTTGCTGTGGTTGTTGCTGTTGTCGATGTTGTATATGTTTTACACCAGGAAGCCTTTCACCCTGATGTAAAGGAGATTGTTGCTGATGAGGAGGTGGAAATTGATATCCCATCGTAGCAACATCTGGGCCTCTATGAATACGCGGCGTTATGGGACTCGCCGTGCTCATGAACTGTTGTTGTTGTTGTCGTTGCTGCTGTAATTGCCCTTGGTAAGGTGAGGTTAGCTGAGGTTGCGGTTGACGACTCCAGGTTCTCTGAGTCTGTATCTCAGGTATCTGTTGAGGTACTGTTTCATATGCACCCCGAAATTGACCCAAAGATGCTTCAGATTGGTTTCTTCTATGTGGTGGGCTCATCTGTCCAACTGACCTCTTTGGTGTTTGCGGCTTAGACACAGACTCCGCATTGCGGATACTGGATGATGATTGCATCTTACTCTTCTCATCTGGATGGTGCCAATGGTGGAACTGAAATTCTGTATGTTGAGGTAGGTTCACCTTAAACACAGACGTTGAGCCCTTATGACTTTGTTTCATCTTCTCAACATCCTTGGAGCCCTCATTTGTAAATAGATTTGGAATCAGATGAGGAGGTATGTTGGATTCTGCTGCAGTCTTCACCAGATTTATGCATTCTTGTATATAAGTTAACTTCAATTCTTGCCTCTTTGTCCTCTCACGTTCCGTTTCCAGTTGTAAAGTCCAGCATTTGATGGTTTCTTTCATATCAGATTCCTCCGGTATAGTACTCCTGTTATGCTTACTCTGCTTGCTTTTGTCATTCTTGGTGGATTTTGCACTGGTATAAGATGATTCCTCCACGGCGATCGGCCCAGAAGGAGACGATGATTCTTCAGTATCAGAATCGTTGCCAGTGCTTCCACCAGCACCACTGCCTTTTGGAGTCTTCAGGGCACCAATTTTCCTCTTCATATCTGTGTAGGACCCTTTATTGTTTACAAGATTAGGATCGTATACATAAACTACGCACGGTACCTGGTTATAACTGATTCACGAGGCCCAGTAGAGAGCGAAAAGCAGCAAAGGAGGGAATTTGCGTCCGCGCACTGGGAAAAAGCTCTGTTCGTACGCGCAGCTTATTAGCTCATCTTTATCTTTACGCGTCAGTTTACTGTAATACACCTTTAATTAATCAAACATGTACGTGGCTCAAGCATATAACGATTTGAGCACTTACATTATTCACTACTAATATACATACACAGAAAGGAGGATAAAACACCAACAAAAAGCATGTTAAATACAAAACGCTCATATCTGTCTCTCTCTTCAGTTGGCATTGAATCCGATAATTGATAAGCAAGTTAATGGGAAGCCGTAGAAGAAAAGGCAGTATCATGAATGCATCGCCTTGAATAGAGTGAATGCTGTTGTATCTCCTGTGTGCATTATTTTGTATTTCAAGCGGATTCTTCTTCTTCTTCTCTCTCTATACATATATCCCAGAAGAATCATTGAGATGCACATTGAACACCTGGTTGACCATCATCCTCATCATCGTAATCGTCGTGATGAGCACGACGTGATCTCTGTGACTTGGAGTGCTTGGCATCGCTATAATCCGTCAAGACAACGTCATCAATCTCTGCATCCTTTGGAACGTCCTCTTCTCTCTTTTGTGGTAGGATCTCTTGCAACTTCTTCAAGTTCTCCTCAGTGGTGAAGTTATTCTCAGGGAATTTAACAGAAAACTTGACAAACAAGTTACCAAATCCTCCAACCTTTGGAATTGGCATACCTTTACCTTCGATAACCTTCAACTCACCTGGACTGATGATCTCACCTGGAATAATCGAAACCTTGAGGTATTCACCTGACAAGTGCTTGATGTGGAAATCGCCACCGGTAAGTGCAGTGACAAGGTCAATCTCAGCTTCGTAGACCAAATCATCTCCAGATCTCTTAAAGTGTTCATGTGGCTTCTCATCAACGATAAAGATGATATCGCCTGGTTGAATACCTGGAGCCTGATCACCTTCACCTCTAAAGACAATTCTCTGACCATCTTTCATACCAGGGTCGATGTGAACCTCCAAGATCTTACGCTCAGATGTAGTCTTGTTACCGTTACAAGCGGTACAACGATCCTTTGGATCGATGATATCACCAGAACCGTGACATTGATCACACTCAGCCTGGAATCTTTGAATCATTGGACCCATTTGTCTTGTGATGAATTTGAAACCACGACCACTACATCCGGTACACTTCTTAACAGCTCCTTCCTTACCACCACGTCCTTCACAGGCCTTACACAACACTGTCTTGTTCAAAGCCAACTTAGCAGTACGTCCCTTGTACAACTGTTCCAAAGTAGCACTGATTGGATGCTTCATATCGGCACCTTTCTGTGGACCCCTTGGAGCGCCACCGGCACCGCCAAACATACCACCACCACCAAAGAACTGTGAGAACAAATCATCAGCGTTCATACCACCTGGACCTCCAGCTCCACCTTGTAATCCCTCCAAACCGTATTGGTCATAGATTTCACGCTTCTGAGAATCACTCAACACTTCATAAGCACCACTGATCTCTTTGAATTTCTCATGTGCCTCCTCACTTGGGTTCTTATCTGGATGGTACTTAAGAGCAGCCTTTCTGTAACCTTTCTTAATCTCTGATTCAGAAGCAGTTGGTTGAACACCCAACAAGTCGTACAACTTAGTATCCTTCACCATTTTATTATTGTATTACTCTTCCAATATAGATAAAACCTCAGTCGTTGAATATAAGTGAAACAACAATACAAGACAAACCAACGTAAAAACCTACTCCGAGCGTCCAACGGTTAGGAATTTTTTTTTCTTTCTTTCTTTTCCAGCTCTTCTTCAAAAGTTTTCCAGATCCTTCTATAAGTTTCCAATGTGGCAATTTTCGCGCCCTTCTCTTAGGTAATCACCCGCGGTCTGCTTATGCGTGATTGTTTACTTCTTAGTTCTATCACTTATGCTGATACTGTTATACTTAATGCCATAGAATCTCAATCCTCCTCGTTCATAAACCTATTGTAAGACTCTATTTGCCTCTTCCGCCAGAGTGCTATACTGCTTATGTTACCCATTCTGTATATTTCAGATTGGTTTAGGGATTCTATGAACTGATCAACCCCTACAGTATCGTCACATTTGGCCAATTGGCTCTCCAAAGCTCTATTATCGTTGAGCTTGTGCTTTAATATAGGCAATCTTGTTAACGGTAATGGTACGGGTATCAGAATCGAGATCAGTGATGTAGGACAGTCCATGCACTGGCTGATAGATCCCAGCTCAACATTATCCTGTAATTTCAACGTGCCAAATTGTTTGAACAGTTCCATCCTCAGTCGGGCGTGTATAGGTAGAGATGCTGTATCAACGTTTTCTTCATTTCCCTTGGTATTGTACATTATTAGGTGTGCATATCGATCGAACCTCACCAACCCATTGGAAGTACACACACTTTGATCTGAAGCTGTCTCCATTACTAAGGGTAAACTTCTGGTGACAAACGATTTCGAGGAGGAACTTGGCGTGCCTGTGGAAACTTCAACTTGGTTGTTGAACAGCGTATCAAATTTCGTTTCAAGTTGCTTGTTGGAGGTCATCTCATCGCTCGTTCGGAGGCTTATCAATCGGTCAAACTGGAACAAGTCAGAACTTGGGATAGTGTCTATTGAATCCAACCGATACTGCATATCGTCAGTGTTCATGGAGAACTTTTCATCCAACTTGGCAAGCTCTTCATGGCTTAAACTATTCACTGCGCAGTACAACGGCACATCAAAAGGCTCTTGCACAATATTGTGAGAGATTGCACTATTGAAACATAACTCTGGATCATTGAGATGTCCACGCAACCTATCATTGAACCGTTGATACACGTCAAGGTCAAGATCTAGATCAACGTCTTCATATTCGGGTAAAACCAAGTCGTGAGGCTTAACCGTTTCCGTCTTCCAAAGCCGGAACAACTTATGGTACAGCAAATACAGCTTATGACAGTGTAACTGATGTCCTCGGTTTCTTTGCGTCCATATTTGCTTCAAACAGTTTCGATGATGCCGACTCTTTGCAATGCTTTGGGAGTGCATTAACCGCGATGATTTTGCAGCCTCCCCAGCTTCGAGCTTGTTACCTCTGTCATGATCAGCCATTGTGGTTGGACAACACTCTATCTACCATGATCTTGCTTGTAAATGTGAATCAAAAGTACGGATTACAAGGGGATGCTTGTACAGACAAGCCATGACACAAAAGAAGAAAATACATACGTTTTGCTGTGTACGCAGAGCCCAGCGATATGCAATAAACAAACACCATTGATATATTCCCGGAATATTACGTCACCATAACCAAATCATAACCCAACGACAGTGTACGCACGACAAGCATACACCCGGAGCGTCCATAGTACAGATCTTGTGTACGCAGTAATGGCCCGAGTTTCTCTCTTGATCGGCCATAGGCGGCCTCATCACAAACCTGCAGTGGGTTCAAAATCAGCTTGGTTGCACAAAATACGCATTCCAACTCCCGGTTCGCTCATCTTTGGTCCCGTTCACAACTACCCAGGAGGCCCAAGAGACCAAACCAAGACACAACCCAACACAAACATTTGGCCCATCAACACACGCTTCACTTCCAAAGTTGACCAGCTCCAAACAAATAGATATCCACCATGCCAATGATCTGTCCAGATCGACGTGCCCAGCAGAGCTCGGTAACCACACACTTAGCCACTCTTTAAAACTTTATTCATAACATCTGCGTACGCCCAAGTAAATTTGAAACGTAAGATACTGTGCAGAGGAAGCTGTTCACTAATGGCCGAAGGGCTGCACCGGCAAAAAACAAAAAAACACACACAGGCACACGAATCCCAAAGGCAGCAGCGCAATCTGTGGGACACAAATAGAAAGGTTGAGGCCAAGTGAGGGCGTGAGCGAGCGAGCGAGAGAGAGAGAAAGGAAGACAACGAGATTCTTCTACACATTAGACAAAGGTAGCGCTGGGACTACGTAAGCGCGCTGATCGCATAGCAGATACATGTCACACATCAGTTCAAGCGCTGAAGCAGATAATTGTGCTGCTGAACAGGCCAATACTGCATGTATTGGGTGCCGACTTAGACGGAAGAAGTGTGACAAGCAGAGCCCTTGCTCCACTTGTAAAGAGCTGCAAATCCCCAAGGAGCTGTGTATTTATAGGAGGATAGGACTGGTGTCGAAGGACTCGAACGCAACTTATGTGAAAGAGGTGCAGAGGAACAGAGAGCTGAAAGATGAGGTGTCTAGGCTCAAGTCCATCGTCAACTACAACAACACCGCCACACAAAAGGAGTACTTCTTTTCAAATAACAACGATAAGGTGAGACATATCCTGTTGAATCCCCAGAAGAACCCGTTGCTGTGTACCGTGATGTCCTCTCAGCAGTCGTTAGCATACCTGGGCTCGATCTCGGTTGCTGCTGTTACACAGTCAGAGCCTAGGATGAAGATGATGCTGCAGAATATCCACACTGTGATTATGAATGCAAAAATCAAGCTCGAGAAACAAGTCCCTGTGACCTTGTCGAACTCTCCGATGCTAGAGATATTCAATGCCGAATGTCAATCGCAGTACTTGGCCATGGGCCACCAAAATGACTCTACGATTATCAACTTGATTGGAGAGATTGAGACGATGTTTCCCACGTTTGATACCTTTACTCATGCAATGGTGAGTATCTTTAGAACCACAACCGATAGATGGATTCTAATTCCATACGCTGATGAGGCAACCTTTTATAAAAGGTTTTATTCAATAGCCTCTTTTGACCCCATGGGTAACGTTCATTTCCACATAGATCTACAAAACTCACCAGGTGATTTGAACTTCTTGGCAATGACAATGTCCATGCTTTGCATATGTGCCTTTGCATATCAACAGACAAAGTTCCCCATCGGACTTGACTACATGTTATACTCAAAGTATGTCAATGCATTACTAAGGATTGATGGCCAAAACATTAAGTTTACAGAAGTTGATGTTACATATGAGAGAGTGTTCACACTGTACCTGCTATCCTTACTTGAGACATACACCACTTCTGGTGGATTCTTGAATTCATTTGAAGAAATATGCGAGGGAATCTTTAAAATGAGAAATTTGATAACGATGGCCATCTCAATACACTTGCATGAAGATTTGGATAAGTGGTACCCACAGACTTCACCAGGCGAAAAGCGAATGATGAAGACCTTGTGGTATTGTTTAGTACTTTTTGAAACCTTTGAATCGATAGACTTAGGTTTCATATCCAAAATCGAACCTTCTACACTCAAAAGATATGATAGTTGCTGTAACCCATTGACAGAAGGAATTCACATGTTGAATGGTGTTATGTTTAGCTACAACATGATAGATGATGGTCCCCTGGAGCAATTCATAGATTTTGTCGAAACCGAGTTGATTAGAAGATTGAAAAACCATTTGAAGGACGAATTCGGCCCTGCATACATTGACATGCAAAAGTTCCAGCAATTTGATTTGGATGATTTAAGCGAAGAGAATTTAAGTGCGTACAGTCTCATCTTGCAAAGACTTGCAATGAGATTCCTCATATTGGGTGTTATACTCACGCTTTATCACATTTGTCATAAAAGATTGGAACAAGTTGGTGACACCCATACTGACCATAGCCGCAGGCTGAAGTTATTAGGCTGGAAGTACTCATTAACCATTGAAAATTTACTCAAAGAAATGTGGATAGGTTACAGTCGAATCGGAAAGCATCCAGCGTTTTACAGATTTTACCCAACAACATCTCTTATTATGATGGCTCCAATTCTGAGATTTTCACAGAGACGTGTCACGCTATTTACAATAGCTAAGTTGTTAAACACTATGAACGTTGACGAGAACCTAATAGCAAATCACATTCTATATGGCGATAACAGAGGAATTACTGCTCTTCTGAAGGATTTGAAAGAGAAAGGACAGGCTCCAAATTTGTTCTCACTTGAGCAGTTGGAGAATATGGATGTTGATAATAACTTTGAGCAGCTCTTGGAAAATTTTGGATCTTTGGAAAATGTACACACCATCGTCTTAAACATAGCAATTACAACGTTGGATATCCTACAGTCAATGCAGTCAAAGCTTACAAGTTTCAACTTTCTAAAACTGAGCAAAATCTTTCATGTTGTTCTCTTAAAGCTTTGCGGGTTTCTTCTTCATAATACATCCTTGAAAATTGAGCATCAGGATTTTGATTTCAAGGAGTTCTTCAATACTGGCGATGTAACAGATGATGATCTCCTGGAAGTCTTCAAGATGACAGCCCAGAGCAAGTTTTGGTGAAATTGTTTATTTCTATTGTCTAGGCCAAAAAAATAATGATTTTTACTCATGGGTTCTCTCCCAGGCAACTGAAAAAACAAACATCAGCAAGGGTGGCCCAAACAAAAAAAAAACAAAAAAACTTTCAATAAAACTATAGAGAAGCCTGCATTCTGAGTAGTCATCAGCAGAGCAATAATCTTCAACAATGAGTGTAAAGGAAACAGCAAAACAACTCGTAAAGCTATTAGAGAAGTACCCAAAGGAGAAACTCACAAACTTGTCGTTCAAGGAGGCGCAACTCGATAGATTTAGACCAGTTGCTGGAATCAAGAACCCCGAAAAGAAAGATGTCAAGTCCATCGCTGATATCGTTGGAAAAGTAAACCCATACAAGATCAAGGAGTTAGACGTGAAGAGCGACGAGAACTTTAGTGAAGAGTCACTTCTACATCAGATTAAGGCGCTCAAGTCTATAGAGAGCAATAAATACCGGGATTATTACAATCCAACAGATAAGTTGTTGAAACCTCAGGGAAACCCTCGTTATTACGAGAGACTGATTGCTGAGATCAACGGTGAAGGTAAGGAGAACTTCATCACAGGTATGAAGACTGTGATCCTTGGTAAATAAACTGGCGAAGTTGCGCTAAAAAATTAAGCGTATTTTGAGGGTTGGTTGGTATAACGGTGTATATAGTTCCTCTGTCAATACAAGAAATAAATGGTTTCAATAAACTCAGTGAAATCCATGAACGGAGAGTATTCACATATACATATAATGTTTTAATCGTCAGAGTCAATGCTTTTCCTAATCAATTTCAACTTTTTGATATCCACAGAACTCAGATCGAGTTTTTCACTTGCTGCTCTTTTGATAGATCCTTCTTCTCGGTTTGGGAGCCCACTTTTAGGATCAGACCTCACCTTGTTCAACAAAGATGCTACCAGTGAAATAGGTGACATGGATATCTTCGATTCGTTGGTTTGAGAAAGGCCAACCAATTTTGACTTTGTGAAATTTCCTGGTGCGTGTTGAGTCTTTGAATTGTTGGCACGTTTAGGGGAATTTTGAGTATCTTCACCTATTCCATGGTGGCTGTGGACGATAGATGTACTAGACTTTTGAGTCGATTGTGACTGTGTTGATGTCCCCAACGGTGGAGACAGAGTGAAGTCATTTTCAGAAGACATAACTCTCTGTTGTAAACTTTTTATTTCGGATCTCATAGTATAGATGATCTCATTCGTGTTTCCTATATGCAGTGACAAGCGTTCCTGGAATCTCTTGTCTTGTTGATCAAGCTTTCTCTCCAAGGAAGTAATCGTCTTCTTCAACTGCTCATTTTCATCTTGCCAAGCACTGTTTCCCGAAGGTTGTTGTGAAACAACCATCGTTTCCAACTTTTCAATCCGATCAATTATCTTTTGTAAATGGTTTCCAGAATTGTATGATTCAACATCCCTTCTCAAATTCTCTATGGATCTGTCGTTCTTTTCCAGAGCCAAGTTGATCACAGATGCCTTATCTTTTTGATCTTTCGTCAGATCTAGAAATGCAGTACCGAGCTTTATCACATTGGATTGCATTTCTGATATAGATTTATAAGTCTTCGAAGAAAGATCATCAATCGTCCTGGTTAGTCGAGAATTCATTACTGACAGTTCTTCATGCATACTCAGACTTCCAGAGTCACCTTTAGATGACTTTTGAATTGTGGTAATAGGCTCTCCTTCGTGCGTAGTGGCTGAAGAAGGTTCATGTGGTACCATTGCAGTAATACCAGAATTGGAAGCCTCACTCAACGTAGGATTGCCCAATCTAACAGTGTCATTCAGAGGACTGTTCAACAAAGCAATGCTATGTGTGGACAAATTTGTCATGTCTTCGTTCCTGTTCAGGTGACTCTGTGTATCAGTTTTTACATCTGAGGGAATGTTGGCCCTAATTTTCTCAGAAGATGCAGCAAGCTTCTTATTAATTTCATCACGATTCATCATGGAGGTTGATGACTCCTCCGAGTGTGAAACGCTTGTAGTTAGCTCTGACGAGGCTCCAACTTTTCGCTCCAGCATATCCAGCCTACGTTGTAAATCTGGTAATGCGGAGTCTCTAACATTCCCAATGTCTGTGACCTTATTTTCCAGAACAAGAACGCGCCTGAGTGCATCGTGTGAGTTACTCTGGATGTCATTATTCAGGGAAGATAAGTTTTTGATAACTTCCCCCATCTGGGTAAGATTGCAGTTATTTTGGTGAACTTCTTTTTTCAAACCATTGAGTGCAGAAAAAGATTGACTCATTTGTGTAACCTTCATGTTCAGTGATTGAACTTTTGCATTAAGATCTTGCAAATCCTTTGTTTTGAAGAGAAGAGAATCCATATTGAATGAGAGAGCCTTCATCGAATTTTCCGTCTTCGAAAGTCTTGTGTTCAAATCTTCACCAGATTCTAGTGAATTCTTAAAACTTTGAAAAGTGTCAACTTTACTAACAACTTCATCAAGCGTCCCAGTTATCTTGGGAAGATCCAAAAGTACACCAGATAGAGAAGATTGGAGAGTTTCTAGGTTTCTTGACAGTACTGTTGTGGCAGAGGAATTAGTAGACATTGCGGTATCGAGAGCAGAGTGTTTTGAGCAAACTTCAGCTCTGAACGTGGCCAGGTCGTTGTCCAGAGTTCCCCACAGTGAGATGACATGTTTCAGTCGTTTGATATCATCAACAATAGTTTTAAAACGTAGATCAACTATATCCAGAAGAGAAAATACATCACGGTCATGCCCATGCTCACCTTTTGAGAGTTGTTCTATAGTTTTAGCGTGTTTCTTGATCAAATCATGGAGCTCAGAGCTACGCCCACGGAAAACGGAAAAGTCACCTGTGACATGGGCCAATGAAGTTTTCATTTCTGCGAGTTCTTTTTTCAACAACTTATAACTCTCTATATTTTGAGAAGCTCTCTGCTGATCTGATGAATTTGTAAAGTCTGATGATACATCGAGAATGGCCTGTTGAGTTTGGACATCACGTTGACCTGATTGAATATCGTTGGTAATAGTCGATACCTGGCTTTGTGAAGACTGTGTTAACTGATGAATTTGTGAAACAGTAGGGCTTTGACTAGAAGAGATATTGATACTTGGTGGAAATTCAGATAATTCATGTGATGGTTGAGGCGCGTTTGATGGACTCTGAGTCTGCTGGACCTCTAAAATTGCTTCACCAGTGCGTTGTTTCAGCACAGGTGTCTCCCTAAAATCTTTATGAATAGGTGCCTTCTCCTTACTAATTGCTTGACCTTTGTGGAGAGAAGAATTGTTCAGTAATGTACCTCCCTGGGTATTGTTGACACTTTTAAAGGTTTCTTTAGTGAATTTGCCGTTGTCCATACGCGCTTCCTTTGTTGAAACATTGGCTTCAACTGTAGCATTACCCTCCTGTGGGATTGACCGATCCGATGCGTTCTGATTCTGCAACAATAGATTCCTTTTAATTAATGGCGGCCCTTTCACATTAAGCTCTGTTTTGATCTTCTGATCCAACTTATCCTCCAATGATCTCTTCTCTGGTAAGAAAGCCTTGTTCTGACTCTCACGTTTCTCTGTTAATCTCTTTCCTGACTTTGTGTGTTCATTACTGATGGTGGAATCCTCTGAGCCAGACCGCTTTTGATCCATAAGAGTCAAATTTGGAAACTTTGGAGCCATGGAGAATGATTTTTGCATAACTCCTTTGTTATTAAGCTCCTTGGAGACACCGGCTGACTTCTGATCAGTCTTATACAACTTTTGCGAAGATAAGAGGGGACTCATAGACGAAGGTATTGGGATGGATGCATCTACTGGAGGGGTCATTTCGACTTGACTGGATTTCTTGAGCTCTTCATCCACGCCGACACCAAAATCAACATCACCACCTCGGTTCAACACCCCTTCTTCAGGAGCTGGACGGGATGCTACATCAAGCATGTCTACATCCGGATCTGATAGATGTAAGGGCTCCCGGATGTCAAAGTCTCCTTCCCTGGTCTCAAAGGTGTCATCACCAGTGACCAAGCGACATCCTTTCAAGCACAACATCTTCCTCATAACGATGAAGAAAATTCGTACCGTTTCATCCTTCCAACCTTTAACATCAAGCAAAGCAAGTTGGATGGACGCCACTTGTGAGTCCCACCGGCTGCCCAACTCAACTTTTCCCAACCCTCTAAACAGTTCCTTCTCTGCGGCCCACGCCAACAACACCGTTTGTCTGGTCAACCTTGGCCCCTTCCCTCTCTTGGACCTCATCATCCACATATACCCTTCAAACTCGTACAACAGAAATTCCAGCGCAAGTCGTTCACTAAATTGAAGCTCTTCAATCTTCGCAACAGTTATAAGCCATTCAACGTACTCTAGCGTCAGTCGTACAGCCATCTGACCAAGCGGCCTTTCCAATGCCTGTTCCTTAAACTCCAAATCCCACAATGCCTTGTTAAGTCTTCTTCTGGTCGTCTCGCTCAGCTCGGATAGATCAATATCCCTGAGCCGTGGAATGACAGTTCCACTAGGCAAGGAGTACAAGCTCATTCTTGGCGTAAAACGAAATCAATGTGCTCAGTAGAACCCAACGTCCTTTGTTTATGTTTATGTTTTGTTTATGATCTGTTTTGTGCTCAGGCGCGTTTGCTTTTTAGTTGTTTATTTTCATTCTTTGAGCGCTGGTGGGGACTTTTTTTTTCCGCCGCCTACTACCGTACATTTTTTTCCTTCTCATTATCAACAGCTTAGGGAAGAAAGGTGAACACTTTGTCGACCAATGGGTTCCGTTTTCCTTCCACATCTACGTACTGGGTGGCACGTTGACCAGGCCATCGTGTCTGAAGAGGAGAGGCTTGTGGTCATACGGTTTGGACATGATTGGGATGCGAAGTGTATGAGAATGGACGAGGTGCTATTTCGTATTGCTGAGAAGGTTTCGAGTTTTGCTGCTGTTTATGTGTGTGATATCACACAAGTGCCAGACTTCAACGAGATGTACGAGCTATATGACGATATGACTGTTATGTTCTTCTATCGAAATAAGCACATGATGTGTGACTTTGGTACTGGTGATAACAACAAGCTGACGTTCCTCGTGGAGGATGAACAGGAGATGATTGATATCCTCGAAACGGTGTATAGAGGTGCAACGAAGGGAAGGGGTTTGGTTGTGTCGCCAGTTCAAAGGCATAGAAATGCTGTATGATACTGTACACATGGGTGAATCGACGAATTGGCATTTATGAAGACAAAGGTATATATAAAAAAATCAGGAAATGAGAAAAAAAAGCACACACAGATATTGGGACTGGACTGATTAGATACTGGGGAGACTCAGAAGCTTGTCACTCACTCAGAGTAAGTGGCTTCAGCGATGGTGATGTTGACGAAGAAAACAGCATCGTCAACAACAATGACACCAACGTCTGGACCGAGGAGAACGACGGTGTCGATGGCATCCTCGGAGAATGGGAATTCAACACCGTTGGCATAACCTGGAACGTCACTCTCTGGTGCTGTAATGGTGGAGTTTGAAACAGATGTGGAATCCACTGCACCTTCGTTGGTAATTGGAAGGGCGAAAGCTGGTGCAACAAGTGCTAGGGCGGCGACGAGTGAAAACTTCATAATTCTTCTGTTCTTATAGATTGGGTTATGATGTTGAGCTAGACGTATTCACACATTATACAAATTACTATCCTGAACATATCCTTTAAGTACTATTTGAGTATTTGAGGTGATGTTTCAAGTGTAACAGAACAGAGCTCTGTGGTTATACACTTGTAGTATATTGGGCTCCATTGGTGTCCCAATGAGGAAATTTAAGCACTTGCAGACCATGAAATCGTATATTAACGAGAAACAAAAAGACTTCACACCTGAAACAACTACACACGTCGTTGCTCAACTATGCATTGAGAGTATGTTCTATCTAAACTATGAATTAATCTTCATCCATCTCATCCACATCACTGTAAAGATCACTATCCAAATCCTCAGGTATTTCTTCTTCATCCGCATCTTGTTCTTCTTCATCGGCATCTTCTTCATCTTCATCTTCAGAGACTTCTTCACCATTTGCCAGCCTTGCCTTACGCTCTTCTTCACGTTGTTTACGACGTTCCTTTTTTGCCTCCTTTTTAGACTTCTTCTCGGCAATGTTAGCAGCCTGCTCTTCCTTTCTCTCCCTTTTAATTCTTTGGCGTTCTGCATGTTTCTGTTCCAACTCAGTTTGCTCCTTCTTGGATTTCTTAATATTATGATGGTACAATACTTTACCAGTGGAGATTCCTTCCTCAATTTTAGTCAGGTGCAGTTTCAACCGTGGACCAATCTCTGTAAGTTTAATAGCCTTCTTACGAACATTTGTTTCAGCTGCTGATGAGCTGATTCCAGAGGTTGTTGTGGAAACATCCTTCTTGACAGTAGTTGCACTTGTCTCTGTAACGTCAACAATATTCTCCTCTTCAACCTCACTATCACTGGTGAATGCACCAATGGAGTATGGGTCTGTTAAAAGCTCAGAAACGTCAGAGGTTCTGTTCAAATTCGGAAGTCTCTTATGAATGTTTTTCTTTGCATTTATCAACTTCTTAATACTCTTGGAGCCTTCAACCGGTTTGGCATCAATGGCATAGTGACGTAATTCAATTGCACCTGTTTCCTGGTCCTTGAAGATCATCAACACTCTTTTAACAGAGCTCACCTTAGTGGAGTGTGGTTGAATAGGCGGGAACATGTTTTGGAAAGTTGTAATGAGCAGTTTCTCATGTGGTGGTGCCGATTGAGGGTTTGTGAACCCATTGAGCACCAACAAAGGCGGGTTCAGATACTCCTTCGATTCACCTGTAATGGATTTTGGATGTCTTTGAATCTTTCTAACGTCTTTACAGAGCGAATAGTTATCAACCTTGAAAGTAATAGTTGGACCTCTGGACATTCTCGCTATTCTCAGCTGTGTAGTACCAGCTTCCGATTGACTAAAGATCATCAAGTGAGAAACGTTCAACGGACCAGCCATAACGACAAAGTCTCTTAGTTTGTTGGATTTTCTCTCTTTAAGCTTGATTGCGGTGTGTGGCTGCATCACATTTCTCATATCCCTCACCAATTGTGTAAGAGAGTGGTTCTTCATATTCAAACCTATTCTCAACACCATGGAACGAGGGATCTTCGCAGCCTCATCTTGGTTCACCTTTACGTGAGTTCTTTTTTTTGTCTAGAATTGAGCAGAATTTCAAGTTAGTATCATCTCACACAATCAAAACAGCATAAACCTACTCTTCTTTTTGCCATGTCTGGTGGGTTTTGTAACTTCTCTCGATGTCCTCAAGGAAACGATATGTGACATAAAAATTGTTCGCTTGAGAATTTTCACCTCATCGCAGAAAATTTTCACCACATAGTGCGCCGAACAAAGAACGCATCAAAAATTTATGATGAGCAGAGGTTTAGTAGGAAAATTTTCTGTATGGGAATCAAATATCAGACCAATCTTTAAAGCAAGTGGTAAGCAGGATATGACAATGAGTACAAAGGTTTCCAAAGTTTCAAAGATCACCAAGAAGCCAACAAAGAGTGCTAAAAAGGAGTCTGCGCTAGATATTGCAAAGAAGATCAAGCAGAGAGCTCTGGAGAAGCAACAGTTAGAAAAAGAAGAGAAGGCACAGAAGAAGGCACAGAAGAAAGGTACCGTTGAAGAACCTGTTGCAGAGGAAGAGGAAGATATATCTGATAAGGATGATGACCAGAATAACGATAAGCCAAAAATCGAGTCTTTTGCGGATTTGAAATTGATTCCAGAGCTTTTAGAGGCATGTCAGGGTATGAAATTTGATAAACCAACACCTATCCAGTGCGAAGCTATTCCGTACGGATTAGAAGGCCGTGATATCATTGGATTAGCACAGACCGGTTCGGGAAAGACTGCTGCGTTTGCCATTCCTATTCTTCAAGCACTCTGGTACGCACAGACTCCTTATTTCGCATGTGTGTTGGCACCAACTAGAGAATTGGCGTACCAAATCAGAGAGACATTTGATGCATTGGGATCCGGGATGGGGTTGAGATGTGCCACCATTGTTGGTGGTATGAACATGATGGAGCAAGCTACTGCGTTGCAACGTAAACCACATGTCATTGTTGCCACACCTGGTCGTTTGATGGACCATTTGGAGAACACCAAAGGTTTTTCTCTAAAGGCGCTGAAATTCCTCGTCATGGACGAGGCAGATAGACTCTTGGATTTGGAATTTGGTCCAGTATTGGATAAGATCTTGAAGATCATACCGAAGGAGAGAACCACTTACTTGTTCTCTGCAACAATGACTTCCAAGATTGAAAAATTGCAAAGAGCCTCTCTCTCAAACCCTGTCAGGGTTTCTGTCTCGAACAAATATGCCACAGTAGACACACTGGTCCAAACTTTGATGGTGGTGCCAGATGGATACAAGAATACGTATCTTATTTACCTGCTGAACGAAATGGTTGGTAAGTCCATCATCATCTTTACAAGAACTTGTGCACATGCCCAGAGAACGGCGCTTTTGGCCAGAAACCTAGGGTTCCAGGCCATTCCATTGCATGGTCAACTTACACAGGCACAGAGACTTGGAGCCTTAAACAAGTTCAAGTCAGGCTCCAGAAATATCCTTGTTGCCACCGACGTGGCCGCCAGAGGTTTAGATATTCCTAGTGTCGACGCCGTTATCAACTACGACATCCCAACAGACTCTAAGGCCTATATTCACAGAGTTGGTAGAACAGCCAGGGCGGGAAGATCCGGTAAGTCTGTGTCGCTGGTTACACAGTACGACTTGGAACTGATCCTGAGAATCGAGGCCGTCATCAACATGAAACTACCAAAAGAGGTGCCTGACCGTGATATCATCCTGAGCCTACACGACACTGTGGATAAGGCCACTGCACAGGCCATTAGAGACACAAAGGAGTTCCAAGAGACACACGGCAAAAGCGGCAAGAAGAAGAATAGAAGGGATGACATGGACCGTGAAGAGAGATAGCCCATCCTAGCAATATACCTTTTGTATGTAAAACATACGCATCACCACATTGTAAACTGTAGCGTCCTGCCTATGAGGGCTCTTATCGGAGAATGAGCGCTGCTGTAGGCGGAGATCATCACAGGGGAGCTTATGCCCGGGCCCTCTTGAGCTGGAGCAGAAAATAAAAAGATTGTGACACATCGCTAAAAATGTTCCCTTTCCCGCATCCCCCGTGTAAGCTTCAGGGAGTATTCTAAGCCAACCAGTTTACCGACAAGGAGATCAGACTGGAGTAACGTTTCATTTGTGGTACAGAGGGCTTCTGCTGAAACATCAAGCTCACCAAGGAAAAAACCATGTCACACATTGTGTGGCAAGCGGATGAAGATGTTAGCGAATGCTGGTTGTGTCACAAGAGATATACGTTTTTCTTCCGCAGACACCACTGCCGTAGGTGTGGGAAAGTTGTATGCGGTGACTGCTCCAGAGGGAGGGTTGTTTACGAAGCTGGTGCTTCTATAATATCAAGTCCCCATGATCTCTTTGCAGAGCCTGAGGATCTACCTCATAGGACGTGTGATTTTTGCTTTGAGCTCATGATGAGTGAAGGGCTTATTGCAGGTCACAGCGGTGCTGGAGAGGGGAATGATGACAGCGGACATACAAATGAAGGTCGTGGAGGTGAAGAAGAAGGAGCAGAACTTGTCCGGGAGTCCACCTTACCGATGGAGGTGCCAAACCTCACCAGGAGACACATAAAGGATATTTCTGCTCAACAGACCAGCGTTGAGGAAGATGGTGGTATATGTGCTGGTGATGATGCCTCAGAGAGAGATCGATGCCCAGTATGCAATGAGCTATTAACAGGAAAGAGAGACAGCGAAAGGGAACAGCACATTAATGACTGTCTCACTAGAGCGGAATTTTTGGGGTCCCCTGACCAGCACCGGGTTAGCAACAGAATGCTCGTGTACTACGTCCCTTTCCCTGCGAACAATAAAGCCGTTGTAATGTCGTGCTCAGATGCAACGAATGGCTCGTCCATAGTCTCACCAAGGGAAGCACCAATCACTGATGAGAAGCTACCACATGCTCAGGAATGTGTCATTTGTCTTGAAGAGCTGGAACCCGGTGATAAAGTTGGTCGATTGGAATGCCTTTGCGTGTTTCACTACAAGTGTATTAAGGCATGGTTTAAGAGGAAGGGCCCAGGTGAGTGTCCTATACATGCTGTACACGCTTAATGTCGATGCTCGAGCTCTGGTAAGTTACGGTTTGGTTTGTATGTTTTTTTTTCTTTTCCCATTTTGAATTTGCTTTTAATGAGATGTATTTGCTGCTCTGCTGTACCAATGTTGAGATGTTTGGGGTTTATATGGGGGTATATACTAATGAAATAATGGTATAAATGGTTATAATATTAACACGATGAACATCAAAGTAATCCCCAGCACCGACAGTATGAGGTCGTCTCAGAAAAGTGGTGGTGTTTGGATGTGACACAGCTCAAGTTACAAGGTGATTGAGATTCATAACAAAATGAGACAGCTTGGAACAGCTTAGAACAGGGAAGCATCACCTAATGACGTATAACTTTAAGGATACGTAAGTGAGTCTGATAGTACAAGAGAACCATATATACTAACTAGGGTACAGAGTTTATGTACGCAACATCAATGAGAAGGTATCTCTGAACACTTTGAAGAGGAAGCTCAACGAAGTGTTTGCACCTTATGGGCCTGTGTTGTCCATAACTGCCCACAAGAACATAAGAATGAGAGGTCAAGCGTTCGTGACACTTGAGGATGAGGCGAAGGCTTCAAGAGCTATAGATTGCTTAAACGATACCGTTATTTTCCAAAAAAAGATTCAGTGTCAATTGGCAAAGACTAGTTCGGATGACTCTGTTGAAAGACACCTTGGTGAATCAGAATTCACCGTCTATGTCCAGGATAGGCAGAAGAAGAAGGCCCAGCAGGATGAATCATCGATGAAGAAGTCGTCAACACCAAAAGTTGTCAAGGTTGATTTGCAAAATGTGCCACCAAATAAGATTCTATTGATCCAGGGATTGCCAAACGATATAACATCAGAGGAACTGACCAGTGTGTTTGAATCTTACAAGGGCTTTGTACAAGCTCGTCTTGTCGCAGTTAAAAGGGTTGCATTCATTGATTTTGAGAATGAGCAGGATGCCACAGTTGCCAAAGATGAAAATATGGACCTGACGATACGAGAAGTCAAGGCACAAGTGAGCTACGCGAAGAAGTGAAATTAGTAGATTATCTATACAGTGATGAAACACCAATGAATGACTCCATTAAGAATGATATGTAGATATATAAGGAAGTACATAGTGTATTTTAATTGTAAAAGAGGAGACTAAACAGAGACAAAGGAAGTAACACAGTAGAAGAACAAAAAACAAAAGAGAAAGGAAAACCAATAAACAAAAGACTCAGTCCTTTGATTCTAGTACCTGCTTTACAGGCTCAGTTTCATTAGCGTAGAGACCGTGCTCTTGGATGTATCTTATCACACTATTTGGCAACAAATACTGTACGCTCATACCTCTTCTGATGAACAATCTCACTTTTGTAGATGATATATCGTTATAAATGAGCTGTTTAATAACCAAAACGTTGTGTCTATGTTCGTACATGATATCATGGCTAAGAAGGAAGGAGCGTACATCTGAGCCGGTTCTTTCAACGATGAGACAACCGTAACGTCCCAATATGTGGTGCAAGTCATCGTCAGCCCATACGTTTGGTTCACCCATGGATTCGATCAAGTCACCACCTGCGAGAAGCATCACCTTGACACCTCTCTTGGTACCGTCAGCAGTGAGGACTCCTCCACGCTTAACGTTAATTTCCTCGTTAAAGTGATCCAAAACCTTTGCGGTTCTTGTATATGTTGGCTGTAGCGATTCCCAGGCATCAACCATGAGCCACGAGGAAGTACGTTCACATGCCAACTCACACATACGAACTCTATGGGAGGCTGGTGCCAACCCACGTTTCTTGTAGTTATCACTCACCGGTGAGTAATAACCACCAAGTACCTCAAACCTCGTCTGTTCTCTGATGGCATCCATGGCCATCTCAAACATTCTCAAGTGTAGATAAGTGATTGGAGAGAACGAACCACATGCAACAATGACCAATGGCTGCTTATTCGGATTCTTCAATTTTTGTATTAGTCTATGCGTTGGGAATTTGTAATTTGCCAAAGTTTTGGACTGCCTGATGATTCCGTGTGGAACTTCCTCCAAGTCAGCAGTTTGGTAGGAGTGAACTCTTGGTACAGATACAGATACAGGCTCCTCGTAGTAGTCAGTGTCTGATACGGAGATCTCAGCGTCCTCGTCCTGGTCACTACTACTCTCGCCAGAGTTTTCAGTGCTCAACGGCTGTAAGTTTTCCGTCGCCAATGGGATCACACTACCAATCGGGGTACGTGGCGATGAGCTTGCTGTCGTTGTATGGTGATGGTGTCTATGTGTACGTGGTCGAATTGGCGCATCCAACTTGTTAGGGTAATCCGCCAACACCGGAGGCTGGATTGGAATAGCCTTAGGAATCTGTGACGATGGCGCCAACGGTTGGCCCTGCGACGTCGCAGCTGATGGTGGACGAAAATCTGGTGCTCTTGTAGGGTCCATTTCGTACGCTGAGGAGAGCAAATGAATCAATGGCACGCACACACAGAGACGGACGGGCTCAAATAAACAAACAGAATATCTTCAATTGAAAGCAATTGAAATTGAAAGTAATTGCAACGAATAGAAGACAAAATCAGGAAAATACCTCCAATCTCTAGGAACTCCTGCAAAACAACGGAAAAACGAAGGCCTTAAAAAGGGACAAAAAACCAAAAAAGCATCCATCAGCTTATGTGGGAATTTGTGGTTTTTTCCGGTGTCCTTGAGGAACTTTTAATTTTTCCTCGTCCGCTACGGAAATTAGGCAGAGAATTGGTAGTTGCACGCGCCCAGAACGCACAGGTTAGGCGGTGCAAGGCGGGGGAGGGTGAATACTCTCCTTAGAGCCCACAGTCTATTCCATGCTAAGCAAACAATTGCCGAAGAGACGGCTACTGGGGAGTTTTTTGTTTATCCCTAGGCGAAAGAGACAAGATTCCCCAGAGGAGGGAAATGGCCAGCGATTACTTGCCAGGCGGAGCTGAATTTGGTCCGACACACAGCGCTGTGAGGTGATGTTTCCTGTTTTTGTTAGCGTCCTACCCTCTTTCCATCACACGCTACGTGCGAAAAGAAAAACAGTGAACTGGCTTGGGAGGTAGACTGAGCCAAAAAAAGGAAAAACAAACAAACATACTTATACACCCAAATTGGGCTTGGAGGAGTCATTGCTGACAAGGCTTATGCTTCACAGTACATTTGCTTATTGAGCTGATTTCTTTTCTTTGGTTTGTGTGTGTGCTTATACGTTCTTTCGGGTGTTGTATAGTGAAATTTCTGTCTTGTCCGACACTCTGAAGAGGATGATATCACCAGAGGACAAAGTGAGACTTACAAAGCAACGCTTCTCCAACGTTGATCTCTTAAAAGCAGCAGTTCTTCAAGGCGAGTATTCATCCGACTGCGCGTTCTTCTCCAGGCCGTTCTTGTGGGAAAGCGTCTGTAACAACACTTATGGCTTGAACTTCAAAGATGACGAGCTCTTAAAAGTGCCCAAGGAAGGAGAGGAAGAAGATATCACAGACATTTCACACGTCAAGGAGGAACTTGTACGAAACTCTACAGAGAACGACCCCTTAAGCTTCGATAGCAACATTCTAGATATGATGAAGCTGGATATCGATAGACTGTTGATAGATCCATTATTCCACGAAGAACGTGTGAAACAAGATATCTTGCAGATCATGTATAACTACAACAGGTTTCAACCTTATAAACAAGGGTATCATGAGTTATGTGGGATCATTTATCTACAGTTGTACAAGGAAAACCCTGATCTGCACAAGTCACAGATCAAGATCCAAACATTCAACATTTTTAGCTCCATGATGATCACGCTCGTGCCAAACTTCTATGATTCCGATAACCTGGTTGGGTGGTGTGTCAGTATCTTTAACAAATACCTGAGACTCATAGATCCACCACTCTACGACCTATTGATTAAAACACATAAGATTGAATCGCAAGTTTGGTTGATAAGATGGGTCCGACTGGCATTCTCAAGAGAGATTGGATTGGATAACACCGTCAAGCTTTGGGATTTCATGCTCTGCTATGACCATGATTTCTCCAAATTGTTTCCGTTCTTAATCATACTGTTCTTGATGAAGCTGAAATTGAGAATTGCAGAATGTGATGATAACGGCGAGGTATTGTACCTCTTACTCCATTACCCACATACAGAATTATCTAACGAAGAAGTTAAAACAATGATACAGTGGAGTATCAAATTCTTAACTAGTCCTGAGGATAAGCTGGAATCATTAGGCACTGTACTTAGTAAGAAGCTGCATAAAGGCATTAGATGGGACAAAGTTAAAGATTTGGACAGAATCAAGTTGGAGTTGAAGCTAAAGAGAAGAGTCCAAAGTGCATTGAAACCATAACAGACATGTATCATAGATAGAATGTAAAGAGCATCCAGTCATTGGGATTTCCTAAATCGAAAAATAGGCGTAAAATGATGCAGGTTTTGCACAAGAGAAAAACGAAAAGCGTAAAAACACGCAAATTTCCCCTTTTAGAACATTTTCGTCAAAATGTTAAAAAAACCCACACACACAGCGTTCGACAGGATGTGGAAAAAAAAACGAATAGTACGAAAGTCAACGATTTCAGTTGTAATTCTAAGAAATTGTTACACTTCTCACGAGTGACGGTATCCTTAACAATGAGTATGAAGAGACCTACATTAAAACTTCTCAGCCAAACACAAGGCCATCGTTTCGCATCTGGACATGTCATTGATGGTGCTTTACACAAACGTCCATTGAAGAAAATTGGCCTTGGAAAAGCCAGACCAGCTATTTATTACAAGTTCAACTGTGCTACTGAATACAGTGACGGTGCTGTTGTTATTAGAAGATCCCAGTATCCAAAGGATGAACTTAGATTGATCCAAGATATGCGTAACTCTCCACTTTGGAACTCGACTAGAACCGATCTAGAAGTTGTCGATGCCAACGCCGGTGGTAGATTAGAGAAGTTCAAGCAGAAGTTTGCACAATTTGCTGTTAAGGAGGATACTGAAGAGACTAGTAAACCATCATCAGTTGACTCCAAGAATAAGACTGAAAAGAAGAGTGAAACGAAGGAAGCATCCGCAAAGGAGACCGAAGAACCAGTTAAGGAAGCAAAGAGTGAAGGTGACGGCTTCATGCTTGATGATTACTTGGAGCTCTTGGGACAGAACGTTCAGGAGGTTCAAAAGGGTGGTAAACTTGCAGTCAAGCAAAAGGGTAAGAAGAAATGAGACACATATAAATAGCTACTTTTGTTCTGTACATATAATGATAAGACCTTTCTTTGAAGGAAATGCTGTTGTAAGAGGGCTCTGGTTGTAAGTCACGTGTACAGTTCACCATCAACACGTGATATTATCCATACACATCAATCTTACTGCGAAATCAATAAATAAACAAACAATAAACTGTCAACATTGAGTGATACGGGACAGGGGTAACCACGAAGCAAGATTATAAGCATGGAGAATCCACATGAACAGGTACAAAATGCCTTGTTGGCTCGTATAATCAACAATGTTGTAAGTGTCTACTACATTGGTTTCCTTTTAGGAGTGTTTAGTTTGTGTTTACTAACATCAGTGACAAAAGGAGAGACTGAATGAAAGCGTTGTGATATTGAACAACTCATTACGTGTATGTATACTGTGCGATGCCCCACAGTTGAACTTTGGGGTCAGGATGTTTGGCTACTAACTGTACTTATATATAGGAGGCCAACAAGGACAACTTACAGATGGAGTTGGTTGCACAGATGTGGGAGAACTACCAGGCAAATGCAGAGTTTAATTTACAAGCAACAGGTAATAAGCAGAAGCCACTGTGAACTGGCTTGTGTAGATAAGGAGTTTATATTTTTGGACAGGTTCGATAATTAACGGTATTGGTAACGGGAAAATAAAGTGCGGCAATGTAGTCTACAACCAGAAACGTTCATAATCCAAAGAATGATGTTATTAGTTCTATTATACAAATTTGGTAACTGTGGTGGCTTTTTGTGATACCACTGTCAAGGGAGAATGCTCGTGAAGGTAATGGTTGTGATTCCATAGATGCTTTGAGAGCCGAATTACAGTTCCATGCTCTCTTAAGTGCATATAAATCATATTCAACCAGAGACTAACCCTCATGTTACTGGTACAACAATGCCATATAACCATATGTGACAACTTTTTAGTACTTAAGTGGCTCTTGTTGGGTTGGAAGCATGTTGAAACGTTTCTTCAAAGTAACTCTTTGTCTAGAGTATTTGTCGTCTGGAGAAAATCTAGCTGGGTGGGCAGACTTGGTAATCTCACCAGATTCCGTGATCTTCTTCAGAGTGTAGATTCTCTTTCCATCAGCACCAGTTGTGTACATCAAATGCATCGTGAATAATGAATTTGCTATAAGGTATTCAACAAATGTTTCAAGTTGAAAAGAAACAGAGTATATGAATTTTGGTGATGAGCTGAGAAAAAGTTTTCGCCTACTAAAAAAAACAGTAAAAATCCATTTCTGTCAAATATCCTAAACAGGTAATTACCAAATGTAGAGCTATATGATACGCGCCACATTTCGATGTTGCACCGGTGGACAGATCAGCTTCTTTGGCTTTAAGTCTTACTCTCTTTCTAAGCCATTTTCCATAATTGGTGGATTAAACCTATCAACAACAATGTCGAAGGACCAATTTGCGGATTTGTTGTCCTTCTCAAAGAAGAAGGATGAGTCTACAATGTCTTTACAGGAAATACAGAGGCTTAGAGGGAACAATAGCACTCCCATGAGCGGTGGAATTAACGGTACAGCTGTTAATCAATGGTCAAATTTTGACATATTGGACAAGACTTCCAGTTCAATTCCGAGCGTGAACCCCTCAAAAGCTGATCTATTCGAAGGGTTCGACCTACTTCATTCAAATTCACAGAGTAAACCTGTGAATAAGGTGGCTTCGCCACCACTAAGTGGTGATTTATTTGAAGGTTTTGGCCAGAGTAATGGTTCAAAAAATAACGATCTTTTGGACAGTTTTGACTTTAAACCAGCTGCTACTTCTCCATCTGTACAGTCGCACACACATTTGAATCCAATATCTCAGCCAAAGCAGCAAAAACAGGACAAAGTACCACCTGCTGACGACTTTGATTCGTTGTTCTCAGTGTTTGATACTCCACCAAAACCGCCGGTATCACAACCAGTGTCAAGACCAGTCTCACAACCTACAGAACCTTCCCAGAGACAGGATCATCCACCACGGAAACCACACAGACCAAGACCTCAACAGCCAGAGCCGCAGGTCAATGATGACGCCTTTGACCAGGCCATGGCTGAACTTATAGATATGGGATTCACACCAGAACAGTCAAACTCGGCATTGAAACACGCAGGTGTTGATGTTCAAGCAGCAGTATCTTATATAATGACAAATGCGCATAACAAAGCTCGTGCAGATGCTGGTTTACCTCCTGAAAGGCTCAAGTCAACCCAAAATGGCACTCATGGAAGTGAGGATTACGTCCAAACTTTCCAAAAGTACATGTCTGGTGCCACTAAGAAGTTGATGGAAGTGCAGAGGAAGTTCATGGCACCGTCACCTGCTGAGACCGGTGTTCCAGCATGGATGAGAGATGCGGAAAAGTATAAAGCCAAATCCCAATACGATGATGACCCAGAGGAAATCACCACAGAGGAGTTGAAAAGATTGGCATTGGAAAGGGAGAGGGACTACAAGGCGAAACAGAGATCACCTGCACCTGGACCAAGACCGCAACCTCAGGTTCCAAGAAGAACATACACACCACAACCTCCAGAGAAACCATCGAGACCATTGAGATCACCGTCTCATCAGCCAGAAGAATCACACGTTGATCTTTTCTCCCCTATTCCTTCAAAGCCTAAACAGCAACCACAACCTGTTGTAGATCTTTTCTCCGACAGTTCACTATCAATACCATCTACTAGGGGGTCTAACAGATCAACACCGGTGTCTTCATCAACAGTTTCGAAAGCCACGCCGCAACCAGTACAAAGACCTCAGATTTCTATCTCATCAACACAGTTGGAATTCTTTAAAGACTCTAAGGAACAAGGTGGTATTGCCTTCAAGAATGGAGATTTCACCAGCGCTCTCCAGCACTATGAAACTTCACTGAGTGCATTACCGGAAGGTCATGTCTATCAAATCGTTGCACTATCCAATGTTATTACTTGTCTCATAAAGACTGGTGAAAATAAAAGAGTCCTGGAACTTTCTGAAAAGGCAATTGCTCTTATTGGGCCTTCAAAGGGTAACGGTGAAGAAATCGATGGTAAAAGCATGAAGAACTTTTGGATTAAAGTCATGACAAGACGTGCAGAGGCATTTGAACATTTGGAAAAGTTCAAAGATGCACTGGACTCCTATACACTCCTTATTGAAAACGGAGGAGCAACAAAATCTGTCATGGATGGTAAGAAACGTTGTAACGATGTTTTAAATCCTAGACCAAAGTCCACTGCGCCATCAAGACCTGTATCTAGACAACCAGCAAAGGCCGCAACTCCAAGACCAAGAGTCGCCACACCTGCTCAGTCTTCATCACAGGCATCTGATAGAATCCGTGAGACTCTACAAAAGGAATCACAGTTTGAAGATGATAGATTCAAACTTCACGATGTTGTTGAACAGAAACTGAACAGCTGGAAAACTGGTAAGGAGGATAACCTTCGTGCGTTGCTTTCAAATTTGGATACCGTTCTATGGACAGAGACACAATGGAAAAAGGTTAGCATGGGTGATCTTGTTATGCCAAAGAAGGTTAAAATCTGCTATTTGAAGGCAGTTGCAAAAGTTCACCCTGATAAGATTCCACCAGATGCTACGAGCGAACAAAAAATGCTCGCTGAAGGTATCTTTGTTGTACTGAATACTGCTTGGGAAGGATTCAAACAACAAAATGGTATGAATTGACCATTATTTGTAAATAAAGTAACATTGCATTAATACATAATAAGTCTCTTTTTCTTTTGTCTGTCAATCCTCTATATAGTTGTTTTAACAATGTTGACTGATGTACTATTAGCAGCTGCTGCCTGCGCCGAGGTCATTTCAGTTTGATATCTCTTTATAGCCACTGAAAGTGATTGCTTCAAAGAGCTGAAGTATGCCTTGCACAACTCTTTCGAGTGGTCATCTTTCATGCTTGTCACTGCACTATCTATACGTTCATAAGACTTCCTCAGCGACTTGTACAAATTATTCAACGTAGATGCTTGTGATGGATCACCAGAGTTGAAATGTAACCAGAAATGTCTTAAAAATTCCACAGAGGTGGCATGCGTAATCCGGATGGATTCCAGAGTATCCTTGTCAAAATTTGGGTCAGTTTCATCTTCAACTTCATGGTGTTCCTGTTCCTCCAGAGTTCTATATACCTGCCAGCTTTGTTTTGACTGTTTGGAGTTCAATCTTACCGATTGTAAAATACTTTCTGTGGCCTTTTCAATGCTTGGACGTTTTGAAGGTGAGTAAACTTCGTGCAAGTCAAACTCTTCATCCAATTGACGTTTCAAGTTTTGAGTGTATTGTATAAATTCTTGTCTTGATACCTGTCTGGTTTGTTGCTTTTGATCTATATCAGGTTTCAAGGAGATCTTTGCATATTCAGCTTGTTTTTCTGGTTCCAGATCTTTTATCATTAATTCTTCCCGGATTCTATCTAATTCTGCTTCTTCCTTAGTCTTTTGTAGATCTGGAGTTGCCTGTCGTGAGTACTCCAGTTCTAAACTGTTCATCATCTTATGACTCAACCTATTCATACTTCTCATAGCGCTGACCGTTTCAGGCAATGCGTTCGGTTTCATTGTAATATCTGGTGCGTTTCCCAGTTTGGTAGAGTCGTCCTCCTGGTTACCTTCAACGTCAATAGTCTTATTGACTTTATGAAGTAGACTTTCGTCTTCATGTTTTTCAAAATCGATATCCATATTGATGTATTTATCCAAGATAACGTCACCTCTCAGATTAGTTGCTATCCTTTCACCTTTTAGCTTCATCAGCAACTTTGAGCTGAAGAATCTAGACCAAAATTCACCTTCACTCAACCTTGGGACGTTATCGTCGTATGCCTTTCTAACAACTGGGTACTGTTCGAAAATTGCGTGGATCTTTTCCCTTGTTACACTAACATTAACTTGGTTGTCACTAGTAGCAGTGGTCTTGATTGTACTGAGCACGTTATATGGGCCTTTCTTCTGTGAGTTGCTCAACGCAAAAGCTCTTAACAGGTGTACTCTCGTTTGCCAAAATTCAGAAGCCTCTAAACCTTGATTAATCACAGCCTCTTTGAAAGTTGACATCAATTCTTTGTTCTCCAATAGCAGTTTCTGTTGCAGTTGATGATTCCCCAGTAGCTTCTTAGTATTAAGTGCCTCGTCCAGAAATGTAGTGTTGATCAACGGTTTCTCTGGAGCAGGCGTAGAACTCTGAGACTGAGCGGCCTGTAGAGCAGACTTGTGTCTAGCAACAGTTTGCTGCAGGGCTTCCTTCACGTTATCCATAACCAGCCTGTTGTTAAAGGAGAACAGATAGTTCACAGGCTCATCTGCGTCAGACTTCTTTGTTATAATCTTCAACATCATCTTCTCAGAAGTCGCAGCAGTCGCCTGAAGGTGCTGAATGGTACTCAGTTCAAACTCAACAACCGTTGGATCATCAGCAGCTCTCCACTGCAAAATGGACGGTGTTCTATCCTCATATATCGTGACAACACCAACTTTCTTCTTATGGATAGCAGCACCAGAGACAAGCGACATTGAGACTTGTGGAGTACGGAAACACAGCAAGTATCTCCTCAGTAATGGAAAACAATATCATCAACCCGGTACTTTGATCGAGTCGTTCATCATTCCCGCTATGAATTCTTTTACCTTATAGTGTCTGTACCAAAACAGCTAACGCACGGGCACATAACCTATTGTTTCAGGCTGCTTGGTACTATAGAGGCGGTGTCCAGGTGTTTCGAGCAGGTGGGATGAAGTCAAAGAGGGAAAAAAAAATTTCCAAATTGGCCAAAACTCTTCCACAGTTTGAAGGGTATACAGGGACTTGTTCTTAAACATTACAAACACTCTAGAATGGTTTACATTGGTATCTCATTTGGTAACACCACATCTTCAATTGCTGCTCCATCAAAGGACGGCTCTATCGAGGTCATTGCTAACCCAGATGGTGAGCGTGCGATCCCATCTGCTTTGGCTTACATTGGTGATGATGAGTACCACGGTGGTCAAGCTTTGGCTCATTTGATTAGAAACCCTCAAAACACCATCATCAACTTCAGAGACTTCCTCGGTGAGTCTTATGAAAAGGTTGACCCAACTTTGACGGAGAAGAGTGCGAAGGCTCAAGATTTGAACGGCTCTGTTGGATTTGAAGTCTCCATTGGTGAAGACAAGGAAGCTTTAAAGCTTACTGCACAGGAGATCACTGTTAGACACTTGAAGAACTTGAAAGCTGCAGCTGAAGACTATTTGGGTAAGTCTGTTGAAGGTACTGTGATTGCCATCCCAACCAACTTTACAGATGCTCAAAAGAAGGAGTTGAACAGTGCCGCTTCTGAAGCCGGTCTTAAAGTGGTTCAATTTATCAGCGAGCCATCTGCTGCCTTGTTGGCACACACATCTGTTGACGATAAGCTTATCACAGATAAGACATATGTTGTTGCTGATTTTGGTGGTGTCAGATCCGATGCTGCAGTGATCTCTGTCCGTGGTGGTATTCTCACAGTACTCGCCACTGCCCATGACTACGAACTTGGCGGTGACAAGTTGGACGATGCTCTCAGTGAATACATTGCAAAGGAATTTGAGAAGAAGTACAAAGTTGATCCAAGAAAGACTGCTCGTTCTTTAGCTAAGCTTAAAGACGCTGCCATCTTAGCAAGAAAGACGCTTTCAAACGTTTCCACTGCTACGATCTCCATTGAATCTCTAGCTGAAGGTATTGACTTCCACTCTTCCATAAACAGATTGCGTTATGAATTGACTGCTAGAAACGTTTTGAACCAAATGACCGATTTCGTCGAAGCCGTTGTCAAGAAAGCCAACTTGGATGTGTTGGACATTGATGAAGTGTTGCTCGTTGGTGGTGTTTCAAACACACCAAAGCTTGCGTCAAACATCGAGGCTGTTTTCCCAGAGTCCACCGCTGTTATTGCCCCATCTACTGATTCTAAGGCCACCTACCCAGAGGAGCTTGTTGCGCGTGGTGCATCCATCCAAGCCTCCTTGTTGGAGAACTTTGACGACGAGGAGATTGCTGAATCCCAATCCCCAGTCATCATCAACACGCAGCACTTGACCAAGGCCATTGGTCTGGTCGGTGCTGAAGGTGAGTTCATCACTGTTCTGAAACAGGAGTCCACTTACCCAATCCGCAAGACCTTGACACTGAACTCTCCAAAGGGTGACGTTCTTTTGACCATTGTCGAAGGTGAGGCCACCGTCAAGGAGACCACCTTGGAGCCGGAAGCCCCAGAAGACGATGATGAGTACTCAGACGAAGAACCAGAGGTGATCAAGGAGAAGCTCTACATCCCAGGTAAGAAGCTCGCAGAGTTGGCCGTCAGAGACGTCACCACCGACACCTTGGACGTTGTGTTCAACATCACAAAGGAAGGTACCCTCTCTGTGAGCGCCAGAGAGCCAAGACAAGGCTCTGTTCCATTCAAGGGAGAAGTCTCTCATGACTGAGAACACCGTGTAAGCCTTTCACTCGGACTTGTTTAGTGCTTCAAATAGAGAAAACAACAACAAACACTGAATTGCGTAGCTTATGTAATCCCGCCGTGACACAAAAAGCCGTTGCGATGAACTGGCGGTTGGCGCAACACACATGAAAATTTTTCTTTCTCTCGTGCTTCCCGCTCCGCTTAAAAGGGTCCTGGTCTGGAGGATTTTTTTGCCTAATTTGTTCGTGCGATGAGCCTTCACCTCATCGCTCGATCTGGGGAAGCCGGTACCAAAGCCACGCGCTGGATACAGAACGAGGTTCACTACGAGTGTACTTTCACGGAGCAATGTCGTCTGTGTTATCCTTCAAAGATCACTGTAAGTTCACTGCGCAGCGAGCTGTGCGTAAGTTCACCACGAGAGATGGGCTGCTGGGTGATTACAACTATAAGTTCCTGTTCACACCACGTTTGCCCTTCACTAAGCGCACCAGGGTGTCGCAGCCGTTTTTCGGCCTAAACGACGAGATGCCCGTAGTGCTAGGGCTTATACTGGGCTTACAGCACTCGTTGGCGATGCTTGCTGGTGTTATTACACCTCCGCTGATCATCTCTTACTCTGTGAATGCCACCACAGAGACACAGCAGTACTTTGTTTCAACCTCGCTGATTGTGAGTGCGCTTCTCTCTGTGATCCAAATCACAAGATTCCACATCTACAAGACTCCGTACTACCTGGGCTCCGGTATGCTTTCTGTTGTTGGAACAAGTTTTGGTGTGATTGTTGTCGTACAGAAGGTTCTTCCCATCATGTACAACTCTGGGTTTTGTCCTGTGAGTGAAGACGGCACTCAACTGCCATGTCCAGATGGCTACGGTGCTATACTGGGAACCTCATGTGTCTGCTCGCTTTTGGAGATCTCAATGAGCTTCATTCCTCCAAGGTTTCTGAAAAAGTTGTTCCCAGCCACGGTCACAGGTACAGTTGTTCTTCTAATGGGTGTTTCCTTGATCAAAGCTGGGTTCCAAGATTGGGTAGGGGGCTCAGGTTGTGTTGATGCTATATGTCCATCTGAAGGTGCACCTCGTGCAGCAGAATGGGGGTCTGCCCAGTTCATTGGTTTGGGATTCCTCGTGTACGTTACAATCATAATTGCTGAGAAATGGGGTGCACCAATTATGAAGTCCTGTTCTGTTATTCTGGGCCTCTTGGTAGGATGCATTGTCGCTGCAGCTTGTGGCTACTTTGATAGATCTTCTATAGATGCAGCAAATGTCGCATCTTTTATCTGGGTGGAAACGTTCAGGCTATCTGTATACGGGCCTGCAGTGCTTCCAATGCTCATTGTCTATGTCGTGTTATGTGTTGAAACCATTGGTGATCTAACAGCCACCTCAGAAGTTTCGAGACTGGAAGTGGAAGGTCCAGCTTATGAGTCCCGTATCCAAGGTGGTGTCTTAGCAGATGGCTTTAATGGACTCATTGCCGGTCTTTGCACCATCACCCCAATGTCAACCTTTGCACAGAACAATGGTGTCATATCAATCACCAAATGTGCAAACAGAACTGCAGGCTATTGGTGTTGTCTCTTCTTATTGATCATGGGTATATTCACAAAATTTGCAGCCTCATTGGTGGCCATTCCAAAGCCTGTCCTTGGTGGTATGACTTCTTTCTTATTCACATCAGTTGCAGTTTCCGGTGTTCGAATCATAGCAACATGTAAGTTCACAAGACGTGATAGATTTGTGCTTACAGCTGCACTACTTCCTGGATTTGGTGCCATTTTGGTACCAAACTGGTTTGATAACGTTTTCCACTACTCAGGAACCAATACTGCGCTCCAAGGGTTTCTGGATGCCATTGTCGTCATTATGGAATCATCATATGCAATGGGAGGTATAATTGCAACTATTCTCAACTTGATGCTTCCGGAGATGAACGACGATGATGGAGATGATGAGATTCCGGATGACCTCTCTAAAGACTTTGATGAACTGCAAATGGATGACTATGTGCAACAATATGACGATTTGGACAAGCAAGCAGAGAGCTCACAGAAGATCAAGCATTTAAAATCCGGTTCAACTTCTCATACAACCACTTATGAGGGAAGGTCATCAAATATTAATGATCATACAGAGTGATTCTAGAGACAACCAACTATCGTTACAATACTTATACAAGAAAAAAACAGAAACACAAATCAATTAATTAGCTTATCAAGCACCTGTACTTGTTCTCACCCTCTGTAATGTGTCTAAAATTTGGTCATAAGCATTGTTCAGTTCTTCCTCTTCTTCAGTATCACTCTCAGTCTCGCTTCCACTGTCAGCTTCGCTCACATTGGAAACAATCTTCTTCGCAGGCATATTTGATGCAGTGTTTTGCATGGTTTGAGTTAAGATATCACGATCCTTATTTGATAAGAAATTATCCTGATGATCAGATGGGTGCGACTTTTTATAGATATCACCAATCGTGACACCCTTCTCCTTCAATTTCTCGAGTGCATCCATAACGGTATCAACGTCGTTGCTCTTAAGGATCGAGTTCTTGAGGTCTTCACCACTAATATTACTGATGGCATTAGCCAATTGGTCATCTGCAATGATCTGATCCACTAAACCACTAGATTTGATCATTCCAGCTAACTTCAAGACAGAAGCTTCCTCTTTCAATTTACTATCGTCCTTGGCACGGCCAGGATCATCTTCCGTAATTGCTTGCGTTTCAGAGTGATCAACGTGTGTCTGGCTGACACCAAATGGTAATAGTTCGGCATGTCCATGTGTATCCATATAGTCTGAAAGCGCAATATTTGTGCTGGATCTTCTGGCCATTGGGTTGGCGGCGAGTGGTGATCTGTGCGAATCCTTTGACTCAATTTCGATCTTATGAATCATATCATGTATGGTGGCACGCTTACCGAGAAGATGGAGTCCCTTTTCAATGGAACTATCAATGAAACAGAAACGAATTAGAGCTTCTTTTCCTTCAGTGTTCAATTGTCCTTGCAATCTCAGCTTGAAAAGCTCATCAATGGAATCGTGAATATTCTTTCTGACTCTCAACGTCTTCTTCAATAGTCTTTCGACCAACTTAGAATCAATGTTGTTGTCGTCATGTGCAGTGATTAACTTTGTGATTTCCTCTTGTAAGTCATTCAACTCGTTCTCAGCCAAATCACTGCCAACTTGCCCGTGTGATGAAATCTCTTGTTGCATGTTTCTGACAGTGTATAAACTGATTTCATCTTTAAACTTAGCTGGAATCTCATCAAAGTCAATGTCAAGAGTCATCACTGATTTAGAATTCTTAATTGCAGTGGCCAAGGCAGATGCTGCAGTGAAATCAATGTGATTACCTATCAAGGATACATATGACAATGATTTACAGAATGGTATGAGTTCTGCAAAGGCAACAATGGTATTCTGGTTCATATCATTGTACTCCAAATGAATTCTAGATAACCTTGGGAACAGTGGTAGACATTGTGCCAAACCAATCATGATTTCTGGGAACAATTTCTTGTTGTTGGACAGATCTAAGTACCTCAAATCTTTTAATCCAGTACTGTTTGAGATGAAACGATCCACAACACCTCCATCGTTGTTCAAGTTACACGAGTTGAAGGATAAGAATCTAAAGTTGGCCTGACGAATACGTTCATCGGTCATTGCACCCAAGAAATCTTTAATCGTAGTACTCAAATCGTTGTATCCCAAATCGAGACCGATGACTTTGGTAACGTCAAGTTTGGATCCAAGTACCATAACCTGGTTCTTGGTCAAATCGTTATATGCCAAACCAAGTCTCTTCGTAGATATGGAAACACCCAAATCTATCAAATTAGCGAACTCTTCATCACTCATTTTCGCACCGTTAATAATCAGCTCTTCCACTCCATTTCTAGACATTAGCGCAGCGTTGAATAAGTTCCAGTTCATATCACTTCTCGAGTTCATATCACATTCCATGCGTACAATAGTAGATGGAGTAGACGTCTTTGAGGGCTTCTGAACATTGGTATGCAAACTTGGAACGTTTGTGAGATCAATACGAGATAACGACTTGTTCTTTGTCAAGAACCAGCACAACAATCTCCACCCCATTTCATCGATAGGTGTATTTCTCAAAGTCAACTTTTCAAACTCTTTTTTGGCCACCAATGCACTCAAGATGATTCTAAACATTTCAGAACTTAATGAAACACCATCTAGAGAGACACATAGGACAGGAGCAATAGAAATAAAGTCACTGAAAGTTAAAACCTCTACTAGAGATGGTTTAGGATTTCTCAACTGAAGCAAAGCAATTGGATCTGTAGATTTTGGCTTGATCTGTTTCATGGTTGCAGGAATTGGTAAGATTTCTCTCAAATGACAACATCTCGTATACAACACATCCAATGGCACTTTAGTATCTTGTGGGGGATAGACACCATCTTGATCCACAGTCATGTCTGTACCAGTACTATTTGTAGCTAGCGATGCAGAGCTCTTGTTGTGACGTATCATTGGTTTGTCAATGTTGATCTTTGTAGCGTGTGTACTGACAGTGACTTCGTCCTCACAGTTTGTACGTGTACGAGATAACTCATTTGGAGCTTCATGGCCTCTGGCTTCAGCTGCTGCTTCAGCTGCTGCAACAGCACGAGCACGACTATGACCTTCGTTCTCAGAGATATCTGAGTCGATTGAGTCTGTTGGGGATACAGGGGATCCAGGGGATTCATCAGTATGCTCTGATTCGTGTGCTTGTTTCAACGCTTCTCCTTCTGGAGGTTGTGTTGTGATCTTCAAATGACCAGATCCACCAACGACCAACCCACCACCACCTTGAGTCAAGATCTGTCTTCTTTCTGCAAGAGACAACTTATGGATGACAATGCTTCCATCTTTCAAAATCTCAACTTCACCCTTTCTTGGTGTTCTTGAAGGGATCTGTTGAGGAGGGTCGTTGAAGAATACAGGAACGTCAAACGATACCCGTTTCAACTTTGGCAAATTCTCCAAACCAGGAATGACCACCGCTGTAGGCTTAGCTGGAGATTCCTTTGCTGCTGAGGTTGTGCGGCTCAATGTAGAATCACTAGCAGAGCTGTGATGACGACGTAGAAAGCCTAGTCTTGAGCCTGAGTTCGAGCTCTGTTGACCAGCAGAGTCCACTGGTGCCATTCCTGCAGGCACTGCTTTCTTTTCATGCACCATGGCTGAAGGCCAAGGTGAAGTAGCTGGATGAGGTGGGATGGGTCTTCCACGTACATCGAACTGGACTTGTATTGTCGACTTCTTCTTATCTGAACGGGATGCTGACGATATGGAGGATGAAACGGAAGGTGCCTTATTCGACGTCTCTTCGCGTTCTGTCGAGAGATCCTGTTGTAACTTGTCGAAACCCTTAGCCTTATAATAACGGAAGAATTCCTCCAATTTCGGATCCAGATGAGCATTGTCAAATGCCAATGATTTCGTTCTTTGTAAGCGCTCGCTGGAGTCGTGTCCAGACGCAGCAGCTGGCTTCTTTGCACTGAGATGACTATCATCTCTTGACATTGGTTTCAACGTTGGAGATTGTAATCTTTGAGGTTCAGAGCTCTTCTTGGAGAAGATCGACTTGAAGAATCCCTTCTTCTTCACAGGCTGAGCTGGTAGCGACTTTGTTCTCGTCAAGATATGTCCCGTAGACTCCTGTGCTGGTGAAGGAGTAGGTCTTAGCCCGGTGGACAAGGCCTGGGGAGAATGAACAGGAGAAGGCGATCTTGCCTGTGATGCCGGCACGGCACTCTTCACCGTGTGAGACGATGAAGCTGAGCTTGTGTGTTTATGTGGCACTGGCATTGGCGCTTGGCTTTCTGGAAGCTTACCCCTTAAGAACCAGTCAATCTCATTGTTTGAAACTTCTCTGTCTTTCCTCGTGCCTGTCATGACTGCAACACTGTTTCTTTATTCCCTGCTCTAACTATAAGGTGTAACACACAATTAAAATGACCAGATCACAATAGCAAACGGATCCCTGTACCTGATGGTTGTCAAATGCAATCTGCCCAAAGTTGGAACTATACTATGGGTCAGGATTTATATGTCAAAAATGCCAAACAACGCAGCGGGCGAGTCTTGCTTGTCTAAGAGGGGAGTGGAAAAAAGCAATAGGAAATCAGCACCGAAACAATCTTCACTTCCTTGGTGTAACGTTCTAATATTATGTTTGAAAAAAGTGATGATCTTCAATGCTTTACGATAAAGCGTCCGTAATACAAACGTTCAAGGGGAAGAAAGAGAGAAAAAATACACACAGGGAAGAAACGGAAATTAGCTGTGGAAACCTGCAAAAAACGTACGGGGGGAAGCGAATTCTACTTGGAGATTTTTAAACAAGGCAGCACAAATATTGTTTTTTCCCCTTTCTTTGTGCGTGTTCTTCTTCCGCCAGGCGGCCCTTCTGGCGGGAACAGGCTGAGAAAGCTCGTGGGGCAGGATCCAGTGTGGGAAATCTCTCCCTATGGCCGGGCTTATTTAGAGGGGGACATATATACAGAGAATCTTTACTTTATTGGGTTTCCTTGATTCGAAGTAGGAGAGTGTTTCCACTCTGGAGATTGTTAGATACTGTGGGTTCCACTTTGGAATGGAACGATTCTGTTATTGTATCATCACGATTGTCGGTTGTTTATGCGATGTGTGTGTGAATGACCCGTGTTGGCCCTGTTGTTCTATGTCAACAGTGGAAAAGTCATAAGTTATGGCTCAGCCGTTTGACGCCTGCGCCTGGTAGGCTGGTTTTCTCAGCAGACTGGGGTGGTTTCCACGGCACACTGGGGTGGTTTCTGGGTTCAACGTTAGGGTGAATGTCCCATGAAACCGTGGCTCAACGACGGCTGTTGGCTTTGAGCACTATCGGCTTCATCCACTGCCATAGACACTCAGTAAACACATGCGTGGAGCCTTAGAGTTCACGCCCACTGCTTAGGGTCCTGAGAAAATAGGCACCCCATGTGAGTGACACTAGTTACAGATGCAACGGATCCAGAAAAGAAATGTTTCTGATTAGACCCTACTAATCGTTTAACCTGCTCCCCCCCCCCC